ACGGTTGGGTTTCCGAAGCAATTCTGTTTCGAGAAAGATGTATAAAGCGGTGCTTTTAAATACTGGCAGCATAGTACGCTGGTTTCTCCTCCTGAGGTTCTGTACTCCGGCCGATTGTGCCTCCGCTGGGGGTTAGTTTGCCATCTTTTGTCATTAAGAGGGGAGATGTGAATATTAAAAATATGTTGTCTTTTTTTTTATACAACTTAGAATGTCAAACAAGCTAACGGCCCACCTGATGGAAAGTGGTAACCGTCGCCTCTAGACATGAGCAGTACCATGGACATAACAGAGTATACTGTTTCACCCATGATACCTCCCCATGCGTTGCCACTCCTGAGGACTCAGGTGTTATTCCTCTGTACCCAGTAAATTCACGCCATATCACATCCTTCAAACCGAAACACAGCCATGCAAACACAACTGCTTCACGGTTGAAACACGAATGGGACAGAGGTACCCAAGCAATCGACTTTTGTACGACTTTTGATGAAATAGCTATAGCATGTATAGTCGGTTCAGCCGGATTATCACCTCTCTGTCTTTCACCATTTGCTTCGACAATGATAAGCTTTTTTAGTCTAACGTATGTTTTCTTGACATTGCAAAGTACTGTTATAAATTGCAGGTGCAGTTGGTTCTACAAGGGTACAACGGACCCCAGATATGTACCCTACACAGAAGCAGTCGCCGAAAAGCTCGAGGTAATTATTGTACTATAGATGTTTCCATATTTCACAGTCAACGGATCGCTCGATTGAAATTGGCCACCGTCGCCTATACACATGAACAGTACCATGCACAGTAATAGCATATTAGTGAGGGAAGAAGGAATTGTCAGTAATGTAGACTACCAGACCCATTGCTAGCAATATACCCTGTCAAATCGATCTCCACATGGTCCTTCCTGGAAACCATCGTGCCGAATTCCACGTGTATTCATTACAATGGGCTAACTGACCTGCCTTTTCATTCTCAACTATCATCCCTCACTGGTGCCCTGCCAGTATATACCGATAGCGCAGGCGGGGTTACCATTCCATTATCGTCCATTAAAAAAAATTAATAAGTTAAGCATTAATTTTAAATGGAATTATTGATTCCATTTGTATATTTATTTATTTAGAGGATAGGGTTCAAACTGTAGATATTGACGGTGTAAAATCTAAGGGAGCTAATATTAAGATGGGCGTTCCACAAGGGTCAATCTTAGGTCACCTTCCCTTTATGGTAGAGAAAATTGCAGATATAGTGCTGTTTGCGGATGATAATGTCAAAGTAATCAATTAGACGATGTAAATTGTGCTATGTCTATATTAAATTGGTTTACATGTAATAACCTATTATTAAATTCCAGCAAAACAAAGTGTATAAAACACTTCCATGTAAGACTAATAAATACACAGTTATTGCTTAATGACGAAATAGTAAATTTTGTTAATGATACAGTTTTTTTAGGTATAACAGTGGACCCGAAATTACAATGGGGGCCCCATATTTCAAAATTGGCCAGTAGACTCAGTTCTGCTGCATATGCAATTAGAAGAATTAGGCAATTAACAGACGTGGCGACGGCTAAACTTGTATATTTTAGTTATTTCCATAGCATAATGTCTTATGGCATACTGCTGTGGGGTAAAGGCGATATAAATACTATATTTGTTTTACAAAAGAGAGCCATACGTTCATGGGTTCAAGAGAGTCATTACGTCAGTGCTTTAAAGACTCAAATATCCTCACAGTTACTTCACAATACATTTATGAAAATATTATGTATAACGGAAGAACTTGCGAGTTTTAAAAAACTCAAAGACTGTACAAGTAGAAACTTACGCAATATAAATAAGCTTATTTTACCTAAATGCCGTCTGCACAAAATCAGTAATTCATTCTATGGTAATTGCATAAGATTTTATAATAAACTGCCGGAATCTGCATTAAATCTGACAGAGAGGCAATTCAAATCTTATATTAAACAATTTTTATGTAAGAAAGCCTATTACAGGATAGACGAATTCATAGATGACAACATATCAAGTAAATAATTAGTTATTAGCATACAACGTTATAATTTTTTTTTTCTCATTGCTTTCTTGATTTAATTGATTAATTTTAGAAATATGAAAGCGTAGCGGTTTTTTGTATTAATTGCCGCATGCATTCTTATGTAAAATGTGAATACTATAACTATCAGATTCCATAGCTTTGACGTGGTCAGTGTTTTGAGTAGTCATGCTTAAAAAAAATGGTCGAGCGCAGTGATGGCTGGCTCATCCGTCATACTCGTGAACGGGTGCTGCTTGTAGGGACTGGTCTGCTCTAATCACTATGACTGATTTCCTCTTATTAATTGTTTAACCAGTTGGTTATGTATTCAATTTTTTTTTTCTTTTTGAGTATTTAATTGAATTAGTGCTAATTGGTGGTTTGTATTCACACAATTAAACTTAAAAATGTAAAATAATAATAAAATTATTTAAAAGAGCATCACGCAAGTTTCTTGCTCGTTCTTCTTGTGATGAGACAGCTTTCCGAACGAGCGGTAAATTAAAAAAAATGTAATGACTTTTCAAAAGTGCTTCAATGTAAGTTTATTTGAATAAATGATTTCTATTCTATTCTATTCTATTTACACCCATCAAAAAAAAAAAACTATCCTACGTTACTCCAACCCACAGGAGGAGTACCGCCACGGCATGACAACTGGCGAATGGCACAGGCGCCTGGTGCTGCCCAACAACGAGTCGGTGGTGATGCACGGCCCCACCGTCATGGTGCATCTGCTGCAGAGTGCCACAGACAGCTTTAGCTCCACACCTGTGAGTATACATCTTTGCATATCTATACTAAAGGTGATATCCGCAAAACTGTACAGGGGAGAGGCAGGTCATTTGCAAACTGGTTCTTGTTTGCTGGTAGGGGTAATATGATGGATATGGAGGGGTGGAATGTAGATGAAGATGACGTCATGTTTGCATTGTTTCAAAATATTCTATATGCAGAAAATAAAATTGAAACTAGACAATGCCACTACATGGGGGGGGGGGGGGGAAGGGATTGTTACCAATGGAGTTTGACAGCCCCATTGCTAGTAATATACCTTATTAGTGTGGTTCCCCCTGGAAACCATCGTGAACAATTCTTGTTGAATTCGTCACGATGGGCTAACTGACCTGCTTCATCCTCACATATCATCCTTCACTGGTGCCCCGCCGGTGTATACCGATAGCGCGGGTGGGGTTACCATACCATAATGGTATGGCATCCATTAAAAAAAATGCCACTACATGGGAAATACTGAGGAAAAATTGATGTTAAAGGTAGGAAATAAAAGACGTTTTCACACACTTGTGTTGCTAAAGATATAATTGAAAATCTTGGCCTTCATACTCCATCTAAATGTAGTTTGTTTAATTAATTTTTCTTACCTGACAATTTGAAGAATTTAGGAAGTTTTCTCAACTCAGTTTCCTAAATTGTCCCGCCTGAGAATCGAACCCTCAACCTCATTGACGCAAAGCAATGTGCCTACTTCAGGATCATGGAGATCGTCGAATGCTTTTATGTATGTACTTGGATCAGAAACCGAGGTTTATGAAAGATCTCATAAAGACTCCATCAGGAGGGAAGGGTATTTTTAGTAGCGGGAACTATAATACCCATTGATAGCAATGTAGCAGGTCAGTCAAGTCGACGTGAAACCATCGTGGTTAATTCTTGATGAATTCGACACGATATGCTAACGGACCTGATCTCATCCTTCCCTCTCATCTCTTACTTCTCATCGTTTACCGATAGCGTAGGCAGGGTTTTTTAATGGGTGATAATGGAATGGTAACCCCGCCTGCGCTATCGGTACACACTGGCGGGGCACCAGTGAAGGATGATAGATGACGATGAAAGCAGGTCAGTTAGCCCATCGTAACGAATTCCACTAGAATTAACCACGATGGTTTCCAGGGGGAAACACGTGGAGGTCGACCTGATTGAGGGTGTATTGCTAGCAATGGGTCAGTTAGACTCCATTACTGACAATCCCTTTCCCTCCGCGTAGGCAGGATTACCATTCTCTTTTCATCTTACAAATACATTACCCCACCCTGAATCCCCAGCTGTTCCTTATCATCCCTCACTGGTGCCCCGCCAGCGTATACTAATATCGCAGGCGAGGTTACCATTCCATTATCATCCTCTAAATACCTTTTCCTATCCTGAATCCCCAGCTGTTCAACTTCGGCAAACGCGTATACCGAAATCCAATAAAGATTAAGGTGTCAGGAGACCAGCCCGAGAAAATAGACCACTTGCTGCTCTTGGTTCACGGCGCGGGAGAGTACAGAATACAGAAGGAGAAGACAGTTAGTGTGAACGAATTGAGATACTGGTAGATAGACTTTGGTCGGATTTTGTCCTGTGTTAATGATAAAAGTGGCTAATATATATTGTAGTTATCTATATATATTGTATTTATAATATCTATACATATATTGGCCCAATAACATATATATTAGATACTAGTTATTCAATATATAAAAACGAAAAGAAGAACCTGCTGTGATGAATATAGATATTCGACTGGTATGGACGATGTGGCAATGGGTGATCATTGTCCGAAAGAACTATATACATATACATATCGAATATTACTGACATCTAGGTAATGGAACTTAAAGGTATCCAAATTGTGTTGATACTATCCCAGGAACACTATCAGCCGTTACCTGTCCACTGCTAAACACGAGCCTTCCGTATAGCTCCAAGAACCGACAACCGATGGGAAAGAAAGGTTCATGAGTGACGATCCTATATATGCAAATGCTGTGTAGGACGACCCCCCCCCCCTCTCTAGATGGAGTGACAACCCCAAATGCATTGAAGGCTGTCAGTAGGTGCAAGTGGCTCTGAACCGTTCCTTATGGCAGTCTGGGAGGTCTATGTTCAGCAGTGAACAGATAATGGCTGAAATGATGATGATAATGACGATGATGATGATGATGATCGTTCGTTCACCATTTACTCATGCATTCAATTATAACTTGCAGCAGACGACGATGCGTCCGCGCGTGGTGCGTCGCGGCTGGGACGAGTCGGAAATAGAGGACATGGAACCGTCGAGCATCGATCACCTGCTACTGCTTTGTCACGGAGTCGGTTCCACGTGCGATATGAGGCTGCGGTCTGTGGTGGAAGTCGGTAGGTGTTTGTTTTGTATGTGTGGCTGTGTGTGTGCGTGCGTGCGTGGGTGCGTGCGTGCGTGTGTGTATGTGTGTGTTTTTTTTTTATTTTATTTCGTACATTATCTTTATTATTACATAAAAGGGTTTAACTATTCACTGCTGAACATAACCCGTGGAGAGGTTTTGCCAATAGTTGCCACGCTCAGCAGATGAATTGGCAACCGCAGTTAAGCTTTAACGATGTTTTAAGAGGGATGCTGCTGCCCATCCTTTGCTCTCCTTTAGTCGCCTCTTAGAACACATGCGGGCAAGAAAGGAGTGGCTTATTCTATGCCGGGACCACAAGGCAATTTATTTTATTTATTTACACTTAATTGTAAAAAAATGGGGATAAAATCAAGAACGACCAGGTGTTTTTTTAATGGATGATAATGAAATGGTAACCCCTCCTAACGGTATACACTGGCGGCACACCAGTGAGGGATGGTAGGTGTGAATGAAAAGGCAGGTCAATTAGACCATCGTGATGAATACACCTGGAATTCAGCACGATGGTTTCCAGGACCACCTGGAGGTTGGGTGCATTGCTAGCAATGCGACTTGTACTCTGCATTGCTAGTAATCCTTCCCGGGCGGGGGGGGGGGGGGGCACTCCCTACAACCAGGTGTTAAGTTGTGTGAATTCCTGTGACCCGAGAGAATATGTGTGCCGTCCCCGCCGGCTGCGGCTGCGGGCCGTGCCGGGAGGCAGCACTAACTTGCTAGCTAAAATGACTGACTACCAGATAAAATTGATCTAATTGTAACCTTAAGGATGAAACAATAAAGACTATTTATCTATAATACAGAAATTTCCTGAATTATTATAAAAATGTGCTCAGTTTTTATGGTTCCGTACCTCCAAAGGAGAAAACGGAACCTTTATATGATCACTTCGTTATCCGTCCGTCCATCTTTCAGCCTGTCTGTCAGTTAACCCCCTTTTTCTTAGGAACGCGTGTAGGTATCAAGTTGAATTTAATATCATATATGTAGGTATGCAATCTCTTAAAGCAGTGGAAAAATCAAGCTTCTAAATCGACGCAATCAATCGACACGGCCGTTTATGTTCCATTTATATCGCATATTTCGACATTCGCAAAGGGAGTCAAAAACTACGTGAAGCAGTTGTGTTTGCATGGCTGTGTTTCGGTTTGAAGGGTGAGATATGGCGTGAATTTACTGGGTACAGAGGAATAACACCTGAGTCTTCAGGAATGGCAACGCATAGGGGGTATTATGGGCGAAACAGTATACTCTGTTATATCCATGGTACTGATCATGTCTATATGCGACGGTTACCACTTTCCATCAGGTGGGCCGTCAGCTTGTTGCCATTCTAAATTGTATAAAAAAACCCTATTGGGTACTTCCCGTTGACCTCAATCATGAAATTTGGCAAGAAGCAATGCCATGTAACGGAAGTAAAGGAAAACAACCGAAAACTGTAAATTTGTATTTCACAAAAAAAAATGATGATTTTGTATGGAACCCTCGTTGTGCGAGTCCGACCCGCACTTGATCGACTTTTTTTAATAAATTTGATTATGTTTCTGTTACAGTGGATGACTTTAGAGCCACCAGTCTACAACTGCTGCAGTCGCATTACAGGAATTCATACGACAACGGGGTCGTTAACAGGGTCGAGGTGAGATATGACATACTAACATAATACCAGAGCGAAACTTTGTACAAAAGTCGTTTGCTTGAGCACCTCTGTCCCATTCGTGTTTCTACCGTGAAGCAGTTGTGTTTGCATGACTGTGTTTCGGTTTGAAGGGTGGGATATGGCAGTGAATTTACAGGGTACAGAAGAACAACACTTGAGTCCTCAGGAATGGCAACGCATGGGGTGTATCATGGGCGAAACAATATACTCTGTTATGTCCATGGTACTGCTCATGTCTATAGGCGACGGTTCCCACTTTCCATCAGGTGGGCCGTCAGCTTGTTTGCCATTCTAAGTTGTATAAAAAATATAATCTATTTTGGCAGGTGTTGCCCATATCGTGGCACGCGACGCTGCACGCGGGCGAGGCGGGCGTGGACCGCCGCGTGGCGCAGATCACGCTCGACAGCATCCCGAAGCTGAGGAACTTCACCAACGACACCGTACTCGACATATTGTTCTATACCAGTCCAATTTTTTGCCAGGTAACTCTATTACTGCTTGAGTATAGTTTTTAACGTATGTCGACCGTCGAGGCGACGTGCTGAAGAAGGGCCAAATTAAAAGTACCCGTAACCGGCGAGCGTGTATGAAAAGATTGATGAATGTGGAAGAAGCGAAGGAGGTTTGTTTGAATCGAAGCATTTGGCGTTCCATTGTTTCTGCCTACCCTGATGGGAGACAGGCGCGACAGATATGTATGTATGTATGTATAGTTTTTAAAAGAGATATGATGATTATTGTCCCCGTTGCTGACAATGGACCGTGCAATGGACCATGTGCATGGACCGTTTAACTAGAGTTGTAATTTTTGCGCCAAAAAAGTTTAAAAAAATATATATTACACTGTAATAAATTGAATATTTCGTGGAAACATTAAAAAAAAAGATTTTATTTTTTTTATTTTTTTCACTTTATATTTGTAAGTTACTTAATTATTTTTATAAAGTGCCAACTTCAGTCTAGGCAAAACTAGTTTTGTTTTAAAACCAAACCACTGAATCAAGAAATCTCTATGAGACCAATCCTAATGTAAGGATATGTTTCAAATAAAAAAAGAAATTACCAAATCTAAAAAACTATTTTTTTAAATTCTGCCATATTTTATTATACATATGTACAGCGTCAGGCGTGTTCTTCTCTAGAAATCTGTCCGATTCTAGAATAAAGGCATACGGGTATGCGACCCCGGCCTCTCGAGCCGCTGCAGTGTCCCAGTCCTTTCCGCAACTGCAGTGTCTTAAAGGAATATATATATATATATATATATATATATATATATATATATATATATATATATTTATTACCCACCCCTAGGCTGTGCTTTAAAAAAACTAGAATGCTGCCTCAGAATCTACACTATTTTTTTTATGGGTGAAAATAGTATGGTAACCCCGCCTGCGCTAACGGGATACGCTGGCGGAGCACCAGTGAAGGGTGATAGATGAGAATAAAAACAGGCCAGTTAGCCCATCATGATGAATTCATCAGGAATTAACCATGATAGTTTCCAGGGGGAACCGCGAGGAGGTCGACCTGGTTGGGTATATTGCTAGCAATGGGATTTTCAGTCTCCATTACTAACAATCCCTTTCCCCCCAATCTACCCTATTACGACTTGATTAAAGCAGGCTTTTATAAGAACACTCATAAATAAAAATGGTGCTTCAAAATCGACTCTATTGCAATGTGAACAAGGCTTAATGTTGCTTGTAAATATAACTCACTGCTGACTTTTTCTTTCCATAGACAATAATAGACACGGTGTGCGCGGAAATGAATCGAATCTACAGGCTGTTCGTATCGCGCAACCCACACTTCCGCGGTACAGTCTCGTTAGGTGGCCATTCGCTTGGAAGCGTCATACTATACGATCTACTCTGCCATCAGCGGGTAAGTGCTTTATATATATATATATATATATATATATATATATAATGTTAACAGAGAAACAGAGATTTAAAAAAGTAACTGTCGATTTTCTTGCGGGCTCTTCTCAATAGGTAACAACCTTCCGAAACCTTGCGGTAGATTAAAAAAAATACGATTTAAATGTGCTTGTAAACAAGTCTTTTTTTTATACAATTAAGGTACCTCTGTCCTATTCATGTTTCAACCGTGAAGCAGTTGTGTTCGCATGGCTGTGTTTCGGTTCGAAAGGTGGGATATGGCGTGAATTTACTGGGTACAGAGGAATAACACCTGAGTCCTCAGGAATGGCAACCCATGGAGGGTATCATGGGCGAAACAGTATAGTCTGTTATGTCCGTGGTACTGCTCATGTGTATAGGCGACGGTTACCACTTTCCATCAGGTAGGCCATCAGCTTGTTTGCCATTCTAAGTTGTATAAAAAAAAGTGGCAATAGATATTCAAAATGGTAATTTTAGCTAAGTAATCACTTTGCTAAGGTTTCCAAATTGTTTTTATCAGCCGAACGACAGCGACCCGTCGGAGAAGCACTACGTGTCCGGTACGGCCGGCACCGGACAGGCGGCCGTCCGGTACCCGCGGCTCGAATTCTCGCCCGCAGCGCTCTACGCCTTGGGCAGTCCTATAGGTATGATGAAATGAGTTGTAAGGACGTCACTGTATATTCGGTGACGCCCCCCGTGCTGTTCATGTCTATAGGCGGCGGTTGTCGCTTCCCATCAGATGGGCCGTCAGCTTGTTTGCTATTTTAAGTTTGCATAAAATATGTTTTAATAATAATATACAATTGTTTATATGTGGCCGTGTGGTCCCGGCATAGAATAAGCCACCCCTTCCTGTCCCGTGGGTGTTATAAGCGGGGACTAAATGAACTGCAAGATTAAAGGATGGGCGGCGATGTTTAAAGAGACTACTCGCAGAAACCCCCTTATGAGGGAGGGGGGGAAGAGATTGCTAGTAATGGGGTCTAACAGCTCCATTGCTGGCAATATACCCTATCAGGTCGACCTCCACGCGGTTCCCCCTGGAAACCGTCGTGACTAATTCTAGTTTAATTCGTCAGGATGGGCTAACTGACCTACTTTCACCCTCATCTATCATCCCTCACTGGTGCCCCGCCAGTGTATATCAATAGCGCAGACGGGGTTACCATACCATTATCAACCATTAAAAAAAACCCCTTAGGGGGGGGGGGAAGAGATTGCTAGTAATGGGGTCTAACAGCTCCATTGCTAGCAATATACCCTATCAGGTCGACCTCCACGCGGTTCCCCCTGGAAACCATCGTGGAAACTATCATGGTTAATTCTTGATGAATTCATCATGATGGGCTAACTGGCCTGTTTTCATTCTCACCTATCACCCTTCACTGGTGCTCCGCGAGCGTATCCCGTTAGCGCAGGCGGTGTTACCATACCATTTTCATTAATCAAAAAAAAAAAAACGCTTCCAAATTCTCTCTGATCCGCTCGGCAAACACTTTCGCGAGGGGACCGTGTCGTCTAGTGCAGACTTTACTTAATTTATAACTAGATGTCGCTGTGTGTAATATATCAAAACTATTTTTTTCTTAGCAATTTTCGAGTGTATACGCGGAGTGGAGTCCTTAGGCGCTGACTTCGTACTGCCAACATGCAAACATTTCTTCAACATATTCCACCCGTACGACCCTATAGCTTACAGGTGAGTAAACAGTCACTTCCTATACTTTTAGGGTAACAGAACTCCCATCGAATACTTCGTATGGATTTCCATATCAAATGGTTGCAAAACAAAACCAGAATGCATAAAGTCGTTAGCTTTTGTACCTCTGTCCCATTCGTGTTTCAACCGTGAAGCAGTTGTGTTTGCATGGCTGTGTTTCGGTTTGAAGGGTGGGATATGGCGTGAATTTACACGGTACAGAGGAATAACACCTGAGTCCTCAGGAATGGCAACGCATGGGGGGTATCATGGGCGAAACAGTATACTCTGTTATGTCCACGGTACTCCTCATGTGTATAGGCGACGGTTACTACTTTCCATCAGGTGGGCCGTCAGCTTGTTTGCCATTATAAGTTATAATAGAAGCCAAAACAATCATTTTTTGTTTGTCTGTCGGTCTGTCTGTATTTGTTCTAGCATCACGCAAAAACTGCTGCACCGAATTGAATGCGGTTTTCACAGTTGTGTTTCTAAACGTTAATTATGTTAATAAGTAGTGGAATAAATGGCTATTTTATTTTATTTATATTTGTAAATAATTGTATTGTTCACAGAATCGAACCCCTGATCAATCCGCAACTGAAAAGTATGAAGCCGTATCTCATCCCGCACCACAAAGGCAGGAAACGGATGCACTTAGGTACGAATACTCCAATATTGCAGTTTGTCTTCACAGGCGTATTTAAGACGGGGACAGTTTTTTTTTGAGGTAAAATTTTAAAGTGTGAGTTTTTAAATTAAAACTGGTCCTGCTATAATTAAAGTCGATGTGTTTTTGTAAAACAAACTCTTAAATTGTAATTAAGTTCTTTTAAAACAAACCATGTGTGTGTGTGTGTGTGTGTGTATATATATATATATGTATCTTATATATTAAATTCTCGTGTCACGGTGTTTGTTACCAAACTCCTCCGAAACGGCTTTACCGATTTTCATGAAATTTTGTGTGCATATCGGGTAGGTCTGAGAATCGGCCAACATCTATTTTTAATACCCCTCAATGATAAGGGTGACCCACCCCTAACAATTTTTTTTTTATTTTTTTAACAATTTTTTTTTTATTTTTATTTTAATATGATTTAGCATTGAAAAATACATAGAACTTTAAATTTTCATCGTTTTACGATCAACCCCTGTATTTTGTGATTTTCGCAATTAGTGGTAAAACAACGTTTACGGGGTCAGCTAGTAAATATATATATATATATATATATATATATATATTTTTTTTTTTTTTAATTCAAATTCAATTCAATTCAATTTATTTTATTCGTTACAATATTGCATTGTGTTGAATATTTTTGCAAGTGACAAGAAGATATCGTAAAATATAACAAAACAAAAAAAAAACATGAAACAACAAAATAACCAATAATAATTGTCAAAAAATAACATTACAATCAATTTAAAAGTCATCAGTAAGGCATAAAATAATGAAAGAGTATTTTAAAATTCATCAATTGAGTAGATGCACCTTTCCAACAAAAGAGTATAAAGTTTTATTTTAAAAATTCTCCAATCTTTAATAGTTTTTAATGCAGTGGGTAATTTATTATACAATTTAACCGCTTGAAATTTTGCGCCATGTTTCACTATATTTAGTTTTGGTTGGACATCATATGCAACATTTTTTCGTCTAGAAATCATGCGTATATTTCTCTCTTCTCTCGTTTCATTTGGCAGACGATTCTTAACATAGTCTGTAACCACAATCAATACATACAAACTGGGTACAGTAAGAATACTATATTTTGTGAAAAAAGTCCTGCAAGACTGCCACTGCGGAATCCGAGCGATAGTTCTAATTGCTCTTTTTTGCAACCTGAAAGCCCTTTCCACATTGTAATTATAGCTGTTTCCCCACAGTTTAATGCTGTATCTAAATTTTGATTCAACCAATGAGTAATAAACTGGTTTGAGTTGATTAACAGTTAACACATCCCTCAAACATCTCAAAGCATAGCATGATGCACTAACTGATTTAGTTATAGAGTCTAACTCAGATTTCCAATTCAGTACAGAATCTATCTTCACACCTAGAAATTTTACTTCATTAACAACTTTAATATTATTACCATTCAGGTACACTTCCAAAGTATCCTTATTTTTAGAAGTTGACCTAAATAGTAAGGCACATGTTTTGTCTATATTTAGTTTTAAATTGTTAACAGAAAACCATTCATCTAAGAGAGCTATAACATTATTGATTTTTATTTCTAGGTCCTTTATGTCCATAGCGGAGATTATGGCATTGGTATCGTCGGCATATATTATTAATTGAGTATCATTTGCAACATTTTGTATATAATTAATAAGATCATTGATAAAGAGAATGAAAAATATTGGTCCCAATATAGAACCCTGTGGTACGCCTCTTTTTATGATGGTCAGTTTTGATGTATATATCATCTCCTGGTTATTTTCTATATTTCTTATTTCGACATATTGTTTTCTATTATTTAAATAAGATTTGAATAGTTTTAGTGATTGTTCTCGTATACCGTAATAGTGTAGTTTGCTTAAGAGTATTTCATGATCAACTGTGTCAAATGCAGAGCTTAAATCCAGGAAAAGCCCTGCTACCTTTTTTTTGCTATTAATCTTATCCAAAACATCATCTATGAGTGTCTCTATAGCTTCTGCGGTGCCTATGCCTTTTTGATACCCAAACTGTCCCTCGCTTAGTATATTATTTGATACTATATGTTGTAGAAGTCTAATTTTTAAAAGCTTTTCAAATATTTTGGAAAGGGTTGGTAAGAGGGATATGGGTCTATAATTTTTGGAATTATATTTGCAGTCCTTTTTATGAATTGGTATAACACGAGCTACTTTAAGTTGATCGGGAAAAATGCCTTCTTTAAAACACATGTTATAGAAATGAGCCAGTGGTTCCGCTAAAAGCTCAATATTCTCTTTAATGATAGATATTGGAATGTCATCATATCCACAAGATTTTTTAGTGTTCATATCTTTTACTACTTTTTTTATTTCAGTCGGAGTAATTGGTTCCCAAGATAAGTTGTCTTGTACTCTATTTGTGTTGTCATGTAGAATCTTTTCCGCTTTATATTTATTACCTGATGACTCGTCAAGCTTATATTCAAAATTCGAAGATAATATTTTAACAATTTCCTGTGGGTTGTCAATTATTTTTGAGTCAACTTTAAGTTTAAATTTTTCATGGTCATGCATCTTTTTGTTTTTATTTCTTTGCTCATTTATTACATTCCAAATACCTTTACTTTCATTATTTACATCTTGTATTTCTTTTTGTATGTAACGTTTCGTAGCATTTCTTACAACTCTTCTATATATTTTAATGTACTTGTCACGAAAATCTATAACACTTTGGCCACAATCTATCTTATTAATATTATATAAAACTCTTTTCATTGCGCTAGATACCTTTATTCCTTTTGAGATCCATTTAGCTTTATAAGTGTTAGTTATCCTAATTTTCTTTTTAGTTTTCTTAAAACAATGTTTGAATATATTATTAAATTTATTTATAAACGTATTTATGCTCATGTCACTCCACTTTATATTTACGAGCAAATCTTTGAAGTTTTGTTTATTTCTAGCGGAATAAGATCTTTGATTTTTTATTATAAATAATCTTTTGCTCTGTGCATGTTGAAATTTTTCTACTGAAAGATTACAAAAGATTCCTGCATGTCCGTCTGCCAATCCATTATGGTCAATGTAACTATCGGTGACAGAATCGTCTGTTAAATTTATTAATATGTTGTCAATGCATGACTGACTCTTATTTCTTTTATATGTTATGTCTTCAAAAAGGTGTTTAAAACCATAGCATTGTAGTAAATTTATGAATTCTCTTTTTTGTTTACTATTTTCTAATATATTTATATTAAAATCACCACAAATAATACATCTTTTGTTGAAAAAATAATCTAATAATTTTTCTAAGTATAACATAAACTTATCAAGATTCTTCATATTTGGATTTCGGTAGCAGCACAAAATACATAGATTTGTTTCCAAATCTTTTACACCACATAACTCAAAAAATTCCGACCTACTTAAATCCTTGCACACAGAAAGATCCTCAAATAGTCTACCGCTTTCGCTCAGTATTAGCGTTCCGCCTCTCATTTTATTAGTTCTAGTATAGTAGGAAGCCAGTTGAAAATTCTGTAGATGAAAGAGAGGAGCAGTGACACTATTTAAGAAGTGTTCGCTTATACAAATATAATGCATGCTTTTACATAAATAGTCCAAATAAATTTCTAGGTCGTCTTTTTTATTATTTACACCACACATGTTTTGATGAAATATATTTATATTAATCATATCGCTACTGTTCATTTTTAATTTATATTTACATTTATTTATATAATTTTGACATTGATTATAGCAATTATTAACGAAATAAACAATGTGTGATAATGGTATGGTAACCCTGCCTGCGCTATCGGTATACACTGGCGGGGCAGTGATAGAGGACTGATGAGGACTAAAGGTCAGGAATGCAGATCAGTTAGTCCATCGTGACGAATTCAACTAGAATTGGCCACGATGGTTTCCAGTGGGGACCACGTGGAGGTCGGCCTGACAGGGTATATTGCTAGGCTATTTGATCCTACTACTAACAATCCCTTTCCCCCCTATGCGTATGTGTTTGTGATGTATTCCGAGCGATGCTCGACTTGCCATGGCGGCGTAGTGTAGCGTCAGAGAACAGGGTTAATGATTTTTTTTCTATTTTACGTAAATGTAAAGCAAAATTTCATGTCATATTGTAAAGACTGTATTCCTCACTGCGTGCCTGACGACAAAAGATTTTATAATGAATTGATTTAAATTGGTAGTTTGTAATAAATATATATGTATGAGGATTTTTATCTAGTTTATTTAGCAAGTTGTTAATGTAATTTGTTTCTTTGTCTGTCTAGCATATTTATTTCTTAAGAAAAATAAAAATTTTATAACTCTTTGTTTTATGTATATATAAATATATATGTAAATAGGTATGTATTTATATGTTGTTATATATTTGTATACGCGTTTATATACACGTATGTATGTGTATATGTATATAATAATGAGCAGGGATATATATTTATATAATTGCATATGTTACATCTCTATATGCATTTAAAAACGACAGAATTATCGTGCCTCCCACCAAATTGTTTATAATTACTCCTCTCCATCCAAAGGTTGCCTGCAAGAGATCGCTCTTAGCGATAAGGTCGCCCATTGTTTTCTCACTGTGATCATTTCTTGTAATTGTTTGTATCTATAATAAGTTTACTATTGTAATCTTATGGAGGAAACAATAAAGAGTGTCTATCTATCTCTTAAAACACAGGGCATTTTATAAACGAATGTAGGAGACAGAAGTCGTGTGATTGCACAGCTTGCTTCTACATTTTATTTGTTTGTAGAACTCAAAGAGACGATGGCGCGAGTGGGCGCCGACTTGAAGCAGAAGCTGTTGGAGTCACTGAAGACCACGTGGTCCAGTGTGTGGAGGACGCAGCCGCCGCCCAGCGACTGCCAGCTCGAGAAGGTGCGTGTATTCCTACCGTAGCCTATAAACGCCTGCAATACCAGAGAAGAACCCCATGCTGTAGTCTCTTGGGAAAACCTCGGCAGGGAGTTTATTCTACAACATTATTGGACGAAAATTGAAGTGGTAACCCCGCCTGCGCGCTATCGGTATACGCTGGCAGGGCATCAGTGAGTGATGATAGATGAGGACGAAAAGGCAGGTCAGTTAGCCCATCGTGATGAATATACGTCCACGTATATTCAGCACGATGGTTTCCAGGGGGACCGCGTGGAGGTCGACCTGACATGGTATATTTCTAGCAATGGTACTGGTAGTTCCTCCCGTTACTAACACGATGCCTTTCCCCCCGGAACCAGGCGTTGGATATCAGGGGGCAATAATCCAGAAAATCTAGACCCGAGCCAATTCAGAAAAGTTAGTTTTCTAAAATCGATCCCCGATCGGGAATCGAACCCGGGACCTCGTTACGCAAAGTGACGTGCCCACCACAGCGCCACGGTGGTAGTTGAAGCTTTGGTGAAATTATCCATTCTTATTGTGAGCTCGTTTCAAATGCGATGTTTAATATTCAGGTGGTGGAAGAAGAGATAGAGAAGGAGCAGCTGTGCGAAGAGAACAAAGATGATGTCTCGCAGGACATTGATCTGGTAAGTGGCTGGAATAGTCGCTGGAATAGTCGCTGTATATCAACACTAGTGATGCGGCCCGGCTTCGTACGCGTAGATGTTTTATTTATCAACATATCAGCCTTTTAATTATTAGCCAGCCAAGGAGGTTTTGTCAGTAGTTGCCACACTTGGCAACCGCAGTTAGGCTTCGAGTCAGCTAATTTGACAATTAGCTGACAAAAAGTCGAGCCGTTTTTGAGGCTCGATGCCCTATCTATATAATCTTGTGTGGTGGACACAATGGTAGTCATGTCGTTTCAATTTGAGAATTATGGTGTTATCTCCGTACCCTGTAATTTCACTGCCATATCTCACTCTACAAACCGAAACATAGCTATGTAGGTACAGATGTTTCAAAGTAGAAACACGAGTGGTACAGGGGTACCCAAGCAGACGGCCTTTATACAAAATTCGAATTTACTGATGATATAAACAAAACGTCCCGTGGGTGTCGTTTTTTTTTATACCACTGAGATGGCAAACAAGCATACGGCCCACCCGATGGTAAGCGGTTACCGTAGCCTATGAACGCCTGCAATACCAGAGGTATTACGCGCGCGTTGCTAACCCTGAAGAAACCTTTTTACCCCCTTTTGAAGAACCCCATGCTGTAGTCTCTTGGGAAAACCTCGGCAGGGAGCTCATTCCATAACCTGAGGCGATTAAGGGAGGACGAGGGATGGGCAGCAGCGTCCCTCTTAAAACATCTCTAAAACTAACTGCGGTTGCCAATCCACTTGCCAAGCGTGGCAACTACTGGCAAAACACCTCACGCTTATGTTCAGTAGTGGACAGTTAAAGGCTGATACGATAATGATGATGATGATGATATGATAATGATGATGATGATGATATGATGATGATGAATTCAAAATTACTTGAATAAAGGTTATATAACTTTTTCTTTCATTCTGCTATCCATGATCCAGGAGGCGCCTGATGTTCTGGGCAAGCTGAACAGCGGCCGGCGGATAGACTACGTGCTTCAGGAGGCGCCCTTCGAGATGATCAACGAGTACCTGTTCGCCATGAGCAGCCACGTCTGCTACTGGTCAGTGCCATCTTGTTGTTAGTGAAGGATTTATTTAAAATGGGCTCACCTCACTATAGCCTGTGAATGCTTGCAGTATAGACCACCAGAGGGAGACTTTGTACAAAAGTTGTTTGCTTGGCCACCTCTGTCCCATTCGTGTTTCTACCGTGAAGCAGTTGTGTTTGCATGGCTGTGTTTCGGTTTGAAGGGTGGGATATGGCGTGAATTTACTGGGTACAGAGGAATAACACCTGAGTCCTCAGGAATGGCAACGCATGGGGGGTATCATGGGCGAAACAGTATACTCTGTTATGTCCATGGTACTGCTCATGTCTATAGGCGACGGTTACCACTTTCCATCAGGTGGGCCGTCAGCTTGTTTGCCATTCTAAGTTGCATAAAAATATCAGTAACGTGACTTAACATTTAATTTTGTATAACTATTAAAAAAAATTACGTTTGCCGGTTGAGCTACTATTGTAAATAGAAAACGTCCAGGCCAATACAAACAGCCAGGGGGAAAGGGATTGTTAGTAATGGGGTTTAATTGTCCCATCGCTAGCAATATACTCTGAAAGGTTGACATCCACGTGGTTCCCACTGGAAACCATCGTGGTTAATTCTAGTGGAATTGTCACGATGGGCTAACTGACCTGCCTTTCATCCTCACCAATCATCACGAGCGTTGGTGGGGTTACCATTCCATTATCATCCATAAAAAAAGACCTGTATAACACGGTAACAAAAACTATGTTATGAACGAAATATGTGTTTTTTTTTAAATCAAACTCTTGTGACTGATGGCAGGGAGTCCGAGGACACGATGCTGATGATACTGCGCGAGATATACTCGAGCATGGGCGTCCAGACGGACGGCAGTCTGCCCCAGCAGAGCCTCACAGTGCAGCGGACGCGGCTGCAGCGAGAGGTCACTGTGTTGTCTACACTAATATTGTAAAGAGGAAAGATTTGTGTTTTTGTGTGTATGTATGTTTGTATTGAATAAACACAAAAACTGCTTTGCCGATTTCAAAAATTCTTTCACCATTAGAAAGCTACATTCACCCTGAGTAACATAGGCTATATTTATTGCTAGAAAAGATTAGGGATCCTTACTAAAACTTTAGTAACGTAACTCAAGGTGTAAAAAAATGCTATAAAATATCTTTGGTCGCGTGCGCTGCGGAAACTATTGGTGATAGAACAAAAGTATGTTCTACAATATTGAAGAAAATATCAATAACTAGAAAAAACTTAGCGATATTAAATGTCCCACTATTATCGTTATGTCACAATAAACACTTTTTAAAATGTTGCAAAAATGTCCACCCGTGCGAAGCCGGGACGGGCCGCTAGTTATTTATAAAAAGAGTTAATCGAGTGCTTACGAACAAGAAGGATTTTTTATAACCACAGACAAGCATGCTCTCGTACATAGACAATATAGACTATACACATTGATTAATATTCACCAATAGATGTCGCCAATCTTACATTTTGATATTCAACAGTTTTTCTATATAATTGCCCTGACTTCGAATAGATTTTTTGAAAATTTAATACAGCCTATGTTCACCGTCATCATGTCAGCCGTTGCCCACTGCTAAACTTAGGCCTCCTCTTGGGGATTTGACAGTAGTTGCCATGTTTGGCAGGCGGGTTGACAACCGCAGTTAGGCTTTTAAAGATGTTTTAAGAGGGACGCTTCTGATCAATCTTCGCCCTCCCTTAGTCGCTTCTTCTTACTCTCATGGGAAAGGAAGGGATGGTCTATTCTATGCGGGGACCACACGGTCGGAAGTGATTACATATGATCCCATAAATGATAATATTACACCAAGAAATTAAATGCAATATTTTTATTACAGGAAGAAGCTCTCAGTTTGAGTACTACAGGTAAATAACTTTTTTTTATTTTTATTTCGACTAACCAGCTACTTTGCTCGCGTCGATTACAGAAGTGCGGATTTCATAATTGTACTATAATAAAATTCATACACATTCGAAACCGTGGAGGGTAGGGGGTCGCAAGATATTTTTACATACTAAGGGGGTCGCAAGATATTTTTACGTACTAAGGGGGTCGTAAGATATTTTTTCATACTAAGGGGGTCGCAAGATATTTTTACATACTAAGGGGGTCGCAAAATATTTTTACATACTGAGGGGGTCGCAAGATATTTTTACATAATAAAGGTGTCGCGTTATGTAAAAAGATTGAAAAACACTGATCAATCAGAACAATATGGAACCTATTATTATTAAGCTAGTGTCGCAATTCGAGTGTACGAAACGTCTCTTTCAATATCGATTTATTGGGATTTATTTCAAGAGTAATTCCACCGTTTTTAAATCAGACATTTAGTAATACGCCAGTAAAATTGCATTCAATTTTGCGTGTTCTGGAACCTTGAAAAGCCCATGTTTAACATTTATTAACAAGATTTTATTTATTGGTGAAATAAATCAAGGTGATATAATTCATGTTCAAAATTAAAGGAAAAATTGTTAAAAAATAAATTTGACAGCTATGTTTTTTTTTCTGCGATGGACATTAAAAAGGTATCCAGACACGATCAACTTAATGTGAACTTGTTCTTTTATATAATTTTTGGACATTCAATGTTATGATGGAAATTCTACCGTTATGCGAAGGTGGGTTAAACGCCATTTCTTGTTAGATAGATAGACAATTTATTTACATTACTTACAGCACACAAATTACAATAAAAAAAAAAAACATACACGTAATACACAGCAAAAGAGACAAAAGAATAAAAATAAAAAAAGCACAAACAAAAAAAAAATACAAAAACAAAATACATAATCTAACAATCTCCTTTGTTACCATTCCTTCATGCGTGTGCCATAGTAACACAAAATGGTCACAGCTCAGTTTATTGCTTTGCCCTTAAAAGAGCAAAACACTGATATTCTGCTATTGTTATTTGCAGATCACCCGTCGACGAGCCGCGGAGACACGTATAGGAAATGTAGTAGTTAACGTTAGTTATAAACTTATAGTTTTTATGGCGGCGAATGTAAAGATAAGGGGGCGGGGGATTGTTAGTGATCCAGACTAGCGAGTCCTATTGCTAGCACTGTACCCTGTTAGATCGATCACCACGTAGTCCTACCGGAAACCATCGTGCTCTATTCCAGGTGTATTCATCACGATGGGCTAACTGACCTGCCTTTTCATTCTCACTTATTACTTGTCACTGGTGTCCTGCCAGTGTATACCGTTAGCGCAGGCGGGGTTACCATTAGATTTTCCTTCATTAAAAAAAATATATATGAAAACTTAACCCTACATTATGACCCTACATAATTCACTTTATTATGTCTTGATGGAATAAAAGTAATAATAATATAATGATAAAACTTTTTAATTACTTAAAATAAGCAAAATACATATAGAGTGAAATTAAAGCGCGGCCACATAAGAAAACGCATGGAAGCCAAAAGAAGTAATGACAGCGAATGAAACTAGATGGCGCTGTGTCGTTCACTTTCAACATATCTTTATGAATCTATTTCAAAAAAGAGTTTGTTAGCTCATAACTTTGTCTTTTATATAGGTTTATAAAAGACAATGTTTTGAGCTAACAAACTTTGGAAAATTCTTGTCATTGGAAACCCAATCAGCCAATCGTGATGAATTCCACAAGCATTAACCGCGAAGGTTTCAAGGGGAAAGGGGGCCATTAGACCCCTTCCCTCCGTAGGGCGATGCTTATTTTAGTTTACCTCCGATAATGCATCTTTTATAATCGTCGCCATTTCTACTAATTTAAGGTTGTAACCTAACTTACTGGTTTATAGAGATATTATTTGTAAACTTAACGAACACTCGAACGTTTCAATTTGTAATTACAGTTTAAATAAAAAAAAATACATGATTCGTAATCGAGTTCAACAAGTATGTTACTAAATAAAAAAATAAAATAAAAAATAAAAAAAGAAAAACCTAAAAATCCCGCAATTGCAAGGTTATATAATCCATTACAGTTAAATATTAGTTAAATTTTTAACCGCCCCAGTTGAATGATCAACCATAGTTGTACCATAGTTTCCTTGTTGACAATTTATGTCTGTTTAATTTACATATTTAACACTTATCGTTCACGAGGGGTAAATATTTACACCAAGCAATTTACCCTTGCATTGTTTACCAATAATCACGTAAGTTTCGACCAGTGTGAGATAGTACCCCAAGTTTTTTAGACAAGTGGCAAGCGATTCCATCGATGGAATCGACATCATTAGCGAGATAGCAATGTCGGAGGATTCATTCCAACTGATGGACTCGCTAGCAAATTCGATTCTATCGATGAAATCGCTTGCCACTTGTCTAGAGGGCCAGTGGTGTGTAGGCTACGTTAGGGGGCCCGAAGCGTGACCGCTAAGAGTTAAGAACTTTTATAACTTTATCTTGACGAAGTGTAGATACACTTAGATTAAAATGTAAAAAGAAAATAGACATACAGACGTATGTCAATTTTCTTTTTACATTTTAATTCATGATTCGATTGTTATTCAAAAAGTATTCTATAAAAGATAATATATAGCTATATACATATATATATATATATATATATATATATATATATATATATATATATATATATATATATATATATATATATATATATATATATATGTACAATAACGAATATATCGATTGTTATTCAAAAAATAATAAGAGATAACAGACTTAACATATTCGAAAATAGATATCCGACCGATATGGGTGATATCGAAATGGGTGATGACCTTTTCCAGTGTCAATGTCCAGAGAAACCCAATATATAGATATCGGATCGGTATCCATATTACCCATGCCTATTATGCCATGCTTGTTGGCGACTACAGTGGTATAAAAAAATTGTTAAGCTATCACTGAAAATTTGGATTTTAACGGCAAAAATGTATTTGAAAAATTGTAAAGAAAAATAAGATGTATGTGCAAAGTTTTTAGTGGTAGAGTTGTATTATTTATTTATTTATTTATTACATCCACTGGGTGAGCCTTACAGTCTTCCAATACGCCCATCCAGGAGAGCATGAGGACAACAACATATAAAAAAATACATGTAAAGTATTCTATGATTAACGTCTTAGTTTGGTAGCAGAGCACTGTTTAAATAATCAATCGAATACGTTGAAAATTTATAAATTGTTTTTGAAAATTGATGGTTGGTTGTCACGCTTTGTCAATATAAAATTATGATCGCTTTTAACTACCTACTACATTAGACAATATAGCAACACGAGACAGATTATAAAACTAAAGTTTATAATTACTTTGTCAAGTGAGGAATATTAAAAAAAAAAAAATTTGATTCCAGTGTTAAGGGTTTTACAACCGCTGCAGAGCAAAATTGATGAAACTTTAATTATATTGTTATTTTGTTGATAGAAAACAAGATTGTTTTGTAAACGGATTGGGTGATAGCAATCAAAATATATAGTCTATGTCAATAGTATGCACTATGCTTAGTCTATGGTTTCAATAGAACTTAACGAATATGGAAACATACGATTAATCGACACGACCATAGACAATCTGCTAGTGTTTAAAAGTAGTACGAATAAAAAACTGTTTAATCGATTCGTTATTTTTTTTTTTTTTTCATTTGAAAAGTGTCTGATAATTTCAACAATACTAGGTTACATCTTCATTATATTGTATAGAATCAGAATATATAAAACCTTAAAATCTAGCTACAGTGACCGTTTATCATCAGACAGGCTGTATGCTTGTTTGTTAACTTGGTATAAACAAAAAAAAAATATTAATTTTTTGCTAATTGACATTTATTTATTTATTTATTCATTAGTACAAATATGTGAACACGGCGGACTTAATGCTAAAAGCATTCTCTCCCAGTCAACCATAGGGAAGTGTCAGAATACACGAACGCGGTACTAGTAATTATTGATATACATACATACTAAAATTACATATATAAACGACTAAATATATATAAATAACAAATATACTTACACATATATGACATATACTATATTATACACGAAATTGAGAATAATATAAAGCACTTACTGCTCGGATAAAGTAAAAAAGTGAGCGTGAACGTTTTACAATATTATTTTAATAGAACCTCAAAATTTGGAAGTCAAATATGTACACCCATGAGTATAATAAATATTTTATTTGTTACCAAATTATTGGACATGTACTTTCTTAGTATATAATATAAATGATTATTTAAAACTCTCATTGTTTTTTTTTGTTGTTGTTCAAATTTTACATATACAATAAGATTTAAAAATAAATTCATGTGGTAAAATAAATATAATACAGAATATATTTTTTTTTCTTATAATAATTTGCTTTATTTATTTTTTTAAGAATTATTATTAAAATAAATTTTTATGATGTTTTAATTATGATAATTAATTCTCCTTTCTACTAAAGGTTTGCTGGAAATCTTACAGAGTTAAGCTCGCCTGTTGTACATCTTTATTTTATATATATATATTATATGAATGTAAATTTTGTGTACAATAAAGTATAAATAAATTATAAAATATAAATGAAGAATTTGTAAGTGACAAAATGGTGGTATTTTTTTTTTTAATAAAAATCTATTTATTTTGTTTAAAATAACAAAAGTGCTTATTGATTATAGTTAGGAATTGTAAGAAATTTTTCAATGTTTACCTTCACGCTACGTCCCTAGCGGGATAGACAGAGACATATGCTTGCAGTCTTTGTCCTTACATATATCTCTTCCACATTTATATATACATAAATACAACTTAAATGTAATTAAATTAACAGTTTTGTATTTATATCGTGGGTTGTGGGTTCGAATCCAGCTAAATTGTGTATATATTAAATTGAATTTTCTCTATACACTAAGCTTTAGTATAAATATGTTTATTTAATATTTACTTTCATATAAACATTTTGAATTCAAAATATGCTTTAAAATATTTATGTATTTGTAAAATGTGATTGTTTAACCATTGAAAAAAAATATATTTCGTATGAATTTGAATAATACATTTTAATTGGTATACTTTAATTATTAAAAAAAAAAAGAGAAATATGGTAAACGATCCAGTTTTATTAATTGAATAATTTATTATTTTTATTGTGGTATGAGAATGATTAATTTATAGATTACAATGTTAGAACAATTTATTTCCAATTTGCGGGATTAAAAATACGTTCCAAATTGTTTATTTATGAATATATTTATTGTTAAGTTTATCACAACTCAGTGTATATGTAACACTAACAGTACATATTAGTTGAAGGTGAATAAAATTTATATTTTACTAAAATCTGTTTTATTTCATTACATTATCATCATCATGTCAGACAATAACTGTCCGCAGCTGGACATAGGCTGACCCTATTAGGAAGGTTTTGCCAGTAGTTGCCAAGCTTGGCAAGCTGCTCGTTCTTCAACAGTTAAATTCCCTTAGTCACCACTTAGCATGAGAAAAGGTGGCCCCATTCTATGCCGGGACCACACGGTGATTTTATTTATATATTACTAAGTTTTTTGTCAATGAGTTTATAATATGTTTAATTAATAATTAAAATACAGGAATTAATTTACATATAAACGAATACATTTTTGAATCGTCCAAATCAACAAAACTCTCTCGTCGCTGGCCCGTGCACGGGATGCGCGCGCAGCCAACAATTACAAAGCCTCTGTTGTTTGTTTGTTTGTCTGCTTGTTATTAAAATTCTATTTTATTATAAAAGTTGATATATATAATAAACATTGGTATTATCTCACCACAAGTTTAACATTTACCCGTGATTGGGGGGAGATATTTCTTGACCGGAATAAAAGTGCCCTATATCCTTCTCCACCCCATGTCGTATGAGTGTATTAAATTTCATAGTGTTTGATTAAAATGTAAAAGCACTATAAGGTAACACAAACACTCACACATTTATAATACACGTTTGCAAAGATAGCCCGTTTTAAAAAAGGTATATATGAATTTGGATACTTCCAAAGGCAGAGGAAGACCTAAAAAGACGGGTGAACTCTGTGAAAGATGATATGGCCGGAATGGGAGTGAATGCGGAAATGACTGGGAATAGAGGAGAATGGAAGAGAATAAAACCAGAGGGAGTCTTCTTGTGTTTCTACCGTGAAACAGTTGTGTTCGTATAGCTGTTTCGGTTTGAAGGGTGGGATATGGCAGTGAATTTACTGGGTACAGAGGAATAACACCTAAGTCCTCAGGAATGGCAACGCATGGGGTGTATCATGGGCGAAACAGTATACTCTGTTATGTGGATGGTATTGCTCATGTCTATAGGCGACGGTTACCATTTTCCATCAGGTGGGCCGTCAGCTTGTTTACCATTCTAAGTTGCATAAAAAAATTACATATTTATGAGGTAACAAAAAAATACAATCAAATTGAAAAAAAAATGTTTTCGCGCTATCTGTGGTATCCGAAAATCATGTCGGCCTTTATTCAAAAATACTTCGCCTTCTTCCCTTGCAATGTATGTACATATGCGATAAGCAGTATTTAACAAAAAAAAAAAAACTCCTTCAGATTTAAAAAGTCGGTCGAAAATGGTGGATACCCAGGAAAAAATAAAACACGCATTATTAGCAAAGTACATATATAATTGAGAAAGGTATCAATACGAGATAAATGCAGTCTGACACGGAATATTTTGCGCGCGCATTTTATAATATATTTATAGATTCACTAACACGTTACACTGTAGCCTTCAGTAAATACTCATTTATAATTGGTACTTTTTCAGTCTAAAATCCAAAACTAAAGAAATCGAAATTCAAATGTTCCAAATAATATAAAAAAAAAAAAAATAAGTAGGTAATACATTTTTTTATATCAAAATTTTTAGCATCAAGCAGCGAGTTATAATGCTGTTTTATAGATAAAGTAATTACATTTTCAAGTGTCTATGAAATTAGAAAAAAAAAAATAATAGATTTAAGCCAGTATTTACGCGATACTCATAATAAATGGCGCCTATATTAGGCTTAGAGCCGTTGAAAGAATATTACAATTTCCCCAACAAATACTGTAAATTTCACGAATAGATGCCTCAGTGTCTTATAAAATATTCTTAATTATTAGATAGCATAACCTAGAGAAATTAAATCAGCATAAAAAATAACTCAAATGTAAAAAAAAGTCTAACTATGTAATCGATTTATCAAATTTCCCGCGCTTTTTAACTGTCATTAGCTATAAAATTTGACGCTCTTTTGCAACTAAGCCCCTTTGAGTCGTTTCCCAAAAATCCTATTTAATATAAAAAGAGATGCTATCTAAAAGAAGTAGCTATTGTAAGTATAAAAATTAAAACTGAAAGAATAAGAAATAAATTAATTGAGAGATTACACGTACAGAAGGCATGGAAACTCCGCTTTATACAATATTCCTCTCTTTGTATAACCCGCCCATTTACATATACTAGTCTGTTAATATTACGGCCACAACGAGAGGCGCGTATTCAACTAGTCGGATTATACAAAGAAAATCCTGCATGAGATATTAAAAGCAAACCTTATCTGATTCATGTAAGATCGAATTTTAAACTCCCCAGCCTCCCTAAACAAGGTGTCGACGAATCCATCGACAATATCTCCTCTGGCCGAGGAGATATGAGAAAGACTAAGACGGCGTATATCGCTGTCTCATTCTATTGACGGATTCGTTCGTACCTTGTCTAAATGGATTTCCACGTTAGTAGACAGTAAGTACCTCATTACAGTTAATTTAATATGTTAATTCTAAATGCCTTCATATATATACTTACTTCCAACTTATGTCTTCTACCAACAGTCAACAGTTACTGTTTTACAAAAATACATAACTTTTATTACAATTTATTATATTTTACTTAATATCTAAGTACAGTAATAAAAAAAGAAAATTTTACTCAAGTGAAAAAAGCTATTTGTGAGGAAAAAAAAATAGTATAAATTATCAATTAATTTTTAATAATATAGTATATATACATTAGACAGGAATGGCAACACATGCTAGTTGCCATATGCGTCAAATATTAATGGGCTTGACTATGGTATTCTGTCCATTTCTACAGGCGACAGATACCTATATAAAATATATAATTTAACCTAATTATTCATAAAAACTAAATTCTACTACAAAATTATTTTAGTTATTACAGAGTGTTTTGTCACTTTCTCTCAAATTACGAGATTAAGGTAAGAGAAATAGATAGAACACATTTGACATTTTTATAAATGTGTCAATGTTTTTATTTTATTTTTTTTACATAAAGAATTTTTTTTAAAGAAATTTTTTAGGTGAACACTTAAAAAAAACTATATATGTATATCAAAAACGTATAAAAAAAAATTCTAAAGCTTATAAACTAAAAGCAGTGCCCACATAAAACTGCCTGAAATAGTAGATTCCGATTGAAATAAGCAGTTTTTCATTTAAACATCGATATATTTCCATATTTAAAAATTGTTGAATATAAAAATAAGTAATATTTAAATTCAGAAATACAATTGTTTAAATTTCGGTGTTAGATTCAGTAAGTGATAACACAGAACACTTATCTACAGTTGAGATAATTACACGTAACAGCAAAACGAGTGGTTTTTTTTCTACGCACGTCAAAATGAGAGAAGGGGTTGTCAGAACTAGTGCTATTGGCTGTAAAGAAACTATGGACAAGGAATTACATAGAAGAAATGCTAAAATAAAACCTGTAAATCATATGGTTGCCTCCTTTCTTCTTATGCAAATATAATTAGTAAAAAGAGGACGAAAGATACACCATCCGTTGCTATTTATCTCAATTCATAGCAGGCTAGTGTATAGAAAATGTTTGATATGTCAATTATTTGTCAATGACAAATTTTACATTACTAGATTATATATTCGACACAGTTTATGTAGAAAGTATGCAAGCAGGTTGTATCTGAATTTGGTAGGATTATACGGCCGTATAACATTTTCTGTACACTAGCCTGCTATGAATTGACAATTTTATCACTCCTATGTATTCTTGTTCTTGGTATAGTGAGGCACATATCCTGTCAGGTAGACTGACAGATAGGTAGGCCTAATGAATTAGAACGCCTGATTTTATTCTCATTTATATCCCACTGGTGCCTCACTAGTGTATACCGACAGCGCAGGCAGGGTTACCATTCATTAATAAAACCAATCTTAAAAAAAAAAAAGAATTTAATTTATATTCTAAATTTAAAATAAACATAATAGACATGTGACCTATTTTTTCAGGCAGCTTTTATTAACTAAGTATTTTATTATTGAAAAAAAAAAGACATATTCTTTGTGGTTCAATAAGAGAACTAAAACTAATGAAAAATACCTTAAAATTATTACAATATAAAAAAAAAAAAAATTGTTACACATCACCAATTGAAATCTTTTAGGGCTAATCCCGTGGGACTCGGAATCCCACACTTTACACAACACTAGTACCTATTAAATATTTTCTTTTTATTAAATATACGCAAATTTTGAGATGTAAACAGTCTATTTACAAATAATCCCGGGAATACAAAATAAGACAAGAAATTAAATGTAAAAGTAGTTATAGAACGCGACAGTTTAAACTTTTATTTTTTAAAACAATCTTTTATAATCCGCCATCTTGTAGCTGCCAATTATTTTAATGACGTCATTTATTGCATCGTTATCTACTCTTCAAATGCTTTCATTTAAAAGCCACAGTAAAGGAGTTGATAAAAAATACACCGTCCGCCATTTTGTGGTGACGGCCATTTTGTAAGTATTATGAGTATGCAAAATTTTAGTTCAATCATGATATAAAGGAATGGTTTTAAAGCTTGCAAGGTTCAAATTAAACAAACTTACGTTGCAAGTTAAATAAAAGCCCGTAAAATATACATTTTTTAACCGGGAATATTGGACATACGCCATAGAAGAGCAGAGGAAATTATTAGAAAAAAATTATACGCGAAAAAAAAAATAGTACAAACTGTTTTTATACACTTGGCATATATTACACCGGAGAAAAACTTTGTACAAAAGTCGATTGCTTGGGTACCTCTGTCGCATTCGTGTTTCAACTGTAAAGCAGTTGTGTTTGCATGGCTGTGTTTCAGTTTGAAGGGTGGGATATGGCGTGAATTTACTGGGTACAGAGGAATAACACCTAAGTCCTCAGGAATGGCAACGCTGGGGGGTATCATGGGCGAAACAGTATACTCTGTTATGTCCATGGTACTGCTCATGTCTATAGGCGACGGTTACCACTTTCCATCAGGTGGACCATCAGCTTGTTTGCCATTCTAAGTTGTATAAAAAAACAAGTGTGGATAGTGAAGATTGTTTACGCTTGGTGGAGTTTAGAATTCATCTTTATATTTATTTATTATTATTTATTTATATTTAACAGACTTTTACGATACATATATGCCAAGTTTAAAAGACAGTAAAATAATGTAACATTATTAGTTTTTTTTATTTTTTTTTATTAAGGGTTTATGGGTTTACACATTAAATAAAAGAAAAAACTTTCTTGTTTCTAAAAAGGCTCCCAATTAAATCTAATTACAGAGCAATCAATACAGATTGTATTTTTTTTTTAATAAAACTATAAAGTTCCAGATCTTACGATTCGATATAGATTTTAGTTTAATAACTTATATTTATTTATGTGGTAACACAGTACACATACGATGCGTAAGCGCATTATTTCGTTCCCATGGTAAAGAGGCGGAAAGGTGGCGAATACCACCAACAAGTGCTTTCCCAAAAGAGGGTTGAGGTCAGGCAGGCGGCCGGTCGTAAAACTAAGTCAATTTCATTTTGTAATATTTTTTTTTACAACACGGGGCAAACGAGCATGCGGCTCACCTGATGGTAAGTGACTACCGCCGCCCATGATCACTCACAACACCAGCGGCATTGCAGGTGTGCTGCCGGCCTTTTAATATGGAAAAAACATTACGCCGACCCCATATAATAATTGGGATACGGGTAGGAAGAAGGCAAAGAACGAGGCGACTGTAGGTGCATTATAATGAGGCCGATTCTGTGGTACTGTGCTTCTAAATTTATTTCTTAACTTATTAATTGAATGTTGGGCTTTTTCAGGCAGAAAATCCTGGAGCCCTTTACACGATCTTTCGTGCTTGCCCTCGCCGTGTTCCCACAGAACTTAAGTTTTAATAAAAAGTGCCGTGGAACTTGTCCTCTATTTAAGCATTATTAAAAATTAACAAATATGTAATTTTTTTCATAATAATTTAATGAGAATGTAAACTAAATTAATCGATTCCCCCTCGCCCTCCCGAGACAGCCTAGTGATGTCCGATCGAACAATCGAGAATCGATAAATTGAATGTTGATTATCGATTGAATATAGATCACCAGAGGGAGACTTTGTATAAAAGTCGATTGCTTGGGTATCTCTGTCCCATTCGTATTTGAACCGTGAAGCATGGCTGTGTTTCGGTTTGAAGGGTGGGATATGGCGTCAATTTACACGGTACAGAGGAATAACACCTGAGTCCTCAGGAATGGCAACGCATGGGGGGTATCATGGGCGTAACGGTATACTCTGTTATGTTCATGGTACTGCTCATGTCTATAGGCGACGGTTACCACTTTCCATCAGGTGGGCCGTCAGCTTGTTTGCCATTCTAAGTTGTATAAAAAAAAAGATTTATTCCTAATTTTGTTTAGAACGTACTTTTATGATAGCTTCAACAAAATTTAATTACATTTTCATTAAATTGTATTGAAAAAAAAAAATTAAACATTTGTTATTTTTTTATATGTTTTAATAGAAAATAAATCCCACGGCGCCTTCTTTATTTGAAATTTAATTAAATGTACAATTTATTTGTTTTCGACAACATAACAGTACCCATGTGGAACATTTGTTTGACATCTTTTTGTTTTTAATTAATGATTATCAATGTTTGACACAATAATTAATGAATGGGTCAAACATTAAAAAAAAAGGACACTTTATTACACTGTCCTTTTAATTAATTTTTTTAATCAATCAACTAACCATTTCAAAATTTTTTATGAATTGTGACAACACTTTCCAATCCCGGGATCGATTTACCAACAACAACATTCTAAGAGATCGTCACTAACTTCACAAAAAAAATCGCGGAATCCCGCGGGATTTTCGCCGGTGAGTTTCAACGGGATGATGCGGCGGGTGCGGCCTACTCGAACACGAGGGAGGCACTGGCGTACGACACGGACGAGTCCTGCGGGTTCACGCACTGCGACGACTGGGCGTATTTTAGGAATTTCATGGACATTCTTGGTGCGTTCTGTTGCGATTGAAGCTTCGATATTGCCTGGAAATACAATTTTTATTATTATTTCAGCTGAACGAGTCTTCTCCACAAGGAGAGTGTTGCCAGTAGTTGCCACGCTTAGCAGGCAGGTTGACAACCACAGTTAGGCTTTAGAGTTATTTTAAGAGGGACTCTGCTGTCCATCCCTCGACCTCCCGTAAGGAAGTGGTGGCCCATTCTATGCCGGGACCTATACGGCGGAAATACAATAGTATTTATGGACCATTTTCAGCGAGTGCGATACTAGTCCTATTTCGATGTGTGCTTTTAACTTTTTTTTAATATTGTTAAAATAAGGTGATTACTGTTAAAAGACCAGAGGGAGACTTTGTACAAAAGTCGTTTGCTTGTGTACCTCTGTCCCATTCGTGTTTCTACCGTGAAGCAGTTGTGTTTGCATGGCTGTGTTTCGGTTTTAAGGGTGGGATATGGCGTGAATTTACTGGGTACAGAGGAATAACATCCGAGTCCTCAGGAATGGCAACGCATGGGGGGTATCATGGGCGAAACAGTATACTCTGTTATGTCCACGGTACTGCTCATGTGTATAGGCGACGGTTATCACTTTCCATCAGGTGTGCCGTCAGCTTGTTTGCCATTCTAAGTTGTATAAAAAAAAAAAACAATATTACAAAATTTGTGAACATAAAATATAAACATAAGCATACATCTAGTGAACAGTCACAGATGGTGAAGGTGATGATGATGAAACGTACCTGCAGTAGCACGCCTATGGGATGCCTGCCGCATATCGTGTTGCTATACTTTTTTATATACTCTGTGAACGCGCGCGGATCCATCTTCTCAATTATGTCCATAGCCTAAAATGAATGGATGAAATTTTATAATTCACTAGATTAGAGAAAAAGAAAGGAAGTATTATTATTTGAGTAAACTTAGAATTTAACCATTTTTTCTCAAACATGCTTGGAAATGTGAGCATTGTTTTGACAATCTACCAAGGAGGTAACTAATAAAAGGTTTTATTTAAATTTCGAACTGGCTTGCAAATAGAAAGCTGTTTATTGAAAAAAAAAAAAAAACAAATGAACATTATGGCGCGTGAAAAATTATTATTGTTCGTTATTCGTCATTGAACTTAAAAAAACTTTGATGGACTCACGTATGTGTGCTTCGGCTATGCCTCGGCCCACATTTGCACCTTCGTCCATCAATGCCTCAGTAGTTGGCCGCTGCAGTAATGTACTATTAATAGTGTTTTTTTTTTCATTACCACCCATTCGGAATGCTATTTCAGCCAAGAACGAGCAAGAAACTCAGCTGTTGCTTTTTCAAAAAGTTTAACTATATAAATAATGAATTTGTATGAATACAAACTACTAAGCAGTATCAGGTCATGCAATTTAAAATATATTTATATATATAAAAATTAATGCCACTTTTCGTTGTAATTTTCTAACTCAAGAACGGGCTCACCTATCCAAACCAAATGTTTAAGCTTTGTTCAGACTATTTAGTAGATGGTTTATGTGAAGTTTGCACAAAATCGCTCGAGCGGTTCTTCATTTATCACATTTTTTGTAACAAATGAATTCAATAAATGGCGGATCATTTTGTTAATGGGGATTTTTGTGTCAAATTCAAACTTTTTTTTAAGATGGGGATTGTGCTGTCAAATTTAAACTTTTTTCAGTGTTGACAGTACAAGCATGTGGGGGGAAGGGATTGTTAGTAATGGAGACTGAGAATCCCATTGCTAGCAATATACCCAACCAGGTCGACCTCCTCGCAGTTCCCCCTGGAAACTATCATGATTAATTCCTGATGAATTCATCATGATGGGCTAACTGGCCTGTTTTCATCCTCATCTATCACCCTTCACTGGTGCTCCGCCAGCGTATCCCGTTAGCACAGGCGGTGTTACCATACCATTTTCACCCATTAAAAAAAAAAAGTACAACCATGTCGTTATGTCATTCATGCGGTCATTTTATTTTGGACGTGCAATTTAAAAATTTAAAAATTAAAGCAAATTGTCAGCGATAATTATTGCTTTGTGTTTATATTTTTAAACATCACTTTATACGTAGCGAAGCACGTACCGGGCCGCTAGTAGTATATAATTAAAACAAATCTATATTTTGTTAAGAATTTACAGGGTACAGAGGAATACCACCTGAGTCCTCAGGAATGACAACGTATGGGGGTATCATGGGCGAAACAGTATACTCTGTTATGTCCATGGTACTGCTCATGTCTATAGGCGACAGTTACTACTTTCCATCAGGTGGGCCGTCGGCTTGTTTGCCATTCTAAGTTGTATAAAAAAATATACCTTTAATTACAAAATAATGAACAAAAACCACAAGTATCGATTCCAGCGCCATCTATAACAGATGGCGTGATTTTTTAATTTCGTTTAGTAACGTGCCACGTTAAACACTGTACCTGTTTGTCGAGCCACTCGATGCTCTGGTGGATGGGTCCCCTGGACGAGTCGCGCCAAGTGTACCGGAACCTCGAGCCCCAGTGGCAGAAGTCGGAGGAGATCACTAGTAAATTCTGCGGGTCAGCCAGGTAGGGGGCCAGGATTGCACCATATCTGGAACGTTAGATAGATACTCTTTATTGTTTCCTCCAAAAGATTACAATAGTAAACTTATTATAAATATAAATAATTACAAGAAACAATCACAGTGAGAAAACAATGGGCGACCTTATCGCTAAGAGTGATCTCTTTCAGGCTGCTTTGATTGGCTGACTGTACATTTGTTACACACAAAAAAAAAAGACTTTAACGGTGGCAAATGTAGTTTATTTTGATTTAAAAACCAAACTACTACAGTGTCTTTGACAAATTTTCTACGAGAACAATCTAAAAATATATTTATTTATTTATTCTTTATTGCACAATAAAATTTTGTACAAATGGCAAGCTTAATGCCATATGGCATTCTCTACCAGCTGACCATTAGGTGAAAACAGAAAGCGTATGAAGGGCAGATGTGGTGAAAAATATATGACAATTATAGTAACAATAGTATATATACTTGGTTTAAAATTTAAATAATTTTTTTTTATACAACATAGAATGGCATACAAGCTGACGGCCCACCTGATGGAATGTGGTAACCTTCGCCTATAGACATGAGCAGTACCATGGACATAACAGAGTATACTGTTTCGCCTATGATACCCCCCATGCGTTGCCATTCCTGAGGACTCAGATGTTATTCCTCTGTACCCAGTAAATTCACTGTCATATCCCACCCTTCAAACCGAAACACAGCCATGCAAACACAACTGCTTCACGGTAGAAACACGAATGGGACAGAGGTACCCAAGCAATCGACTTTTGTACAAAGTCTGCAAAATTACTTATTGATATACATTGACTATATTATTATATTAGCCGTTAACTGCCCACTACTGGACATAGGCGTACCCCATAAAGAAAAAAAACTTACTTGGCCTCCTTTTCCGGCGTTAGAGAGCCGACCAAAATTGGTATGATTGTGAAACCGGTTTTATACCTGAAAATAAATATTATAAACATATCAGATAAGTGTTTCCCAACGTGGGGCCCACGGCCCACAAGGGGACAATTTGATAACTATCAAATTGAGATAACTACAAATAAAGATAAAACATGTACATACTCCTCCATAACTTTGGCGATGTACGGTAGGTGCATCTCTATAGAACGCTCGTCTTCGTCCGTCTCCACGTCCATCCATTCGAACTGACGCGTCGCCTCCAACTCCGCGTATACTGAAAACAAATATGGCATTCTAAATTTGAAATAAAGAAATGGTATTCTAAATTTAATTTGTTTAAATGAATTTAAAACAAAATAAAAAAAAATGTGTTTAAATTTCGAATAAGTTTTGGATTCGTTGTTTTTATGTACAGTGTACATTGACTGCTTTGAACAAAGAATTACATAGAAGGAACGTTAAAATAAAAACTGTTTAATCATACGTTTTATCAATACGTTGTATTTATGACATTGCCAATGCGTTAGAAAGGGATAGATATATAAGATATATAAAAGCGCATCTGCCCTTTGACTAGTCCGTAGAAATCAAATTCCTCAAGATATGTCACTTGGTTTTATTGGTCGTATAATCCTACCAAATTCAGATACAACCCGCTCGCATACTTTCTACATAAACTGTGTCGAATATATAATCTAGTAATGTAAAATTTGTCATTGACAAATAATTGACATATCAAACATTTTCTACACACTAGCCTGCTATGAATTGAGAAAAATAGCAACGGATGGTGTATCTTTCGTTCTCTTTTTACTAATTATATTTGTATAAGAAGAAAGGAGGCAACCGTATGATTTACAGTTTTTATTTTATCGTTCCTTCTATGTAATTGCTTGTTCTTAGATTATATCAAACTCTGTGTATCTATTACCAATAATAAATTATCTCTTACTCTGTTTGTCTATGGTGAGATCGTAGAGCGGAGTTTGATATTTGTCGAGCGAGGACAGAGCACATTCGCCCATCCGGGCGTAATGCGACGCGCCTAGGATAAACACGCGCTTCCTGAAAATAACCTCAAACTGTATTATTATATTTAACATTTTAAGACAGCGCCCATCTAGTTTTTTTTTAATAGGTGAAACTGGGATGGTAACCCCGTCTGCGCTATCGGTATACACTGGTGGGGTACCAGTCAGAGATGAGAGGTGAGGATGAAAAGGCAGATCAGTTAGCCAATCGTGACGAATTCAACGATAAATGAGTCTAATAAGGCATATTGCTAGCAATAGGGCTGTCACACTTCATTGCTAACAATCCCTTTCACCCCAATACACAGATATCGGATCGGTATCCACATTACACAAGCCTAGTTTGCAGCGTATTTTTTCTTCAAAATAGATACACTAGTGGTAATTTATTACGTGAATTTAATGTGAAACAATGTACTCACACAACAACAGGGCTGACTTGTCTGTAGGCGAAGGCTGCGCACGCTCCCCACGCTCCGCAATATGAATAACCCGCGTGGCTGAAAGCAAGCACAATTATTTATTTATTTATTTATTACATCCACTGGGTGAGCCTTACAGTCTCCCAATACGCCCACCCAGGAAAGCATGAATACAACAACATAGAAAAAAAAGGAATATTACACATATATACAACAAGAATAATATAAAAAGACTTAAACAAAAACGTCTGAACACAAATACTCTGTGGTCACCCGGCGAAACTCCAGCAAGTTGGAGGCAAATACATCCAATTGCGGATACTGGCTCAAAATATCATTGAGTAGTTTCAATGCAAGAGATAGGGGAGCCTGCTTAGCGAACTCTGTTCTTCGTAATGGAACATCGAATAAGTGCCGTCTACGTGCTCGCACGTAGTTACTGGGCGCTCCTATTGATATTGATTCCAGTACAGTTTGGTTACACTTTTCCCCCGCACTAATTTTACCACATATTCAATTAAATTTAGTTTTCGTCTCACTTCAAGTGTATTATAGCCCACCATACCCAACAAAAACATACTCGGGTATATATGGGGATAAGACACCTTGAAACCATACTGTTTTATTATTTAGAAGTAACACATTATAAAGAAGTAACACTTGCTGACTGCTTCATACCAATACAAGTCTAAGTGACATACCGGCACAATTGTAGCCGCTCGCCATTACTACCCTACGGATTTTTTATTTTTTTCATTTCTTTTTATGAGTGATAATGGTATGGTAACGGTAAGTCCGCCTGCACTAATGGGACACGCTGGCGGAGCACCAGTGAACGGTGATAGATGAGAATGAAAACCGGCCAGTTAGCCCATCATGATGAATTCATCAGGAATTAACCATGATAGTTTCCAGGGGGAACAGCGAGGAGGTAGACCTGGTTGGGTATATTGCTAGCAATGGGATTCTCATTCTCCATTACTAACAATCCCTTTCCCCTTGATCTTTCTATTTGCGCGGTTGAAAAGACACAGTTGCGTGATTCCTGGAGAGAAACACTGTTACCATGTTCTATTATGTTTTTTATACTAAGATTTGTAAGATTTTCAAAATATCGAAGATAAATCTATAACTACATGAACCAGAGTTGTTATTTATGTCGCATCTAAACTACTCGCTTCCCGTTTGTCTGTCCATGTTTTTTTTTATACAACTTAGAATGGCAAACAAACTGACGGAACACCTGAACATAACAGGCTGTTTCGCCCATGATACCCCCCATGGGTTTATCATTCCTGAGGACTCGGGTGTTATTCCTCTGTACCCTGTAAATTCACGCCATATCCCACCCTTTAAATTCAAACCGAAACACAGCCATGCAAACACACCTGCTTCACGGTTGAAACACGAATGGAACAGAGGTGCCCAAGCAAACGATTTTTGTACAAAGTCTCCCTCTGGTAAGATGTATGATGTCTCTAGATCTTTAAAAATACGCAACGAATTTTGATGTATTTATAAACAAATTAAGAGGAAGGTTTGTATGCATAATACATGCATACATACAATATAGTAAAGGAACACAGATAGTTTTAGAGGTTTCTAATGTAATGACGTATTGTAATGGGGGGCCGGCGGCGCTATTTAGTATCAGTATTGCATCCGTGCGAAGCCGGGGCGGGTCACTAGTTTAAGATAAAAAATGAATTTTCCAAATTCCAAATCGGTTTACAACTGATGGGGTTATGAGGTAATAAATATAAAAAGAAAAAAAAAATAATTCACTCTTGCGCCACCTGCCCACTTCTATCTGTTCTCCTTTAACCAAAGGTTGTCTGTAAGAGATTGCCCTAGCGGTAAGACCGCCTTTTGTACCTTTATGTGTATATTCCAATCTGTATTTATGTTACTGTATTTCACTTGAATTATTCACTTGTCATTGTATATTTTTGTTTATGGTGCAATAAAGAGTTAAATAAATAAATAAAAGCCAGCAGCACACCTGCCATCCTTCCATTGTTCACGACTGACGGAGTTGTGAGATTGTTACCTCACAACTCCGTCAGTTGTGAATCGATTTGGAAAATTTTTTTTTTTTTTATCTAAAACGATATATTTACAGATGGTATATCCATGTAGAAATTTTATCAAAATTTGTTCAATAGTTTAATTTTTAGACCAAAATAACTGGTTTTCACACGATTGAAGTCTTTTTTTTACAATACAATTTTTAATTAATCCTCCAGGAATACTGCTGCTGGGAGTTGGTTTCAAAAACTACACCAAATAAACCACGAAGTCTATACTTACGGTGCAATGATGGCTCGTGCCGGCCCGTGTGTGAGATCAGCCTTTGACAGCCAGAGGTCCAGTTGGCGGGACAATTCATTGCCTATATCCAACAGAAATTTAATCTACAGAGAATGCTTATAGATATAAAGCATCCACATTGAGTACTACAGAAGAATATTTTAAATCTCTTAATAAGTTTAAAACTGTTATTAAAAAATGCTTATTGAGCAAAGCCTATTATGTGCTGAACTATAGCTAAGATTTATGTGAAGCAATGATTTATTGAATCTAAAAAACTATACCTATGTCAAATACCTCAAGAGTTTGTTATGCCATATTATTGTTTATTTGTTAATTAGCACGCTGTGTTTCCTTTAAAATGCTTGTACACTAAGTATAAATAGACAGTAATCTTAATATTAAATCTTATCAGTGTAACAATTGCTGGGAGACCAGATAAAGATAAAATAAAAATGAACTATTACTTGGATGACAAATGTGCATGGTGTTAGTCGATCATGCACGAGCTTTTAACGACCATGTAATTTTAGACATAGTACATTGAAATATATAGACATAGTGTTAACAGAGATTTAAAAGAGTAACTGTTGAGTTTCCTGCGGGCTCTACTTAACAGATAACAACTTATCTAACTCTGCAGTAACTAACTGCTCTGACTCTAACTAAAAAAAAATTACAACTTAAAAGTGCTTTTTGAATAAAAATTATTTGAATTTGTTCACATTGTATTTGACACTGTTTTGTTTTTGTTTTGAAAAGTTATTTATTTATTATAATTAGTTGAAAATATAATAAATTCAAATGTGTGTAAGCCTAGAATTTACAGGGTTTAATGCTAGCAATGAGAGGTAATATCCTCATTACTAACAATCCCTCTACACCCCACTAATGGGGTATTAATTTAATTTACTATATTATATTTAATTTCAGAAACAAAAATTAACTCATGCATTTAAATTAGTATATTAGTAATTTGAAAGCTTTATCAAAGAAATAAAATAATTTATTTAATAACAATTATTATTTAATTTTAATTGAGATCAAGTAACAAAATATAAATTAATCATCCATCACTTTGGATATTTTATCAGACACTTCCTTTAGTAATCTCTCATTGAACTTTGGGAACTTTGCCTCAAATTCGATTTCAAACTTTCCAAATCGAATCTATCTTTTTCTAATTCCTCTATGTTTGTCTGTGATTTTTCATACTCTTTAAACTTGTCTATGTCCAAATTTGAATGTTTTTTAATCTGTTCCAATCCCTCAATGGCTTCATTCACAGCATCAAGTAACTGTTTATGCCCAGTATCTTTATCATATCCAAAATCAATATTTTTTGTTTCCAGTTTGTCAAGACATGCTTGTTCTGTGGCAGATAAATTTTGGAGAAATTCCTCAGCATTCGAAGAATCAGTCATAGAGTAGAACTGTGATGCATCCTGACTCTTTAAATCTAGCAACCTGTAATTTATAAAAATGCCAGACTGAAGTTTAAAATTTTTAATTATATAAATATACTATTTCTTTTCAATTGGCATATTTAGTAAACCATGTAATCTCTTTTTATCAAATAAGTTATTAAAGTAACATATTGCTAGAATAGTCTTATGTTTAACTAGCAACTCACCCCAGATTTACATAGATACATATTGGACATATAAACATTTTATAAAGAATATCTAAATGACAATGAATCCCATATGATAATGTCTTGCTTCCTTTAAAAGTACTTTAAAAAAACATAAATATGTCAACTTTGTGTTAACCTACATGTCCATTTCACCTGTCTTAGGGTAGTGCAGAAACAATGGAACGCCAAATGCTACATAATCTCAATAAAAGCATACCAAGATGATTTACTACATATATTATTTGGCTAGTTTGTGTATGATAGTTTACTGTTTCTCAGTAAACACAAAATAGCCATAAAATTTGTACTAACCTTTTCTGTTCCACTATAAAGGATATATCCTTCAGCCTCCTGTTAGTTTTATCTAATAAATCCACGGTTTTCTGGAACCTATCCGCCAATTGTGCCATTTGTATATCCATCTGTGTTTCTTCCAATTCAATTTTCTCGTCTACTAAGCAATCTTCTAACATAGCGCGTAAAAACTTTCCGTAAGCAATTTGACGGTGTTCAGCATCGAAATCAAGTACAGAAGCTTCTTGGCGTATCATCGTCATGTCCCCTTCGCCTAATACCGTAGTGTTTTTATTATTTTTAGGACGAGCACCAATGTTTTTATCTTTCGCCGTTGTCGCATTTTTCCCGCGCGATGACGAAGTTACAGCACTAACTGTTGATGGTCGCTTAATTTTTACAGTTTTAGATGTTGGCGGGGGCATTGTTTTTGATTTCTCAGATATTTTTAACGATTTTCCAACGATAAATATATGCGACGAAATTTGTTGTATTAAAATTGACGTTCAATTCAAACGGTTGTCAATGCTGTCATAGCAACCATGTTTCGTTCAGAAACGTTATATTGAAACAATACGAAAGTAAGTCAGCGTAGATTAGAGATTTACAATTATTTAAATAAAATTGTTTATAAATATAAACGATAAAAATAATTTACTATTTTTTTTTTATTTTTTTAAATAAATATTGCTCTGGCTCCTTACATGAGTTAACAGGACACAAGTAACATTTCTGAACGCAGGAAAAACAAGTACTTGTCAAACAAAATAATCAAATGACATTCTTTTAACAATAATTATAAAATTATAAAAAAACATCAGGCAGAAGAATATTTTAGATAAATAAATATATTTATAAATTGTAAAGTTCATCATAGTATTAACGTTTAGATGAAAATCTTGCTGCATATTTTCTTTCAGACACAGAGAATTATACGATGTTTGACTACAAAATTACTTAATTAATATTTTTTTTTTTTTTTTACAAATATCAAATCTCTCAATAAATTTTTATAGAAAACAAAGAACAATAATTGGACATTTAACGACTAAATTTAAGCAGAGAGGTCATTAACCTATAAGGATTATTGACTCAACACAGGAGTCAAACCAAAGTAAAGGACAAAATAGGGAATTATAAGGTGGTCCACAAAAGAATAGTAATATTAATTTACGTTCACAAGAATATACTCAATTAGTTAATATGAATTTTAGATAATTATCTATCTACATTTAGCAATGATTTACATACCATTTTCAGTGTACCAACTACCAGCGTGAGAAGCGTTGCGACAAGACATTTTAATAAAAGTTATATGTTTTTGTATTTTATAAACAAAATAATAAATAATTTTACAAATTCACAATCACAAATATAATACTTTGACGTTGACGACTTTTTTTTTTTTTTTTTTTTTTCTTCTTTTGTGGCGTTCACCCCGATATTAGGGTATTTTGCCAAGAACAAAACGGGGAAACGATAATAGTAATAAAAATACCTAACACAAACGAATTTAGAAAGGATAAGGATTAGGTCTAGGATATTTATAGGATATGAAGGATATACTTGTACATATGAGAATATACTTATAAATATATAGGAAAAGCAATTGATGCAACTATAAATGTATTCATGTAATATAACTAAATCTTAATATTGTTATCATATATATATGAAGATAGTATTTTATAGATAATAGGATCATTGGAAGAAAGTAGAGTAAGAATAGAAGTTGGGAATGGAACACGGATGGATCGGAGATGATTAAAAAGGGAGGTGTGGTCAAATTTAGAACATGAGAAGAATATATGATTCAAGTCCGCCACTTCAGCACCGCAATTACACGACGAACTTTGTACAATACCAAGCTTGTATAAATGAGAAGGTGTGCATACGTGACCTAGACGCATACGAGTTATAATAGTTGTTGCGGTCTTTCCAAGCTTTAATTTACAAAACCATGGTTTGAAAGGAATATCGGGTTGTATAAGGCGATAAAATCTTCCTTTTATTGTACTTGTTTTTTCCCAATATTCCTTCCAGGCATACCTTAAATATATTTTTGGGAGACAAGCTAGGTCACTACAGTAATTATGATACGGATACATATCACCACAAGTTACAGCCTCTCTTGCCATAAGGTCAGCTTTGTCATTGCCGCTAATACCACTGTGTCCTGGTAACCAGGCAAAAGAAACGGAATACCCTCTCAACATGCAAAGATAAAGACTTTGTCTTATGTCACAAATAATGGGATAAACTGGTTTTGATTTAAACGGATATTTGGCTAGAGCTTGCAAAGAGCTCATAGAGTCAGTGAAAACTATTGCCTTATGTAATTTCATTAAAAGTATATATTCTACAGCTTTTAAAATACCATAACATTCCCCGGTAAAAACTGAAGATTCCGATGGAAGTTTAATTTTTTGAACGATATTAAATTGTGAATGAAACACACCCACACCTACACAACCGCTATTGTCTGGTTTTGATGCATCTGTAAAGATGTAGTGCCATTCATTCCATTCAATGTCAGTTATAAACATAAATTTGGCATTCAATTCTGAATCATTTTTTGATAACCCAAAATCATATTTAATATTAGGAGATAAAACTAAAGATTGATATGAGCATTTATAAATGGGAAAACAGGACGATGTAAAAGTGGGAGATTCTATGGATTTATATTTTTCATAACTTTGTATTAAACATGGAGGTTTTTTATGTTTCCAATAAGATGAAGACGAAATAAAGATATGTAGTTGAGATAACTTTTGAATAAGCGGATGATCAGATAATTGTAAACAACGAAAAAAGAAGCGATCAGATAAATATTGCCTTCTTAAAACCAAAGGTGGATCACCGACTTCGAGCTGTAAAGCATTGATTGGACTTGATTTCATTGCTCCAGAGATAATCCTCAAGGCCTTTGATTGAATTAAATCCAATTTCTTAAAAGCAAATGAACTTCCTGGAGCTAACAAAAAAGTTCCATAATCAATGACACTCCTTATAAGACCATTATAAGCAAGTTTTAGTGAAACGGGATGTGCTCCCCACCAAACTCCAGCAAGGCACCTAAGAATGTTGAGGTTACGCTCACATTTCGTGGAAATATAATTACAGTGGGACAGACCTGTTAATTTATTATCTAGCACGATACCTAAAAATTTAATTTCAGTCTTTATAGGAATGTATGAGTTATCATAAAGCACCTTAATTTGTTGCGGTGATCTCATTCTTGAAAACAAAACTACACTACTCTTGGTTACAGAAAGATTAAGACCATTTGCATCTAACCACGTTTTTAACAAATCTAATGAATCAGATAATTTGGCAGAAGCAGATTCTATGGACTTCGCAATAAAATATAATAAGAGATCATCAGCATATTGTAAAATTTTGACGGATTTATCAAGGAATGATTCTAGATCGTATGTGTATATGTTGAATAAAATTGGACTGAGAACAGATCCTTGTGGAAGGCCTTTCCATACTGTTCTAGATAATTTGGTATCTTCATCTAGATCCATATGTATTGTTCTTTCTGATAAAATATTAATAATGAAATTAGAAAGCATTACCGGTACATTTAAAGCTTGTAATTTAGTTTTTAAAATAGAAATTATTACATTATCATAGGCAGAATTTATATCTAAAAAGGCTGAGAGGATTGACAAATTTTGTGAGAAAGCTATATATGAATATCTGAAATAAGAATGCTCACATTATCTAAGGTGCTCTTACCTTTCCTAAAACCAAACTGGTTCGGGGATAGTAAGTTATTACTTTCTAAAAACCATTCTAGACGGTTCTTCACTAAATGTTCAGCTAGCTTTAGTAAGACAGAGGAAAGTGCAACAGGACGGTATGAAGATGGTTCAGAAGGTGGTTTATGAGGCTTTAGAAATGGTATAATAATCTGAGACTTCCATGAAGTAGGTATATTTCCCGAAATAATTATGGAATTAATTATATTTAAAAAGTAAATTAATGTCGCATCGCTAGCATTTTTAAAAAAGGAATACGGTATACCGTCTTCTCCCGGTGCAGAGTCTTTAATAGAAGCTAGAACACCTTTAAGTTCTACAAGAGTAAAAGGAGACTCAAGTTCGGATAATTCGTCAGAGACGGATAGAGAAATATTGTAAAGGCATTCCGGCACATAACTAGGAGCAAGGCGATCTAAAAATTTATTCGCTAAAGTTAAATCGAGTGCAGAACGTGATGTATGATCACTAAAGGCAGATCTGAATCTTTTAATATTATTCCAAACGACTGATGAATTAACTTCTGGACAGATAGAAGAACAAAATCTTCTCCAACCTTCCAATTTCTTTTTTTTCAGTAGTTTTCGAGTAGAACGTGAAACTGCGGTGTAAATTTCAAAATTTTCTGATGTCATGTAATTATTATAATTTTTTTCAGCCTCTTTACGATTTTTAATTGCTTCCGTACAATCTTTGTCCCACCAAGGTGGAGAGGGAATTTTCCCTGAAGCACTATTTTTAACAGGAAATAATAAATCAGCAACCTCCTTCATATTAATTATCAAGTCATTACAACATTGATGTTCATTTCCATGATAAACAATAGGTAACTCCGATATTTTATTATCTAAATATTGTTTGTAAATATTCCAGTCTACATTTGATAAATTATATTTAAGTCGAGGACTACTCTTTCGACTTGAGGGAATGGAAATTGGAAAAGAAAGAATGAGGGGAAAGTGATCGCTTCCGAAGGTAGAGGAATGAGGATACCACGACAGTGAAGAAGCTAAATCAGAAGAACATATTGAAATATCAGGAGCACTAAACCCTTCATTCGGTGCAGTTCTACGTGTCGGTACATCTGAGTTAACAATACATAAGTTGTAAGTGTCAATTATCGTCAGGAGTTTTCCACCATAAAAATTAGAAGTAGAACTGCCCCACGATTGGTGCTGAGCATTAAAATCGCCCATTACGAGAAAAGGTTTAGGTAAAATTGAAAATAATTGTTCTAGTTGTGAATATATTTGGCATGTAGGATCAGGAATATATAAAGTAACAAAACAGATACCATTTATAATTATAGCAGCTGCATTAATGCCGCTATATACAGGAAGCGAAAAAGAAGAAAAAAGAAGGGAGTTTTTGACCAATATGGCAACACCGCCATATCCGTCAGCTCTATCATCACGGAGACTTGTAAAGCCTGAAATCCTAAAGGATATCCTGGCTTTAACCAAGTCTCTTGTAGAGCTATTATAAAAGGATTATATTTATTAATCAAATAAAATAAGTCTGATTTCTTATTTGTTATGCTACGACAGTTCCACTGAATTATTTGGACTTTGTAATCCATTGCGAGAAGTTAACAATTGAGACAATACATTGTACATGGCATCGTTGGACGGTGGTAAAGTTGTTTGTATCATTTTTGATTGCGATAACACTTTAATAAGCATGAGAATAATATCAATGATGGATTGATTATTGTCAATATTATTTGATGATAATGCACAACCATTAGAGGGAGCAGGAATATTATATTCCTTAACTATGGCTTCATGGGCAGAACGATCATATCCTTGTTGTATTTTTTGAGGAGAGCGTGGTTTAAGTGTAACTGTTTTTTTATATGATGATTGTATATGTGGTAATGATGATTTCTCTTTAAGGAAAGAAGATTGAAAATGAGATTTATTGGAAGGAGATGATGATGTTAATACATCTGAATATAGTTTAGAAGTTGGAGGATGAAATTTTGATGCTTCAGCATAAGAAACACAACTATGGGCCATTGTTTCTTTAATGGCTTTCTGACGTGCATATTCAGGACATTTTTTACTAATTGCTGAATGAGAACCATTACACAAGATACAAGAAACATTTTCCTCATCTACTTCACATTTATCACCTGTATGATTTTGCCTGCATTTATAACACCGAGGATTTGAACGACACTGCATCTTGACATGTCCGAACCTACAGCAGTTATAGCATTGGATAGTAGGGTAAATGTACAAATCTACAGTTAATGATGTGTAAAACATAAATACTCTTTTTGGCAATATTTGTCCATCAAAAGTAATAATAATGGTTTCAGTATTAATAAAACTTGGTTGTCCTTCATTAATTGTCTTTTTCTTTATTCTTCTGGTTTTTAGAATTTTCCCACAACCTATCGGTACTGATATATTTTGGATTACTTCCTCTTCTGTCCAATCTTTAGGAATACCCCTCACAATTCCCATACGGGTTACATGGAAAGAAGGTATAAATGCCTTAAAATTATGTGTTTCTAAGTTACTATTATTTAAAAATGCATTTGCATTTTCAAAATTTGAGAAAGAAAGCGATAAACGGTTTCTTCCTATTCTTTTGAGGCTACCATTCACTATATTATTTATCTTATTAGTGTGTAAAAAGCGACCAAATGCAATAGGATGTAATGTAGTGTTATCATTAGGATGTGTTTCATTTTTTTGTACATGAACGACATAAGGTGCTATATCCTCGGCATTGTACAAAGTTCTGCTTAAAGTACTGGGTGGAGAAGCAGGTTTAACAGACTCGGTATTGTTTACAACTGGGATTGATACTTGAGTTTGATTCTCATCTTCAATACATTGACAATCACTATCTTTAATTTTAGATTCAAGACCCTTGGTGTGCCTCCTTCGTTTTTTATTGCAATGTTTGCAAATGCGACGTTCACCACATACTCGCTTACGTTTAGAACTTGCAACGCTAGAACCATCTGTGTCCATACTAGATTCACCCAATATATCAAAACTATTATTGAATGGAATAGTTATATTTGCAGACACCTGGGGGGTTGTCCCCCCAGGGTCTATAGGTGGATCCATAATGTTAATATAGGTAATTTACTTACCAATATTTACAGCAACAAACACTATTACTACAAAATATACAATTAAATATACAATCTAATACACAATATATAAAAAAGACTAATCCTTATATAAATAAAAATAAAATTAATTTAAAGAAGATCAAAAAACACTCCCGCTTTTTTAAACGTTTCCCGCGCTTTTTTTTCCGTTGACGACTTTGATCTAAAAACAATATACCATAGACAAACAGCAGTGTTACCACATCAGGTGTGAATTTATGTGCTAAACAATAAGAATAAATGCAATATCATTATTTTATATTATTTTGAAATTATTTGTATTTATATTTTATAGAAATAGTTGCACAAGAAAATGAGGTACGATCCAATTTATAAAAATGAGAAGACGTAATACTACCTCATCTCATTTTTACACAAATATATATAGAAAAATAAGACAATTTTAATTAATAAATATAAGAAGCTACGTTTTTTTTAAAAAGAAGCTAAGTTGAGTAATTCAATTGTGTTGTGTCTAAGCGGTGCTACCACAGATATTTTGGAGAGAGTTGTTACGTTCTGTCAAAGACAAACTGGAATTGGGAAAGTTGAATAACCGGAAACCCCGGCTAGAAGTTGTCAATTTTTTTTGTTTTTAATTGTAAATAATATAAGTTCATAATAATATTGTTTTTTTTTTTTATAAATATGTTATTGCAGATTGTGTACGATTACTTATAAGATTTCTGGTACTAATTGCACCTTATGATATTGACTTCTACGTGATTACTTGCTTGGCGATTGATCTATATGTATTATCTTCTACATCCATACTTCACTCAATCTGTTGATCACTATCTATTATCAATTATAACCTAATTTTTTAAACAATAAATATGAAAATGGTCTCTATTATATGTGAGTACGATATTAAGAATCTAAATGTAGTAATATAGACTATACCCTACGTTTTTTTTGTGGAGCCCATTCCTTGGCACTGTTGCAAAACATTTTTATAATTTCGCAAAAGCACTACTTTATTGATCATTACAATACGTCATAGTCCTTAATATACAGTTTTTGTTTTGATTACAAATTTAAATTATTACAAATAGTTTTAAAGAATGCTGATGCAGAATCGACCCCAATACTGTCATTCTTTTTTTAAAATACCTATTAAAATTTTTTTTTTAACTTTCTAAATTAATATAAGGACTAAGACCAAAGAGTGTAATACTTAATTGTCCATACCTTATATTCTAAAAAGATAAAGAAGACTGCTGCTAAGAACTTCATAAAATTCCTGTTACAGACAGGAGTTGGTAGTGAACTTTAAGAAAGGGTGAACACAACATATCTAATATGTCCCAGTGTTTCTCTGCCTGACAAAGTCTACTGCTCAATAATAATAATTGTTTACACTTCTAATATCTTTCATTTATCTCTTACTACAGTCAGAATGTACACTTTAAGAACAGGAAAATAACTGGGGGTCTACCATGAAATGAAATTCCGAATTATCGGGCTCAATTTCGTGGTTTTGTTCGTACCAAAATCGACCCTGTAAATGGAGCTTAACATTTCGTTTATCATAAATCCTATCATAAAAGTTCAAAGGAACGATATTTTAGCATTTTTAATATTTTTAAACGGTACATATCATGTAATTTTAGCATCAAATTTTTGTTTCTTTCGGATCTGAAATTTTGGGAAAACATTTCATGATAGGCCATCTGATCTAGCTTTAAGATTATCAATTCATGATTTCAATATATTTTTTAAATTTCAGCCCGTATAAGTAGCACCCTGTTTCCTCGTGTTAGTATGCCTGCCTTCACTATGGCATCACGCTCAAAAGCAACATCGGTTAAGCCTAAAACAGCCATTGTCATGCTAAATATGGGGGGACCTCAAACTACTGATCAGGTATTTATTTTTTACATTTTAACTGCATTGACTCAAAATTTTGTATTAAGCATTCGATTTTATTATTTTTGAGGATTTGTTAGTAATATGGTCGGTCACACAGCTCCGTTGCTAGTAATACTCTATTCTCCACTGGATAAGGAGGCACAGTGGATCTTATGGTAACGAAGCAAGCCCATATCCACTTTTTTCTCTTCCATTCTTGTAGTTCTAAACATGGATTCTTCAAAGATGCACTTTGTTACTAAAGATAGATACAGGCTACTCATTATAGACAGGGGGGAAGGGATTGCTAGTGATGCAGGCTACCAGTCCCGATGCTAGTAATATACCATCTCAGATCGACTTCCACATGGTTCCTCCTGGAAACCATCATACTGAATTCCATATGTATTCATCACGATGGGCTAAATGACTTGCATTTTCATTTTCACATATCTATAACTGGTGCCCCACCAGTATATATCATAAATGCAGGCAAGGTTACTAAAGGTTCCATTATCATCCATTAAAAAAAAACTTGTCATAGACAATCAAAATTGGGTGTGTCAATGAACAATTGTCAAAACATTTATTATATGTAGGTAGGAAAAAATCTTAAAACAATTATAGGAACAATAAGGGGCCAGGCCCCTTAAACACAATGGAGTCCACAAACAGCCTTCTATATCAAGGCTGTTTTTACGGTGAAGAAAGGGCTGCCCACGTAATTCTGGAATGTGTAACTGTGGCTCGTCAACATTCAGAAATCCTCAGAATAGTGAGATCGCTCTATGAGGCCTGTGAAGATACCAGGAAGCTTCATTGTTTCTAGGCGCAGCTTGGCTGGCTGTACTAGCTATGACTTACACATACAGCGGCCCAAATTAGAGACTGAATGAGCCCAATTTACATTGTATTACATTACTCTATTAAGTAGAAGGCCACGCAATTTCCTTTTAAAAAATTATTGCGGTTAACACTTTGCTGATCGGTAATTTCGTCAAGGTTGAAATCTTTGGATTTAAACTAAAATTGTGATAAAAACCTTTTTTTTTATACCACTGAGGTGGCAAACAAGCATACGGCCCACCTGATGGTAAGCGGTTACCGTAGCCTATGAACGCCTGCAATACTAGGGGTGTTACGCGCGCGTTGCCGACCCTGAAGAAACCTCTTTACCCCCCTTTTGAAGAACCCCATGCTGTAGTCTCTTGGCCGGGAGGGAGGTCATTCCATAACCTGAATGTTTGTGGGAGAAAACATCTCTGAAACCGTGTTATACTCGACCATTTAGGCTGTAAGGTATGAGGGTGAACTCCCTGTCGATGGCGAGCCGTACGATGATAGAAAGTGGCCGTAGGCATCATATTGAATAATTCCTCTGAGCACAATCTGTTGTACAAGCAGTAGAACACAGAGAATCTTAATACAAAGAAATGTAATTTTTTGGTCATGAACGCTTTGTAATCCGAAAGGTCTTGTTTTGGTCTTGTCGTGGTAAGAGGACGTACCTACACCCTAATTCAATGACAAGTGAACTCATCACCGGTCGGTAACGGTTGGATATGAAAAGACGAGTTTTTTTTAATGGGTGATAATGTGGATAGAACTATAACCCCGCCTACGCTATTGGTATACACTGGGGCATCAGTGAGTGATGATAGATGAGGATTAAGTAGGCCAGTTATCGTTACGAATTCAACAAGAATTAGCGGCGACGGTTTCCAGGGGGAACCACGTGGAGGTCGACGCCGCCTGCGCTATGGGTATACGCGGGCCGGGCACCAGTGAGGGATGATAGGTGAGGATGAAGCAGGTCAGTTAGCCTGTGATAAATCGAACAATAAATCAATCACGTTGGTTTCCAGGTGGAACCACGAGGAGGTCGACCTGATATAGTATATTGCTAGCAATGCAAACCTTATTACTAACAATCCCTTCTGAAAAAATACAGAAATACAGCTGGAATAGAGATGGCAAACGATAGTTCTACAGTCTGCCTCTAGTAATCTTATCAGGATTTCTCTTTGATCAGGTTGGAGGATATCTTCTGCGTATCATGACAGACCGCGACATGATTCAGCTTCCGGTGCAGAGCAAACTAGGGCCATGGATCGCCACGCGCAGGACCGAGGAGGTAAAGAAGAAATACAATGAGATTGGTGGCGGTTCGCCCATACTGAAGTGGACTAATACACAAGGTGAGTGTAAGGCAAGTGTGTTTAAAAATATTTGAAAACAAACTATTGTGTTTTATACTAGCGGCCCGTCCCGGCGTCGCACGGTTAGATATTTTGAACATTTCCCTTCACTGCTCTGCTCCTATTGATCGTAGCGTGATGAAAAGTACTGTAACCTGCCCAGGAGTATGAAGAATAATTGTACTAGGTTTCGTTAAAATCCGTCGAGTAGTTTTTGTTTCTATAACGAACATACAGACAGACAGACGGACAAAAATTTTACTGATTGCATTTTTGGCATCAGTATCGATCACTAATCACCCGCTGATAGTTATTTTGGAAATATATATCATGTACAGAATTGACCTCTCTACAGATCTATTATAAGTATAGATTTATTATAAGTATAGATAATTTTATATTTATACTAGCAACCCGCCCCGGCTTCGTATGGGTGTAATGTTGATTCTAAATAGCGTTGCCGGTCCCCCGTTATATTAGAAACCTCTAAATTCATCAGTGTTTCTCTACAATATTATGCATGTATTATACATATAAACCTTCCTCTTGAATCACTCTATCTATTAAAAAGAAACTGCATAATCGTTTGTTGCGTAGTTTTAAAGATCTAAGCATATATAGGGAGGGGGGACAGAGATTGTTAATAGTGGGATCCACAGACCCATTACTAGCAATATACCCTAACAGGTCGACCTCCACGCGGCTCCCCCTGGAAACCATCGTGATTAATTTTTGATTAATTCATTACGATGGGCCAACTGACCTGCCTTTTCATCCTCACCAATCATCCCTCACTGGTGCCCCGCCAGCGTATCCCGATAGCGCAGACGGGGTGACCATTCCATTTTCATCCATTAAAAAAAAAAAAGCATATATAGGGACAGACAGACGGGAAACGACTTTGTTTTATACTTTGTAGTGATTGGTGTTGTGGAAGGGGTGGCCTATTCTATGCCAGGACCACACGGCCAAGTCATGAGCTGACGAAGAGAGGACGAGAGATGGACAGCAGTGTCCCTCTTAAAACATCTCTAAAGCCTGACTGCAGTTAACAATCTGCCTGCCAAGCGTGGCAACTGCTGGCAAATCCCCCCAAGGGGAGGCCTATGTTCATCAGTGGACAGTTATAAGCTGGTATGATGATGATGAGACCACTTTTCCAGGAGGACTGGTTATTGCGTAACTTCATAAGGCCTATCTTCAGGTAGAATGCTGACAGAAGCCCTAGACCAGATGCTACCAGAGTCGGCGCCGCACAAACACTACGTGGCTTTCCGCTACGTGCCGCCGTTTACAGAGGACGCTTTCCAGGAAATTGAGCGGTATTTGTTTTCAAAATTTTATTTTTTTAAATTGAGAGTTCCCTCTTGTTGGGGCAACCAATTGATGTATTCTCTTCCAGCCAGCTCTATCTCAGGCCATATCTTTGACCTCCCTATACGACATGACACATAGTGTTTCCTTTATCTGTCCCATGTAGTTTATTGCTCAGTCTTTCCCTTCTTTTATCAGTTAGCCCGTCGTGATGAATACACCTGGAAAACAACACAATGGTTTCCAATAGGGATCACGAGGAGGTCGACCCGACATGGTATATTGCTAGCAATGGGACTACCAAGTCCGGATTACTAACAAAAACTCAGTACAGACAGCGACCACTTACGTTTTTATTATATGTATTGATCAGGTCACCGGCACCAAAAACGCGGAGTAAAAAATACTAATTCTTTTTGAACTAAATTTGAGTCTAATATTTTTTTTTTATCACCAGCGATGGTGTAGAACGAGCGGTGATATTCTCCCAGTACCCGCAGTACAGCTGCGCCACGACTGGCTCCAGCTTGAATGCTATCGCCGACTTCTATAGGAATAGGTAAGAGACGGACTCGCAAACAGTCCTTATTCATACAGAGTACCTATATATTCGGTGCCGTGCGGTCCCGGCATAGAATGGGCCACCCCTTCCTTTCCCGTGAGTGTCGTAAGGGGCGACTAGGGGAGCGTAATGGTCGAGGAGTGGGCAGAGGGAGACTTTGTACAAAAGTCGATTGATTGGGTACCTCTGTCCTATTCGTGTTTCTACCGTGAAGCAGTTGTGTTTGTATGGCTGTGTTTCGGTTTAAAGGGTGGGATATGGCGGTGAATTTACTGGGTACAGAGGAATAACACCTGAGTCCTCAGGAATGGCAACGCATGGGGGGGATCATGGGTGAAACAGTATACTCTGTTATGTCTATAGATGACGGTTACTACTTTCCATCAGGTGGACTCCTATTGATCGTAGCGTGATAAAAAGTATACTATAACCTGCCCAGAAGTATGAAGAATAATTGTACCAAGTTTCGTTAAAATCCGTCAAGTAGTTTTTGTTTCTATAACGAACATACAGACAGACAGACAAACATTTTACTGTATGCATTTTTGGCATCAGTATCGATCACTAATCACCGCCTGATAGTTATTTTGGAAATATATTTCATGTACAGAATTGACCTCTCTACAGATTTATTATAAGTATAGATATGCATGGATGTAGGTATATATTTATGTATATATGTATATTTATACGAAATAAATGTAATTTATTTAATTTAATTTTGTCTATGTTGTTTAAAAATTGTCCCAATATTGTACACCGCTCTAGCCGCTGACATTGATGCTCCTTTCCACTTTGCGTGTTGCTGGATGAGAACTTTATTAGAGTTAAGCTCGCCTTTGTACATTTGATTAGCTCTGTCATATTTTTATAAATAATTAGTGTGTACAATAAAGAATTATATAAATGAATACCATTTCAGAGAAGTACCAAGCAGTATAAAGTTTAGCCTGATCGAACGCTGGGCCACTCATCCTCTCCTCGCGAAGGTGTTTGCCGAACGGATCAGGGAGAAATTGGAAGCGTTCGACAGTAGAGTCAGGAATGACGTAGTCATACTGTTTACAGCTCACAGTCTACCATTGAAGGTATGTAACCAGGGTCATAGCTAGATCTAAGTTTAAGGTAGGGCAAAAGAACTTGGTAGAGCAAAAGTCATAATTTTGTGACTTCAAAGGGACTACCAGAGGGAGACTTTGTACAAAAATCGATTGGTTGGGTACCTCTGTCCCATTCGTGTTTCTATCGTGAAGCAGTTGTGTTTGCATGGCTGTGTTTCGGTTTGAAAGGTGGGACATGGCGTGAATTTACAGGGTACAGAGAAATAACATCCGAGTTCTCAGGAATGGCAACGCATGGGAGGTATCATGGCCGAAACAGTGTATTCTGTTATGTCCATGGTACTGCTCATGTCTATAGGCGACGGTTACCACTTTCCATCAGGTGGGCCGTCAGCTTGTTTGCCATTCTAAGTTGTATAAAAAAAAACATGCTAATCTTGTACACTACTATAGTGGCAATCAAGCATATGGCCTGTCTAATGGTGAACCCGAACAGGTCAGTTGGCCCATCGTGATGAATACACTTGGAATTCAGCACGACGCCTTCTAACCTAACAGATCTAACAGAGTTTATTGGAAGCAATGGGACTGGTAGTCCTCATTACTAGTAATCCCCCTCCCCCCCCCAATCGAAAGTAGCAGTAGCTATCAAAGAGTTCCTCAGAACACAATCCGTTATACAGACGATAGAAGGTGCAATAGGAAGAACTAATGGTAGGATTTGACATATTTTTTTGTATTTATTACCCCATTTTTTAAAGAAGGTCGTAGGGTTATCGGCATCAGGATACGATTTAAAGAAAAGCCACAGGATACAGTTTTTTTTATTTTTTATTGGATGAAAATGGTATGGTAACCCCGCCTGCGCTAACGGGATACGCTGGCGGAGCGCCAGTGATATCACCCTTCACTGGCGCTCCGAATCGCGATGAGAATGAAAACAGGCCAGTTAGCCCATTATGATGAAGTCATCAGGAATTAATTATGATAGTTTCCAGGGGGAACCGCGAGGAGGTCGACCTGGTTGGGTATATTGCTAGCAATAGGATTCTCAGTCTCCATTACTAACAATCCCTTTTCCCCCTTATCACAGGATACAGTTAGTTCAATATACATTCCAGGCGGTATCGAGAGGAGACACGTACCCTCATGAGGTGGCAGCGACCGTGGCGGCCACCATGAGCACCCTCCAGGTCCCCAACCCTCACAGGCTGGTGTGGCAGTCCAAGGTCGGGCCACTGCCCTGGCTTCAGCCGTACACAGATGATGCAATCAAGGTAGATAGATAATTTATTTACATTACTTACAGCACACAAATTACAATAAAAAAAAAAAACATACACATAATACACACTAAAAGAGATAAAAGAATGAAAATAAAAAAGCAACAAAACAAAAAGCAAATTTCCTTTCTTTCCTTTCCTTCATGCGTGTGCCATAGTAACACAAAATGGTCACAACTCAGTTTATTGCTTTGCCCTTAAAAGAGCAAACCACTGATATTCTGTTGTGGCCAAGAGTCAGTCGTGAAATTCCTTATTAAAAATAATAATAAAAAGAAATATGGATGAACCGTCCGTATATATATATATATATATATATAATATAATATATATTAGATTTCTCTGGACAAGGGTCACCCATATCGATATCGCCCATATCGGTCGGATATCTATATATTAAAAGTCTGTTATCCAATATTATTTTTTGGATAACAGACTTTTAACATATTCGTTATTGCACCAGTATATATATATATTGTCACTAAAATATATTAGATATTGTATATATGTTACCTACCCATAATATTTCCTTCTACTGTATACGTACGAAGGTGGCGCCCTCTGCGGTATTCACAGTTGTAGACCAACCGAGAGAGACCAGAAGATACCAGAGGGAGACTTTGTGCAAAAGTCGATTGCTTGGGTACCTCTGTCCCATTCGTGTTTCAACCGTGAAGCAGTTGTGTTTGCATGGCTGTATTTCGGTTTGAAGGGTGGGATATGGCGTGAATTTACTGGGTACAGAGGAATAACACCTGAGTCCTCAGGAATGGCAACGCATGGGAGGTAACATGGGCGAAACAGTGTACTCTATTATGTCCATGGTACTGCTCATGTCTATAGGCGACGGTTACCACTTTCCATCAGGTGGGCCGTCAGCTTGTTTGCCATTCTAAGTAGTATATAAAAAAAAACCAACAGTGTATGCCGGGTGCAAATCCAGCGACCCGGAGGTCGTCGCCTCCGGAGTAGAAGCCGGGGTAGTGGGGTACGCCCCGAGGCTCCTACCTCGCCCGCCCACACACCATCTGGCGGCCAAAGAGATACCCTGTTGTTGTTGTAAAATGTGGTTTTTGTTTCACTTCTATTAACTGATGTGGTATTTGGTATTTCATTGGTTTTTCTACTTCTAAATTTCGTATTTTTTTTTTCATACTGTTATGTATTTATGTTAGTAATAGATGGGTATCTGTGTATGTTATAAGGTCAAACACATTTAATAATAATAATTTACATACAATTTAATAACAGAAAAAATAGCTTATTATAAATACCAACCATCAGCAGTATTAGAAAATTAACGTCACACAATGTACTGGGGATCGAACTATTATAACAGATAGAAGAATACATTACAACAGACCAGATATTAAGATTTTTTTTCCCCTTGTTATCTGCAATCGGCTCTTCCATAACAGCCATAATCAGATAGTGTCATGTGTGAAAATTAGCGTTTTGGGAAGCAGTCCAGCCAGTGACAGCTCTCTCAGAATGATTTTGTAGAGCTCTTCAAACTCTAGTGTCAACGTTCAATACAAGCCATCGTCTCAGTCTTGTAGATTGTCGTGCTGTAAGCAGTTCTCCAGCCAGGTCATTCCTATGATTTATAAGGCGCTGTTTATATTTTTTGCTGTTCATCCTTATCTCTTCTTTAGCAGTATTAATTTGCATATAGTTATGTACCTCCTCATTTCTAACAAACCATGGAGATTATTCTTGATAAAGACAATAAAATAGTTTACTTTATAGACATAGCAACATGCAACACACACAATTTGACACAAACACACTCTGAAAAACTGGCTAAATACACGGATCTCTCTATAGAAATAAAATCCCAATGGCGAGTTCAGTACAGTAAAAACAAAAACAATAGTTTTATCTACAACGGGTGTTATTACCCGAAAACCTTACACACAAGTCTCCATACATTATGTATAAAACCCTCCACATATATACTCCTCCAAAAAGCAGCAGTTTTAAATACATGTCGCCTGCTCCGTAAGTTCCTATCCATTGAACTGATGTTCCAAAAACACTTGGCTTTGGCCCGTGTCTAAAACTATCTCTAAATGAGAGATATAACAAATTAAATAAATAATAATAATAAACGGTCGGTAAACGGTCTTATCCCAACCAGTCTGGAACAACATCTCAGACGGTTGGGATTCCGAGGCGGCTCACTCCCGGGAAAGATGCAGAAAGCGGTGCTCTTAGTTACTGTCCGCATTGTACGCCGGTTTCTCTCGCTGGGGCCCTGAACCGCGGCCGACTGTGCTTCTGCCGGGGGTTAGTTTGCCATCTCCTCTCCTTAAGAGGGGAGATGTGAATTTAGCAAAAATTTAAATAATAATAATAATAATAAAGATTTATTGCACATAAAAATATACAGTCATGGGCTTACAGAAATATCAAAGTGAATTATATATGTATAAAATGTAGCATTATGCCCAGCACATTAGAGTCTAAATTAGGCCTAGCCTGTATCTTAGACACCAATGCCTTCAATTAGATACATATTTTCGTGCAGTTTCGCTATATTAGAATAATACAAGATTCAATAAGCAACATGTTTTATATTACTAAAATAGGGTATCTGTAAAATTTATAACCATGTTGTATCAAGAAATGTGGCATTATTAGTAAAATAGATGTCATGCTTTGCATTGTTCAGCATTTATTTATTTATATATTTATTTAAGGAACACCAACAGCATATTGCATTATAACATATAGGTATAACAAACATTAAATACAATACAATATTAATGCACACGCCTATTATAGGTATTCACAGCATTCACTTTAACATAATTATACAGTGCAAGAAAATTAAGTAAATAATAAAAATAAACATGTAACCTGAGTTGTGAGCAATGTCAGAAAATAAGATTATGAGTGAATTGAATTAAAAAAAATATATATTATGACAATTAGAGTTAATTTTCATAAGATTTATAATAAAATCAGTGCGTATTCAACCTCCACTTCTGTCACTCGTCCCCTGTCTCGCATATTTAGTATTGGCGACGAAGGTGGCGAAGGAGGCTGTATAATTTTTTTTTTATATTGAATTTCTTCTCAGGCATACGTGAAACAAGGGCGCAAACACCTGATCTTAGTGCCGATAGCATTTGTGAATGAACACATAGAGACCTTGCATGAACTGGACATAGAGTACTGCGATGAGCTGGCTAAGGAGGTAAGTGGGTTTTTTTTTTTATAAATGATAATGGAATGGTAACCTTGCTTGCGCTAACGGTATACGCTGGCGGGGTACCAGTGAGAGGTGATAGCTGAGGATGAAAAGGTAGATCAGTTAGCCCATCGTGATGAATGCACCAGGAATTCAGCACGATGATTTTCAGGGGGAACCGCGTAGAGGTGGATCTGATAGGGTGGGGTACATTGCTAGCAATGGGGACTAACTACCACATTGCTAACAATCCCTTCCCCCCAGTAGGTGGGGTTATCAACTATTTTATTAACAAGTTAAAAAAGGAAGCAGATGATGTCAGTTCTAATGTATTTTTAACAGACTTTTAAAATAAGGATTTACAATTCGGTTCTTTTTTTATTTTTTATTTGTTGTTTTGTTTTAACTTCGTCAGTCGTATCAAGGTATCTTATCGGTAAGAGTCGACAATCTGTCGCTCCCCTCTCGCAGGCTTGGAATGCCAACTGCACTCGTTCCTGTACGCACCCGGTGAAGCTGTAAAGGCCATCTGTACCAACAGCAAGTACAGATTGAAATAATAAACAATTTAGAATGGCCAACTAACCATCGCCTATAGACATGAACAATACCATGGATAAAGCAACGTATACTGTATACTGTCTAGCCCATGGTACCCCCCATGCAATGCCATTCCTGAGGACCAAGATGTAGCCTCTCTACACTGTAATTTTATTGCCAAGTCACGTAAACGCAACTGTTTCACGGCAGAAACACGAATGGGACATAGGTATCCAAGCAGAGGGGCTGACCACCAAAATAAAGACGTATGTACTCTGAGACATGTCTTACGTGACTGCTGAAAACATGTGGACACTAGACAATTTACAGGGTACAGAGGAATAACATCTGAGTCCTCAGGAATAGCAACGAATGGGGGGAAATGGAAATAAATGATATAAAATAAAAAATAAATTTCTTTGATAATTCAGATATGAATTATCAAAGAAATTTACTGTATTTTAACGTCAAATAATAATTAAACAAATTATTTTAATTGTTTCAGATCAACAAACCGGGCCCCAAGTCGGTACCCTGGCGCACAACGAATACGGCGTCACAAATCTCCCGTCTGGGGACGCAAACTCCAATACAACATTTCCAACATTACCGCCAACAATCAATCCAAACACACTAGACAGTAAGCAAAATGATAAATATAAAGGTAGCTCGGCTTTGTCGAATTTATCAAAAGCTTCACAGAAATCCGAAGATGACTTTGACGTAAATGAATATTTCGCGAGATTACAAGGAAGTAGATATGTAAGCGCTCCATTGAACAGTCTTCTCAAAGAAGACAAGAATGCAAATTTGGAAGCGACCGAAGAGAATCTGGAAGAGATCAATTTGAATGAACCAGAGAAAGTGCAGAATGCGGATATTCAGCAAAGCTTGACAGCTGATATAGCGCAGAATTTTTCACAGCTACCAACGGTTTTGCCTCAAATGGCAAGCGCTGTTTTTAGCTCGTTTTCCAACATGTTGAGTATGAAAAGTCGAGAACAGACTCCTGATGAGGTAAAGCCGGATTCAGGATATCAGGAGGTACAGTTTCAAAGACCCGAAGATATCGGTGTGCCTTTAATGGGTGTGGATGAGAGAGTGAAAGAGGTAGCCCCGCCGCCGAAGGAGCCTCCTATTTCTGGTAAGTATTATAATGTATTTTGTAGCTATAATAATTTAAATCAATTTTTTTAAGAAGACTTTATACTAATGTCGTCTGAATGAGGTACTTCTGTCTCTTATCCTCTATATTTTGCCAATCTGGTGTTCTTGCATGGTTGTATTTTGGTTTGAAGTGTGAAATATAGCAGAGAGATCACTGATTACGGAGAAATAACACCTAAATTTTCAATGATGACGACGCATTATGGGTGTCATGTCCACGATGCTGTTTATCTTTATACGCGACAGTTACCACATTCCATCAGGTGGGCCGATAGATGAAAATTGTTGTTAAATTTATTAACTATTTCATAATATACATATGTACATATGTATTTTAACTATTTCAATAATAAAATAATTAAAATTAATAGAAAGTATTAAAAAAATAGGCCGAAAGTAATTTCAAATCCTTTAATTAACTGAAACAGTAACCGAAATTGATTTTTGACTTTGAAATCCATGTCTCGATTGGACACTACTAATTCTTACTGTTCGTCATCATCTCAGCCATTATTTGCCCACTGCTGGACATAGGTCTCTCCCATAGACTGCCACGAGGAACGGTCCTAAACCACCTGCATTTATTAACTCCCTGCAATGCATTTGAGGTCCTCACTCCAACTAGTGGGTGGGGGGGTCTTCCTACACTGCGTTTACCCGTACGAGGTCGCCACTCAAGAACGTTTCATCTATTGACGATCGTTCGGTTATCGATTCTTCAAGCTATGTGGCCAGTCCATCGCCACTTCAGCTTGCTTATTCTTCGGACTATATCCTTACTATAGCCACAGATAATAATATGCTGTTACTAATGTGAAAGTATGTTTGTTACTTATTAACGTCTTAACGGTTTAAACAACTTACATGATAAGTACATACCTATTATATGGTATGGATACATATCCCGGTCATATGGACAAAGTCGCGATTAAAAGCTAGTGTAAAACAGCTGTGTATGACCATTTACCAACACTCGTGGCGTGACGTTGACCGCGCAGCCCTGTAGTTCATAAGGTTCTCACGGCAGTGTGACCTCTATGCCCTTAGCATAAGGTCACAAGTAATTATCGATCTAGCACCGCGATGCAAATGCCACGAACTTCCGTCTTTTTTAAAATTGTTTTGGCTGTTTTTTTAGAGTTCATAATTTTGCCTTGACGGAAGTGACATCAAGAACAATTTAATAATTTTCAATATTTATGATGGATTATTTAAAAAGTGCCGTGTGGTCCCGGCATAGAATGGACCACTCCTTCATTTCCATCCAGGGAAAGGAGGGAGTGGCGTATTTTATGCCGGGACCACACGCCGCTTACAGTCGGTGCTCTTTTATAATTATGATGTTTTATTGTAAATTCAATCACATAAAGAAAAAGAAGAAAGAAAGAAAATATTTATTGCCAACAACAAAAAGTACATTAATTATCAATAGAAAAAAAAACTTTACAATTGTTATTGCCAACGTAATTAGATAATAGAGAAATAGAGAGAGAGCAAGAGAGGCAAGTATAACACCTTAATCCTCAGAAATGGCAACGCATGGGACGTGTCATTTGCGAAACAGTATACTCTGTTATGTCCATGGTACTGCTCATGTCTATAGGTGACGGTTACCACTTTCGATCAGGTGGGCTTGTTTGCAATTTTAAGTTACTTAAAAAAAATAAAATAAAAAAAATATGATTACACTGTAATATGTGCAATGCATTTACTGAAAATTACAAAAAAAGTAATAAACAAGGTAAGAGTAATGTCCGAGCAATGCATACGGGGAAATTAATTAAAAAAAAAAACATAATAAACCGAAATGATATCAGTGCAAGTGTGTATTGCTGCCAAAATCGCGAGTTCCGAAACTCTTGCGCACCCGTCATGTCATCACACTTATCACCTGCGTGTCCGTACACCATCAACGCACAGACGGACGGGCGGACGGACATAACTGCGAGTAATCGGTGTAATTTGTACACAATTATGGTAATGTTACGACATTGGTCATTACACTCGTGAGAGGTCAGGTGGTCCACCATGAAATGAAATTCCGAATTTTCGCGCTCAATTTCGTGTTTTTGTTCGTACCGATATCGATCCAGTAAATGGAGCTTAACATTTCGTTCATCATAAATCCTATCCTAATAGTTCAGGGGAACGATATTTTAACATTTTTAATAATTTTAAACGGCATGTATTATATAATTTTAACATCAAAATTCTGTTTCGTTCGTCTCCGAAATTTCGGAAAATATTTCATGGTAGGCCCTCAGCACTGCGCTCGGTACGTTATCATAATAAATAAATAAAAAAAAAGGTAAATACGTGGCCAATAACGTCGAAAATGAAACTAAGTTGTAAGGCGAATTAGGCGCACTACGAATGTAACATTTACATATACCTCTAATACGAATAGATTCACTAAATTGTATTTTTTTTTTGATGGGTGAAAATGGTATGGTAACCCCGCCTGCGCTAACGGGATACGCTAGCGGAGCACCAGTGAAGGGTGATAGATGAGAATGAAAACAGGCCAGTTAGCCCATCATGATGAGTTCATCAGGAATTCACCATGATAGTTTCCAGAGGGAACCGCGAGGAGGTCGACCTGGTTGGGTATATTGCTAGCGATGGGATTCTCAGTCTCCATTACTAACAATCCCTTTCCCCCCACCAAATTGTATTGTCTTTGGAAAAGTTAAAGATGTGCAGCACCTATTGATGGCATGTGATTGGAACCGAAGGAGAAGGGAAACATTTTTAAAAAACATTTAATATTAATAAATTAGGATTTTTTTATACTACTTAGACTGGCAAACAAGCTGACGGCCCACCTGATGGAAAATGGTAACCGTTGCCTATAGACATGAGCAGTACCATGCACATTACAGAGTATACTCTTTCGCCCATGATACCCCCATGCGTTGCCATTCCTGAGGACTCAGGTGTTATTCCTCTGTACCCTGTAAATTCACGCCATATCCCACCCTTCAAACCGAAACACAGCCATGTAAACACAACTGCTTCACGGTAGAAACACGAATGGGACAGAGGTACCCAAGTAATTAACTTTATCACAATTAAAGTCGGTTTTTTTTGTGGAACATACTTTGTCTGAATTGCATTTTCTGTCCTAACTACTTGTTCGAGTTAAAACGACTAATTCTTTACAGTTAGAAATCTAGATGTGTCTACGACTTGTCTAGATTTTTCCTTTCTATACAGGACCATTGAGTACAGCGTTTCGTAACCGTTTCTTTAGCTGCGGATCCCTAGTAATCAAATACAATTATCAAAGAATCTGTCGTTAAAAAAAACGTATTTTTCTGTATTATTTATCAATAGGAACAAATAAATGAAAGGCTTGTAAAGCCATTTATTTATTATTAGTTTTGACTAATGACTTTAGCGACGTCGTTCCCGTAACTGGAATATGGTCACTGACCTAAAAATGTTTTTCTACATCTCATATAGTACATATATACCAAATTTAATTGCAATTGATCAAGTCCATAAGAAGTTATGAAAGGAAGCGTAAATATTTACCAATAAATTGCATGTAACATACTCTCCTATTGTATTAGGAGGGTTGTTTGTACGCGTAAATATTTTCCAATAAATTGCATACAACATACTCTCTTATTGTATTAGCAGAGTTATTTGTATGCGTAAATATTTTTCAATAAATTGCATACAAGATACTCTCTTATTGTATTAGCAGAGTTATTTGTATGCGTAAATATTTTTCAATAAAATGCATACAAGATACTCTCTTATTGTATTAGCAGAGTTATTTGTATGCGTAAATGTTTTCCAATAAATTTCATACAACATACTCTCTTATTGTATTAGCAGAGTTATTTGTATGCGTAAATGTTTTCCAATAAATTTCATACAACATACTCTCTTATTGTATTAGCAGAGTTATTTGTATGCGTAAATATTTTCCAATAAATTGCATACAACATACTCTCTTATTGTATTAGCAGAGTTATTTATATGCGTAAATATTTTCCAATAAATTGCATACAACATACTCTCTTATTGTATTAGAAGAGTTATTTGTATGCGTAAATGTTTTTCAATAAATCGCATACAACATACTCTCTTATTGTATTAGCAGAGTTATTTGTATGCGTAAATATTTTTCAATAAAATGCATACAAATAACTCTCCTTATTGTATTGTATCGATAAAGTAGTTCCGGATCTAAGATTATTTTTAATCGAGGCAGAAACTTAATAGTGGCGCCCTCTGCAGTGTTAAAAAAGCACATATATAATAGGTGGCAATATTATAGTGTAATATTGGCGACATAATACATACATATAAGAACGTGTATTTTTAATACTAATATAATAATTCTTTACGGGTATTGTAATTATTTTGCCCACAAAAATAAAGGCGTAAACAGAGCAAGACAAAATTATTTATTTATTTTATATTACAAGAACCCTATTTCTAAGCTGTTGTGATTTTGGTAAATGACAAAATATTTTCGATCTTGCTCACACTTCCGTGTTTTGCTTATAATATCTCTTTCTAACTATTACTGTCGTTGCGTGCTATATATTGTATATCGGGACAGTACGCGCCATTCTTAATCTATGAAACTCCTTAATAACTTAGTGTCGCAGTTGCCACATTAGATTGACAGCGCCCCCTGTTAGCCGGGTTTTTGCATCGAGAAATACTTGGCTAATTGCAACAGCGCGAAAGTTGTACTGGAATACTTATTAGAAAATTGTACAAGACTACTTAATTGATTGTTGAATTGATTAGCAATTATGTAGTTTGCCGTTTTGTGCCACCAGATGGAGACTTTGTACCAAAATCATGTTCTTGATTACCTCTCTCCCAATCTCAGTCGAGTTTCTCCCATCAGCGGTTATGCTTGCATGGTTGTCTCGGTTCGAACGGTAGGATGTGACAGTGAAAATACAGGGTATGGAGGCATAACACTTTAGATTGAGGTTACATGAGGGATACCATGGGCCATACTAGTGTATTCTATGACGTCCGCGGTGCTGTTCTGGTTACCTTTTTTACCATGAAATGGGCTGTTAGCGCTTTTTTTTTTTATTTATTGACCACATTATAAAAAATGTCTGGTACAAATTTTTATGTGGACTTAATGCTATATAGCATTCTATACCAGTCAATCTTTGGCAAAACAGAAATGTAATTATTTGGTAAAAAATTGAAAATTGTTTTAGATTAACTGTTTATCTAAAACTATAAAAAATTTGGAGAAATACTGTACGTTATTAGTTTCTAAAAAAACCTGTACCTCTGATTTACCTATTTCTGTATTGAAATAGAAATAGCCTTTATCTGTTCACTGCTGAATATAGGCCTTGGGAGGTTTTGCCAGTAGTTGCCACGCTTGGCAGGCGGGTTGGCAACTGCAGTTAGGCTTTGGAGACGGTTTAAGAGGGACGCTGCTGCCCATCCATCTCCCTCCCTTAGTCGTATCTTATGTTACCCACGAGAAGAGAAGGGGTGGTCTATCCTATACCGGGACTATAGCCGTAAAATAGAAATGTATTATTATAAAAAAATAAAAAAAAGTACTTTTTTCTGCGTAGAAAAAGCTACTTTCTCAGCAATAAATCAGGCTGTATTTGGTCGACACTGCTGAAAATACTTGAAAATACGTGTAGAATACGGAATCGCGCATTTACCAACATATTTTGTTTTCAACTGGCACGTTTGGCAAATAAAAAAGCGACGTTAATTGTATTTTAGGTCAATTTAATGGATTATATTGATTGACACTTGTAATCCGTATTGATTAATTATAATTTAGGTTTAATAACCTTTTCACGTTTTCATGACACCTTTTTCAAACGGGGAACAATTTGACTTTCTTTTATTTCACTGAGGTGGCAAACAAGCATATGGCCCACTTGACGGTAACCATTTATAGTAGCCTATAAACGCCTGTAATACCAGGTGTGGTTCGCGCGCGTTGCCGTGTCTGAAGAAATTTCTTTACCTCTTTTTTTTAAGAACTCCATGCTGTAATCTCTTGGAAAAACCTCGACAGAAACAGCTCCCAGAGCCTTCATGGGAAGAAACATCTCTAAAACCGCGCTGTACGCGACCATGTAGGCTCTAAGGTATAGGGGTTAACTCCCTGTCGATGGCGAATTGTATGATAGTAAAAAGTAGCTGTGGGAACCATATTAAACAATTCCTTTGAGGACAGTTCGTTTTACAAGCTGTAGAATAAATTTTGTAAATCTTAATTGAGTTTTTCACATTATATTCTATATTCATTGTAATTTTTTTTTATTACAGGTACTACAAATTACCGCATCACAACAAAGAAGAAGGCATACGCTCAAATACCAGGATTAAGTTCTCGTGAAAATACTCAAAATTTACCTTTGCATCCCCCTATGAACCATTCTAGTATACCGCCATTCTTCACTCCACCTACTTCAACTAATGTATTAAATGAAGGTTCGGGATTGGAAACCGATCCAATTAGACCAAAGGAAGTTAATTTATTCAATCCTGTACATACTGAAACAAATAACGAAGGAACCGCTACAGTCCATTCAGTAGTAAACTATAATGAACCTAATTTATATGCTAATAAAGTTGACGAAAATTTTGGAACTATAGAACATGCATCTAATCAAACTGTACCGTTTTATGGACAATACGCTCAAACTGCAGCGATCGCTCAACCAACTCCACCTATAATTCCGCCTCCTCCTATGTTCTCTAATGCACCTAGGAAAGATAATAATACAGTAGGAAAATCAGTCTTACCACCATCAGTTGCAAGGCGGATATCTGCAAATCATCCAATAATTAAACCTACAATGTCACAAGCTCCGGTTTTCGCATCAAATATATTTGTGCCCAATTTAGATCCTTCGACTACAGATAATTTGCAGAATTTATTTAATTCTGGACACAGTCAGTCTCAAAATATAGTTTCGACTGTATTCACACCGACGCTTGTAACAAAATCGCAACCGACAATTTGTAATGTACCTGCAACTCCTTTAGTTGCTCCAGCTGTAACACAAGCGTCAGCTGTTCTTCAGAATCAAAGCGATTCACAATCACTGGCAATTTCTTCAGCATCAGCACCTAATGTACCAAGTGACAGTTTTAATTTACAATCATCGACTTGGAATATAACAGCTCCGCCAACGAATGTGTTAAATAGTACCACATCTATTCATCGATCTAGTTTTATTCAAGAGAACTCTGCTGATGTAGTAAATTTACCACCGTCATCTACAATTTTTTTCAACCCAGGACCATCAAATTCATTACCACCTATAAATGTATTTACACCGACTTCTGCATTTAATCGCCAAAAAACATTATCTTCAAGTGTTGAAGTACCACTACCAGCAAGTAAAACTCCTAGTTACCCTGGTGAGGACCTCTTACAGTCCTCTAATCCAACAACGGAATCCACCACTACAAATATTTGTCAAAACTCTGCATCTAATAATGTATTAGCATTGGATCAGAACACTTCAAATTTGATAAAAACAATTCCATTGAACACTCAAGATAATATTTTACAGCCTTCATCTTTTGCGCAAAACGTTCCAGTAGCTCCATCTTTCTTTAATCCTAGCACTGTGAAAACTGCTGAAAATGATTTAATACAAAGTAATCAAGAAAATGTTAAACATATTATCCCGCCTCCGGTGGCAGATATCCATAAATCGATTGCTGAACCACCAAAAGCAAGTGGCAATATCAATTATAGATTAAATAAGAAACGGCCTCAATATTACGCCGGTCCAATTGAAGGAGTTGGTTCAATAAGTAATAATATTAAACCCCTGCTACCTACAGTGGAACCGAGTAGTTTTCAAGGTGATTTGTTTGTTCCTCAACAACCGAGCTTAGCACCGATCGAACAAGAATTAGTAGCACCTAATATTGAACAAGCTACTGTGCCATTTGATCTTAATAAACAAGAAAATACTATGTACTCACAATTTAATGTATCTAATACACAAAAATTTGCGCCACCTAATGTGCAATCTGATTACAATACAGCATTCGATTTAAGTAGACCAACCACAGAAAAATACCAGGAACCACCACAGGAATCTAAAGGGTTTGGTATTATTGGTTCTTTAAAATCTAAACTTAGTTCTATAGATATAAATAAAATCCAGAATACTGTGACTACATTCTTTGACCCTGCTTACAATGAGGCTAAAAAAGAAGAAACATTTAACCAAGAAAATATTTCTCATGGCCATCAGTCTAATGCACAAGCATCATATGGCTATAACAACCAGGAATTTGAAATATTTGTACCTAATGAACAGCCTCCAATACCTACACAAAATTACGATTATCAGAACAGTCAAAATATGTCTAATTATTTTGATCACATGCAGTATTATCCAGTCCAAGACTCATGTAATTATTATCAGAATCAAAAACAGACCAACTATTACACAAATTTACAACAAAACTATGTAACCAATTATGATAAAGATCCACATACTTCAACTGTTGTGAATACGGCAGAAGCACCTGTTAAAGATAATCTGCATAATGCCTATTTTAATGACACTAACACTACATCGTTTGAAAGTATAGACAAACAACCTATCGGTTCAGTTACGTTACATGAAAAAAGTGAATACATACCAAATGCAAATGTACCTGAGCAAGAAATTGCTCAAAATCTGAGTAAGAATGATATTAGTTTGTCTGCTCAAAACTTTTTCAGTTTTATACCACCAACATCACAGGAAAGTTCGCTATATAAAACATCTGATTCACAGCAGTCTGTTAATTCGACAGTTTATGAGAATAAACCCGAAAATGTATTAAATGTGACAGCACACCAATTTTTTGATAATAAATTACCAGTTACAGAAGAAACAGTAACAAAAGAAAATGTCGAACCTCCATTACAAGAAACTTCTCAAACTGAAGTTAAAGATGAAAATATTCTTCCTCCAGCGAATTTTTTCAGTTATGATTCTACAAGCAAAAATAGTAATGACGATGTATTAGAAATTACAAATATACAAACTACTGTAAATACAAGTGTAAGATATAATAATAGTACTAAACAAGTTGAAGAGAAAAATGATATCTTAGCAAAAGAAGCATTATTATTGTCTGCAAAAAATCATATTCAAATACCAGAGAATACATTTTCTAATTTTAGATTTGATATTGACAACAAAGATAAAGATCAATTTCCGATAATTCAAAATAATCAGACAATTAATCAAGAAAATGTAACAGATAATGCTGAAATCGAAGCACCGGTAGAATATAGCACAAATAATATCTCTGATAAATCTTTAGAAACTACGGAGCTCGAGTTTGCTTTGAAAAATGTGTCTTTAAATGAAATACCGAAAAACGTGGAAACTGTATCTAATCGTGACACCAGTATCAGTTCTTGTGAAAACATCACATGTAGAGATAAACCGCTTCGTGGTAATAGTCAGGAAAACGATAGTGTATCTGACTTTAATATATGCGAAACATGTAGAGAAGTTAATAAACCAGAGGGTAAAGAAACGGATGATTTAACTTCACAGATGATAGAAAACATCATAGCACCTATACAACTTCTGAATCCTGTAGAGGTTCCATTCACAGAAAGTAATACTCCAGTTGACGATCGGATTGATTTTGATACAGAACAATGTGTAGAAATATCTAATATAACTGAAGAAACCATTGAAGCTCTTCAAGTACAATCGGCGGCAAAACTTTTAGATAATGAATCTGGGGATAATATTTCTACCAGAGGCTATGGATGGTGTACAGACAATACAATGCCTACTTCGAAAGATTTAATAGAACACAATTACGCTTTCCAAATAGATCCAAATTCAATTGGCTTTTACGGTGGAAATTCTTTATTTTTTGATAATATTCCCAATAACGCTAGTGATGAAATAAAAGCCGAGTACAAAAATTCGTATGAAGATACACCTGTAGTGCTACCCAGACAAATGAGTGTACCAACAGCACCTCCCGCACCGAATAATGACTTTAAGTCCGATGAAACTGGTGGTTTAGATGTGCACTCTATAGAACAGGATGCAAAGAAAGATTTTCCTCTCTTTGAAGAATTTGTTATAGATCCCTCGGAAACTGATGATGATAAAATAGAATATAAAGAACGAGAAAGAAGCTCAGACGATCCTGTTCCAGAAGTAGATTCGTTTACTGACAGAGTAGAGAAATTTAAAAAAATGGAAGAAACTGCAGTTGAGGAAAATGATGACATATTTGATGCGCAGAAGTCACAGAGAATTGATCTAATTACTATGAACAACCCTGTTATTACAATAGCCTCTTATTTTGATACTGGAAACTACGCTGCAGAAACTCATTATAGAAATTCGATTTCTTCTCCATATAATCAGTTCCAAGTGGGTTCACCTAATATACCTATGCGCATTCCGCCTGGTTTTGAGGATGAATACAAGAGAAGACTAAGTGGCATTTCTTCAGAAAACTTATTTGTAAACACTAAGAACGAACCGTACATTCCTGATACTTCCACACAAATACGTCCTCCAGAGATACCAACTTATAGTTCGATTCACAGGCCTGATGAAGAACTACCTGTAACGCAAGAAAAGGAATCGCGCAAATCGTCATGTGCATCAGAGAAACTAATTCCTTTAGCTACTATTTTTGGTGACAATATGGCTGTGAAGCAAACGGAAAACTTTCAAAAAATAGAATCTGCGGATAGTCAAAGATTAAACCTTTCCTCAGAAATTCTTTCTTCAGAAATATTACCACCTCCCTCTACTGTATGCGGAATGAGTCAAGAACAACATTTGCCAACGTTGGAACCCAAAACAGAAGAAAGTAATGTAAAGTTAGATACACCATTATTTGGTGGCACTTCTTTGACTACCGAAATTCCTGAAACATCACGTAGTTTTCCCGAAATACCTTCACAAACAGCAGAAAAGAAGCAAACCGAGACAAAAATGTTACCCGATCCGGTTAGCTTTTTCTCCACTCCTGAGAATCCTGTTAATAAACAAGAAGACAATGATAACAGTTTTAACAGATTAGCAAGTTATTTTACGACCCCAACGAATACCGATCCAGCCAAGTCTTTTTTTGAGTTGAGCCAAAGTCAAAATCATTACAGACATGCTTCAAATGAAAGTAAACCGAGTTCAATGGAAAATAATAGTTTTCAGCAAAGTAGTCAATCTAATTTAGATCAGAAACATATCCAAAACATTCCACATGATAAGTCCATAATAAATCTAATGAAGGATTTGACGTCCTTTCAACACTTTGAAAATGACCAAATAGTCAGGAGAGTAAATTATTTCACAACGGAATATAGTAATGTAAATATAAACGAATTAAAAATAGGCGAACCAAGCTATAGTCAAATTGTAGATAAAGAAATAGGTAATAAAGTCACCGATCTAGAAAATAAAAATGATAATAAAAGTAAATTAGAGGAAATGACAGATGATGAATGTTTTCTTTCGATGGTAATGAATTGTAAATATTGCTGTAACAATTGGGCTTCATTAGATAAACGTTATAAAGTTAGGAAAACAATGGATAGCGGAAATACCGAGTCTAAACGAGAAAGTGATAGTAATATGGAGCAGGACAAGCCTGGCGCTAGTCACAAAGACGTCACAGTGATTTTTCAAAATAACGAAGAGCGAAATGAAGACGTTGCTGTTATGACTGAGGTATATAATTTATTTGTAATACTTTTTCTTCAAAGAGCTTTTTCTTTAGAAACTAAATTTATTACTAGTTCTTAAAATATACATTTCGCTGTTATATTAAATTGAAAATTTAATAGAAAAGTGGCACCTCAGAGTCGACCCCAATATACGAGTATGTATGTTTCCCAAAACTCAAAGTGATCATCGTAATTTTACCCATCCAATATCTACAGCTGACCAAATGTAACAACTATTCAATAATCTATGAAGAACATGGTGAAACCATAGGCTTACTTGAATGTACATTTGTTTATTTTAACATTATAGAATAACTAACAGATAAGAAATTTCGTTATAAAAAAAAAAGACAGTAAATACATAAAGCCAGTTATAAGTTTTCACAAATAAAAATAAGATTTAACTAAGTGCATATGGCATATGACTAATACGCAGAATTTAAACGGACAATTGGTTTTACAATCAGTAACATTTGCTTTATCCTCAAGCTCGAATACCTTCGTTTTATGAGGAACCTGGCAACAAACGTCAGAGGGCACAAGCCAGAATACGCAGATCCGAGCCACATCAGAAAAATCTGATTCCCAACCGAGAATCGAAATCTGGTCCTCTAGACAAGTGGCAAGCTAACCCATCGCTAGCAATGGAGTTTGACAGCCCCATTGCTAGCAATGTACCTTATTAGGTCGACTTCCACGTGATTCCCCCTGGAAACCATCGTGAACAATTCTTGTTGAATTCGTCACGATGGGCTAACTGACCTGCTTCATCCTCACCTATCATCCTCCACTGGTGCTCCGCCGGTGTATACCGATAGCGCGGATGGGGTTACCATTCCATTATCATCCATTTAAAAAAAAAACCTATCGCTAGCGAATCCGTGAGATAGGAAAAGATAGCAACGTCGGATATCTCATTCCAACTGACAGACTCGCTAGCTATGTCGATTCCATTGATGAATTCGCTTGCCACTTGTGTAAAGGGCCTGGATATCATTAATGCAAAGCAACGCGCCAACTACTGCACCATAAATGTTGTCAATTTAATCGGATTATTCTTGGCGATATTTTAAATTTAATTCAATTTATTTATTGCATTCTACAATATTATTATGAAAGATGGTAACAATTAATAAAGTATATTGTAGACTCTATCGGGCGCAGAGATTAGAAGCGAGGAGGGCGATATTTTTTTTTATTTATTTTTCATTCAAAGACTCTGTCGGGCGCAGAGATTAGAAGCGAGGAGGGCGTCGTTTTTTTAATTTTCACAAAGATTTCAATAATTAAATAGTTCACTTTCAATTTCATCAATTTAATTAAATTCTAATTAAAATCCAATTTTTTTTTTATACCACTGAGGTGGCAAACAAGCATACGGCCCACCTGATGGTAAGTGGTTACCGTAGCCTATGAACACCTGCAATACCAGAGGTATTACGCGCGCGTTGCCGACCCTGAAGAAACCTCTTTACCCCACTTTTGAAGAACCCTATGCTGTAGTCTCTTGGGAAAATCTCGGCAGGGAGCTCATTCCACAACCTGAGTGTTCGTGGGAGGAAACATCAAAATTAATTAAATAAATCAAAATTTTAATAAAGTAAAAATAAATATTCTCCAGCAACGCTCTAGCGCGGAGTACACCCCAGTCAAACACCACTGGTTCTACCGTGTGGACACAGAGAAAAAGTCCACATGGAAAGGATTCTCCTTTGCGGACTCGAAGGCTTTGGAGGAAGCGTTTCATAGCCGTGAGTATTCCATAGACATATGTAAGGCAGAGGAGGAGGGGGAGGGGAAGTGTGGACCTCCTATAATTGTGTGATGGCAACCCCAGAATACGATCGGTGATCTGTTAAGACTTGTCTGGAAGTAACTACATATGATGTTGTTGATGATGATGATGATGATATTGGCCATTAACTGTCTACTGATGAACATGGATTCATTGGGGGGGTTTTGTCAGTAGTAGCCACGCTTGGCAGGCGGATTGGCAATAGCAGTTTTATGGATGATAATGAAATAGTAACCCCACCCGCGCCACCGGTATACACCGGCGGGGCATCAGTGAAGGATGATAGATGAGAATGAAGCAGGTCAGTTAGCCCATCGTGACGAAATCAACAAGAATTGTTCACGATGGTTTCCATGGAGAACCACGTGGAGGTCGACCTGATAGGGCGTCCCTTCCTCCCTGGCAACCACAATTAAGCTTTGGTAATGTTTCAAGAGGGACTCTGCTGCCCAACCCTCGACTGTTAAGTTCCCTTAGTCACCTCTTACGGCATCCACTGGAAAGGAACAAGGCTATTCTGCTGGAACCACACGGTCTTCCTACATATGCGCCTTATTGTTTTTCATTATATAGAAATATAATTATCGTGTTTTGTCCGTTTGTATTGCAGCCAACCTGAACGAGAATACCCTGGTGCCAACAGATGGTGGTCGCTATGACGTGAACATCATAGGTCGGCTCAGGGTAGCCGTCTATTGGGCGGACAAACCGACAAATGTCAGGAGGTAAGTGTATGTATAGTTATCATTAACACTAAAGGACACTTGGGGGGGGGGGGGGGATTATTAGTCACAGGGATTAACAGCCTCATAGCTAGCAATATAAATGTCTGTGGACAAATCTGATATCGTGATGATGGTTTGAGCACTTTCGAAGGTGTTTTTGGTGGATGTCACCGTACCGCATGACGAGAACCTCGTGCAAGACGGTACAGAGAAGATGAGGAAGTGTCATGGTTTGGCTAACAAGGTGACTGTAATGTAAGGGTGATATCCACCGAAATCACCCCAACTGTCTTATACAATACCTCAGACGGTTGGGTTTCCGAAGCAATTCTGTTTCGAGAAAGATGTATAAAGCGGTGCTTTTAAATACTGGCAGCATAGTACGCTGGTTTCTCCTCCTGGGGCTCTGTACTCCGGCCATTTGTGCCTCCGCTGGAGGTTAGTTTGCCATCTTTTCTCATTAAGAGGGGAGATGTGAATATTAAAAATATGTTGTCTTTTTTTTTATACAACTTAGAATGTCAAACAAACTAACGGCCCACCTGATGGAAAGTGGTAACCGTCGCCTATAGACATGAGCAGTACCATGGACATAACAGAATATACTGTTTCACCCATGATACCTCCCAATGCGTTGCCACTCCTGAGGACTCAGGTGTTATTCCTCTGTACCCAGTAAATTCACGCCATATCACATCCTTCAAACCGAAACACAGCCATGCAAACACAACTGCTTCACGGTTGAAACACGAATGGGACAGAGGTACCCAAGCAATCGACTTTTGTACGACTTTTGATGAAATAGCTATAGCATGTATAGTCGGTTCAGCCGGATTATCACCTCTCTGTCTTTCACCATTTGCTTCGACAATGATAAGCTTTTTTAGTCTAACGTATGTTTTCTTGACATTGCAAAGTACTGTTATAAATTGCAGGTGCAGTTGGTTCTACAAGGGTACAACGGACCCCAGATATGTACCCTACACAGAAGCAGTCGCCGAAAAGCTCGAGGTAATTATTGTACTATAGATGTTTCCATATTTCACAGTCAACGGATCGCTCGATTGAAATTGGCCACCGTCGCCTATACACATGAACAGTACCATGCACAGTAATAGCATATTAGTGAGGGAAGAAGGAATTGTCAGTAATGTAGACTACCAGACCCATTGCTAGCAATATACCCTGTCAAATCGATCTCCACATGGTCCTTCCTGGAAACCATCGTGCCGAATTCCACGTGTATTCATTACAATTGGCTAACTAACCTGCCTTTTCATTCTCAACTATCATCCCTCACTGGTGCCCCGCCAGTATATACCGATAATGCAGGCGGGGTTACCATTCCATTAAAGTCAATTAAAAAAAAATTGTGAGTTAAGCATTAATTTTAAATGGAATTATTGATTCCATTTACACCCATAAAAAAAAAATTACTTTATCCTACGTTACTCTAACCCACAGGAGGAGTACCGCCACGGCATGACAACTGGCGAATGGCACAGGCGCCTGGTGCTGCCCAACAACGAGTCGGTGGTGATGCACGGCCCCACCGTCATGGTGCATCTGCTGCAGAGTGCCACAGACAGCTTTAGCTCCACACCTGTGAGTATACATCTTTGCATATCTATACTAAAGGTGATATCCGCAAAACTGTACAGGGGAGAGGCAGGTCATTTGCAAACTGGTTCTTGTTTGCTGGTAGGGGTAATATGATGGATATGGAGGGGTGGAATGTAGATGAAGATGACGTCATGTTTGCATTGTTTCGAAATATTCTATATGCAGAAAATAAAATTGTAACTAGACAATGCCACTACATGGGGGGGGGGGGGGAAGGGATTGTTACCAATGGAGTTTGATAGCCTCATTGCTAGTAATATACCTTATTAGTGTGGTTCCCCCTGGAAACCATCGTGAACAATTCTTGTTGAAATTGTCACGATGGGCTAACTGACCTGCTTCATCCTCACATATCATCCTTCACTGGTGCCCCGCCGGTGTATACCGATAGCGCGGGTGGGGTTACCATACCATAATGGTATGGCATCCATTAAAAAAAATGCCACTACATGGGAAATACTGAGGAAAAATTGATGTTAAAGGTAGGAAATAAAAGACGTTTTCACACACTTGTGTTGCTAAAGATATAATTGAAAATCTTGGCCTTCATACTCCATCTAAATGTAGTTTGTTTAATTAATTTTTCTTACCTGACAATTTGAAGAATTTAGGAAGTTTTCTCAACTCAGTTTCCTAAATTGTCCCGCCTGAGAATCGAACCCTCAACCTCATTGACGCAAAGCAATGTGCCTACTTCAGGATCATGGAGATCGTCGAATGCTTTTATGTATGTACTTGGATCAGAAACCGAGGTTTATGAAAGATCTCATAAAGACCCATGAGGAGGGAAGGGTATTTTTAGTAGCGGGAACTATAATACCCATTGATAGCAATGTAGCAGGTCAGTCAAGTCGACGTGAAACCATCGTGGTTAATTCTTGATGAATTCGACACGATATGCTAACGGACCTGATCTCATCCTTCCCTCTCATCTCTTACTTGTCATCGTTTACCGATAGCGTAGGCAGGGTTTTTTTAATGGGTGATAATGAAATGGTAACCCTGCCTGCGCTGTCGGTATACACTGGCGAAGCACCAGTGAAGGATGATAGGTGACGATGAAAGCAGGTCAGTTAGCCCATCGTAACGAATTCTACTAGAATTAACCGCGATGGTTTCCAAGGGGAATTACGTGGAGGTCGACTTGATAGGGTGCATTGCTAGCAATGGGTCAGTTAAGACTCCATTACTGACAATTTCTTTTCCTCCGTGTAGACAGGATTACCATTCTCTTTTCATCTTACAAATACATTACCCCATCCTGAATCCCCAGCTGTTCCTTATCATCCCTCACTGGTGCCCCGCCAATGTATACTAATATCGCAGGCGAGGTTACCATTCCATTATCATCCTCTAAATACCTTTTCCTATCCTGAATCCCCAGCTGTTCAACTTCGGCAAACGCGTATACCGAAATCCAATAAAGATTAAGGTGTCAGGAGACCAGCCCGAGAAAATAGACCACTTGCTGCTCTTGGTTCACGGCGCGGGAGAGTACAGAATACAGAAGGAGAAGACAGTTAGTGTGAACGAATTGAGATACTGGTAGATAGACTTTGGTCGGATTTTGTCCTGTGTTAATGATAAAAGTGGCTAATATATATTGTAGTTATCTATATACTATATATATATATATTTATAATATCTATACATATATTGGCCCAATAACATATATATTAGATACTAGTTATTCAATATATAAAAACGAAAAGAAGAACCTGCTGTGATGAATATAGATATTCGACTGGTATGGACGATGTGGCAATGGGTGATCATTGTCCGAAAGAACTATATACATATACATATCGAATATTACTGACATCTAGGTAATGGAACTTAAAGGTATCCAAATTGTGTTGATACTATCCCAGGAACACTATCAGCCGTTACCTGTCCACTGCTAAACACGAGCCTTCCGTATAGCTCCAAGAACCGACAACCGATGGGAAAGAAAGTTTCATGAGTGACGATCCTATACATGCAAATGCTGTGTAGGACGACCCCCCCCCCCCTCTCTAGATGGAGTGACAACCCCAAATGCATTGAAGGCTGTCAGTAGGTGCAAGTGGCTCTGAACCGTTCCTTATGGCAGTCTGGGAGGTCTATGTTCAGCAGTGAACAGATAATGGCTGAAATGATGATTAGAATGGTGATGGTGATGATGATGATGATAATCGTTCGTTCATCATTAACTCATGCATTCGATTATAACTTGCAGCAGACGACGATGCGTCCGCGCGTGGTGCGTCGCGGCTGGGACGAGTCGGAAATAGAGGACATGGGTGTGTGTGTGTGTGTGTGTGCGTGCGTGCGTGCGTGGGTGCGTGTGTGTGTGTGTGTGTGTTTTTTTTTTATTTTATTTCGTACATTATCTTTATTATTACATAAAAGGATTTAACTATCCACTGGTGAACATAAGCCGTGGAGAGATTGGTTTTGCCGATAGTTGCCACGCTCAGCAGGTGAATTGGCAACCGCAGTTAAGCTTTAACGATGTTTTAAGAGGGATGCTGCTGCCCATCCTTTGCTCTCCTTTAGTCGCCTCTTAGAACACATGCGGGCAAGGAAGGGGTGACTTATTCTATGCCGGGACCACGAGGCAATTTATTTTATTTATTTACACTTAATTGTAAAAAAATGGGGATAAAATCAACAACGACCAGGTGTTTTTTTTAATGAATGATAATGTAATGGTAACCCCTCCTAACGGTATACACTGGCGGCACACCAGTGAGGGATGGTAGGTGTGAATGAAAAGGCAGGTCAATTAGACCATCGTGATGAATACACCTGGAATTCAGCACGATGGTTTCCAGGACCATCTGGAGGTTGGGTGCATTGCTAGCAATGCGACTTGTACTCTGCATTGCTAGTAATCCTTCCCGGGCGAGGGGGGGGGGGGCACTCCCTACAACCAGGTGTTAAGTTGTGTGAATTCCTGTGACCCGAGAGAATATGTGTGCCGTCCCCGCCGGCTGCGGCTGCGGGCCGTGCCGGGAGGCAGCACTAACTTGCTAGCTAAAATGACTGACTACCAGATAAAATTGATCTAATTGTAACCTTAAGGATGAAACAATAAAGACTATTTATCTATAATACAGAAATTTCCTGAATTATTATAAAAATGTGCTCAGTTTTTATGGTTCCGTACCTCCAAAGGAGAAAACGGAACCTTTATATGATCACTTCGTTATCCGTCCGTCCATCTTTCAGCCTGTCTGTCAGTTAACCCCCTTTTTCTTAGGAACGCGTGTAGGTATCAAGTTGAATTTAATATCATATATGTAGGTATGCAATCTCTTAAAGCAGTGGAAAAATCAAGCTTCTAAATCGACGCAATCAATCGACACGGCCGTTTATGTTCCATTTATATCGCATATTTCGACATTCGCAAAGGGAGTCAAAAACTACGTGAAGCAGTTGTGTTTGCATGGCTGTGTTTCGGTTTGAAGGGTGAGATATGGCGTGAATTTACTGGGTACAGAGGAATAACACCTGAGTCTTCAGGAATGGCAACGCATAGGGGGTATTATGGGCGAAACAGTATACTCTGTTATATCCATGGTACTGATCATGTCTATATGCGACGGTTACCACTTTCCATCAGGTGGGCCGTCAGCTTGTTGCCATTCTAAATTGTATAAAAAAACCCTATTGGGTACTTCCCGTTGACCTCAATCATGAAATTTGGCAAGAAGCAATGCCATGTAACGGAAGTAAAGGAAAACAACCGAAAACTGTAAATTTGTATTTATTTCACAAAAAAAAATGATGATTTTGTATGGAACCCTCGTTGTGCGAGTCCGACCCGCACTTGATCGACTTTTTTTTAATAAATTTGATTATGTTTCTGTTACAGTGGATGACTTTAGAGCCACCAGTCTACAACTGCTGCAGTCGCATTACAGGAATTCATACGACAACGGGGTCGTTAACAGGGTCGAGGTGAGATATGACATACTAACATAATACCAGAGCGAAACTTTGTACAAAAGTCGTTTGCTTGAGCACCTCTCCATTCGTGTTTCTACCGTGAAGCAGTTGTGTTTGCATGACTGTGTTTCGGTTTGAAGGGTGGGATATGGCGTGAATTTACAGGGTACAGAGGAATAACACTTGAGTCCTCAGGAATGGCAACGCATGGGGTGTATCATGGGCGAAACAGTATACTCTGTTATGTCCACGGTACTGCTCATGTCTATAGGCGACGGTTACCACTTTCCATCAGGTGGGCCGTCAGCTTGTTTGCCATTCTAAGTTGTATAAAAAATATAATCTATTTTGGCAGGTGTTGCCCATATCGTGGCACGCGACGCTGCACGCGGGCGAGGCGGGCGTGGACCGCCGCGTGGCGCAGATCACGCTCGACAGCATCCCGAAGCTGAGGAACTTCACCAACGACACCGTACTCGACATATTGTTCTATACCAGTCCAATATTTTGCCAGGTAACTCTATTACTGCTTGAGTATAGTTTTTAACGTATGTCGACCGTCGAGGCGACGTGCTGAAGAAGGGCCAAATTAAAAGTACCCGTAACCGGCGAGCGTGTATGAAAAGATTGATGAATGTGGAAGAAGCGAAGGAGGTTTGTTTGAATCGAAGCATTTGGCGTTCCATTGTTTCTGCCTACCCTGATGGGAGACAGGCGCGACAGATATGTATGTATGTATGTATAGTTTTTAAAAGAGATATGATGATTATTGTCCCCGTTGCTGACAATGGACCGTGCAATGGACCATGTGCATGGACCGTTTAACTAGAGTTGTAATTTTTGCGCCAAAAAAGTTTAAAAAAAATATATATTACGCTGTAATAAATTGAATATTTCGTGGAAACATTAAAAGAAAAGATTTTATTTTTTTATTTTTTTCACTTTATATTTGTAAGTTACTTAATTATTTTTATAAAGTGCCTACTTCAATCTAGACAAAACTAGTTTTGTTTTAAAACCAAACCACTGAATCAAGAAATCTCTATGAGACCAATCCTAATGTAAGGATATGTTTCAAATAAAAAAAGAAATTACCAAATCTAAAAAACTATTTTTTTAAATTCTGCCATATTTTATTATACATATGTACAGCGTCAGGCGTGTTCTTCTCTAGAAATCTGTCCGATTCTAGAATAAAGGCATACGGGTATGCGACCCCGGCCTCTCGAGCCGCTGCAGTGTCCCAGTCCTTTCCGCAACTGCAGTGTCTTAAAGGAATATATATATATATATATTTATTACCCACCCCTAGGCTGTGCTTTAAAAAAACTAGAATGCTGCCTCAGAATCTACACTATTTTTTTTATGGGTGAAAATAGTATGGTAACCCCGCCTGCGCTAACGGGATACGCTGGCGGAGCACCAGTGAAGGGTGATAGATGAGAATAAAAACAGGCCAGTTAGCCCATCATGATGAATCCATCAGGAATTAACCATAATAGTTTCCAGGGGAACCGCGGGGAGGGCGACTTGGTTGGGTATATTGCTAGCAATGGGATTTTCAGTCTCCATTACTAACAATCCCTTTCCCCCAATCTACCCTATTACGACTTGATTAAAGTAGGCTTTTATAAGAACACTCATAAATAAAAATGGTGCTTCAAAATCGACTCTATTGCAATGTGAACAAGGCTTAATGTTGCTTGTAAATATAACTCACTGCTGACTTTTTCTTTCCATAGACAATAATAGACACGGTGTGCGCGGAAATGAATCGAATCTACAGGCTGTTCGTATCGCGCAACCCACACTTCCGCGGTACAGTCTCGTTAGGTGGCCATTCGCTTGGAAGCGTCATACTATACGATCTACTCTGCCATCAGCGGGTAAGTGCTTTATATATATATATATATATATATATATATATATAATGTTAACAGAGAAACAGAGATTTAAAAAAGTAACTGTCGATTTTCTTGCGGGCTCTTCTCAATAGGTAACAACCTTCCGAAACCTTGCGGTAGATTAAAAAAAATACGATTTAAATGTGCTTGTAAACAAGTCTTTTTTTATACAATTAGGGTACCTCTGTCCTATTCATGTTTCAACCGTGAAGCAGTTGTGTTCGCATGGCTGTGTTTCGGTTCGAAAGGTGGGATATGGCGTGAATTTACTGGGTACAGAGGAATAACACCTGAGTCCTCAGGAATGGCAACCCATGGAGGGTATCATGGGCGAAACAGTATAGTCTGTTATGTCCGTGGTACTGCTCATGTGTATAGGCGACGGTTACCACTTTCCATCAGGTAGGCCATCAGCTTGTTTGCCATTCTAAGTTGTATAAAAAAAAGTGGCAATAGATATTCAAAATGGTAATTTTAGCTAAGTAATCACTTTGCTATGGTTTCCAAATTGTTTTTATCAGCCGAACGACAGCGACCCGTCGGAGAAGCACTACGTGTCCGGTACGGCCGGCACCGGACAGGCGGCCGTCCGGTACCCGCGGCTCGAGTTCTCGCCCGCAGCGCTCTACGCCTTGGGCAGCCCTATAGGTATGATGAAATTATTTGCATGAACGTCACTGTATATTCGGTGACGCCCCCCGTGCTGTTCATCTCTATAGGCGGCGGTTGTCGCTTCCCATCAGGTGGGCCGTCAGCTTGTTTGCTATTTCAATTTTGCATAAAATATGTTTTAATAATAATATACAATTGTTTATATGTGGCCGTGTGGTCCCGGCATAGAATAAGCCACCCCTTCCTGTCCCGTGGGTGTTATAAGCGGGGACTAAATGAACTGCAAGATTAAAGGATGGGCGGCGATGTTTAAAGAGACTACTCGCAGAAACCCCCTTATGAGGGAGGGGGGGAAGAGATTGCTAGTAATGGGGTCTAACAGCTCCATTGCTGGCAATATACCCTATCAGGTCGACCTCCACGCGGTTCCCCCTGGAAACCGTCGTGACTAATTCTAGTTTAATTCGTCAGGATGGGCTAACTGACCTACTTTCACCCTCATCTATCATCCCTCACTGGTGCCCCGCCAGTGTATATCAATAGCGCAGACGGGGTTACCATACCATTATCAACCATTAAAAAAAACCCCTTAGGGGGGGGGGGAAGAGATTGCTAGTAATGGGGTCTAACAGCTCCATTGCTAGCAATATACCCTATCAGGTCGACCTCCACGCGGTTCCCCCTGGAAACCATCGTGGAAACTATCATGGTTAATTCTTGATGAATTCATCATGATGGGCTAACTGGCCTGTTTTCATTCTCACCTATCACCCTTCACTGGTGCTCCGCGAGCGTATCCCGTTAGCGCAGGCGGTGTTACCATACCATTTTCATTAATCAAAAAAAAAAAAACGCTTCCAAATTCTCTCTGATCCGCTCGGCAAACACTTTCGCGAGGGGACCGTGTCGTCTAGTGCAGACTTTACTTAATTTATAACTAGATGTCGCTGTGTGTAATATATCAAAACTATTTTTTTCTTAGCAATTTTCGAGTGTATACGCGGAGTGGAGTCCTTAGGCGCTGACTTCGTACTGCCAACATGCAAACATTTCTTCAACATATTCCACCCGTACGACCCTATAGCTTACAGGTGAGTAAACAGTCACTTCCTATACTTTTAGGGTAACAGAACTCCCATCGAATACTTCGTATGGATTTCCATATCAAATGGTTGCAAAACAAAACCAGAATGCATAAAGTCGTTAGCTTTTGTACCTCTGTCCCATTCGTGTTTCAACCGTGAAGCAGTTGTGTTTACATGGCTGCGTTTCGGTTTGAAGGGTGGGATATGGCGTGAATTTACACGGTACAGAGGAATAACACCTGAGTCCTCAGGAATGGCAACGCATGGGGGGTATCATGGGCGAAACAGTATACTCTGTTATGTCCACGGTACTCCTCATGTGTATAGGCGACGGTTACTACTTTCCATCAGGTGGGCCGTCAGCTTGTTTGCCATTATAAGTTATAATAGAAGCCAAAACAATCATTTTTTGTTTGTCTGTCGGTCTATCTGTATTTGTTCTAGCATCACGCAAAAACTGCTGCACCGAATTGAATGCGGTTTTCACAGTTGTGTTTCTAAACGTTAATTATGTTAATAAGTAGTGGAATAAATGGCTATTTTATTTTATTTATATTTGTAAATAATTGTATTGTTCACAGAATCGAACCCCTGATCAATCCGCAACTGAAAAGTATGAAGCCGTATCTCATCCCGCACCACAAAGGCAGGAAACGGATGCACTTAGGTACGAATACTCCAATATTGCAGTTTGTCTTCACAGGCGTATTTAAGACGGGGACAGTTTTTTTTTTTTGAGGTAAAATTTTAAAGTTTGAGTTTTTAAATTAAAACTGGTCCTGCTATAATTAAAGTCGATGTGTTTTTGTAAAACAAACTCTTAAATTGTAAAAAAGTTCTTTTAAAACAAACCATGTGTGTGTGTGTGTGTGTGTGTGTGTGTGTGTGTGTGTGTATATGTATCTTATATATAAAATTCTCGTGTCACGGTGTTTGTTACCAAACTCCTCCGAAACGGCTTTACCGATTTTCATGAAATTTTGTGTGCATATCGGGTAGGTCTGAGAATCGGCCAACATCTATTTTTAATACCCCTCAATGATAAGGGTGACCCACCCCTAAAATTTTTTTTTTTTTATTTTTTTAACAATTTTTTTTTATTTTTATTTTAATATGATTTAGCATTGAAAAATACATAGAACTTTAAATTTTCATCGTTTTACGATCAACCCCTGTATTTTGTGATTTTCGCAATTAGTGGTAAAACAACGTTTACGGGGTCAGCTAGTAAATATATATATATATATATATATATATATATATATTTTTTTTTTTTAATTCAAATTCAATTCAATTCAATTTATTTTATTCGTTACAATATTGCATTGTGTTGAATATTTTTGCAAGTGACAAGAAGATATCGTAAAATATAACAAAAAAAAAAAAAACATGAAACAACAAAATAACCAATAATAATTGTCAAAAAATAACATTACAATCAATTTAAAAGTCATCAGTAAGGCATAAAATAATGAAAGAGTATTTTAAAATTCATCAATTGAGTAGATGCACCTTTCCAACAAAAGAGTATAAAGTTTTATTTTAAAAATTCTCCAATCTTTAATAGTTTTTAATGCAGTGGGTAATTTATTATACAATTTAACCGCTTGAAATTTTGCGCCATGTTTCACTATATTTAGTTTTGGTTGGACATCATATGCAACATTTTTTCGTCTAGAAATCATGCGTATATTTCTCTCTTCTCTCGTTTCATTTGGCAGACGATTCTTAACATAGTCTGTAACCACAATCAATACATACAAACTGGGTACAGTAAGAATACTATATTTTGTGAAAAAAGTCCTGCAAGACTGCCACTGCGGAATCCGAGCGATAGTTCTAATTGCTCTTTTTTGCAACCTGAAAGCCCTTTCCACATTGTAATTATAGCTGTTTCCCCACAGTTTAATGCTGTATCTAAATTTTGATTCAACCAATGAGTAATAAACTGGTTTGAGTTGATTAACAGTTAACACATCCCTCAAACATCTCAAAGCATAGCATGATGCACTAACTGATTTAGTTATAGAGTCTAACTCAGATTTCCAATTCAGTACAGAATCTATCTTCACACCTAGAAATTTTACTTCATTAACAACTTTAATATTATTACCATTCAGGTACACTTCCAAAGTATCCTTATTTTTAGAAGTTGACCTAAATAGTAAGGCACATGTTTTGTCTATATTTAGTTTTAAATTGTTAACAGAAAACCATTCATCTAAGAGAGCTATAACATTATTGATTTTTATTTCTAGGTCCTTTATGTCCATAGCGGAGATTATGGCATTGGTATCGTCGGCATATATTATTAATTGAGTATCATTTGCAACATTTTGTATATAATTAATAAGATCATTGATAAAGAGAATGAAAAATATTGGTCCCAATATAGAACCCTGTGGTACGCCTCTTTTTATGATGGTCAGTTTTGATGTATATATCATCTCCTGGTTATTTTCTATATTTCTTATTTCGACATATTGTTTTCTATTATTTAAATAAGATTTGAATAGTTTTAGTGATTGTTCTCGTATACCGTAATAGTGTAGTTTGCTTAAGAGTATTTCATGATCAACTGTGTCAAATGCAGAGCTTAAATCCAGGAAAAGCCCTGCTACCTTTTTTTTGCTATTAATCTTATCCAAAACATCATCTATGAGTGTCTCTATAGCTTCTGCGGTGCCTATGCCTTTTTGATACCCAAACTGTCCCTCGCTTAGTATATTATTTGATACTATATGTTGTAGAAGTCTAATTTTTAAAAGCTTTTCAAATATTTTGGAAAGGGTTGGTAAAGGGATATGGGTCTATAATTTTTGGAATATATATATATATTGGTATAACACGAGCTACTTTAAGTTGATCGGGAAAAATGCCTTCTTTAAAACACATGTTATAGAAATATATATTCCGCTAAAAGCTCAATATTCTCTTTAATGATAGATATTGGAATGTACATACATCATATCCACAAGATTTTTTAGTGTTCATATCTTTTACTACTTTTTTTATTTCAGTCGGAGTAATTGGTTCCCAAGATAAGTTGTCTTGTACTCTATTTGTGTTGTCATGTAGAATCTTTTCCGCTTTATATTTATTACCTGATGACTCGTCAATTTATATTCAAAATTCGAAGATAATATTTTAACAATTTCCTGTGGGTTGTCAATTATTTTTGAGTCAACTTTAAGTTTAAATTTTTCATGGTCATGCATCTTTTTGTTTTTATTTCTTTGCTCATTTATTACATTCCAAATACCTTTACTTTCATTATTTACATCTTGTATTTCTTTTTGTATGTAACGTTTCGTAGCATTTCTTACAACTCTTCTATATATTTTAATGTACTTGTCACGAAAATCTATAACACTTTGGCCACAATCTATCTTATTAATATTATATAAAACTCTTTTCATTGCGCTAGATACCTTTATTCCTTTTGAGATCCATTTAGCTTTATAAGTTAGTTATCCTAATTTTCTTTTTAGTTTTCTTAAAACAATGTTTGAATATATTATTAAATTTATTTATAAACGTATTTATGCTCATGTCACTCCACTTTATATTTACGAGCAAATCTTTGAAGTTTTGTTTATTTTTAGCGGAATAAGATCTTTGATTTTTTATTATAAATAATCTTTTGCTCTGTGCATGTTGAAATTTTTCTACTGAAAGATTACAAAAGATTCCTGCATGTCCGTCTGCCAATCCATTATGGTCAATGTAACTATCGGTGACAGAATCGTCTGTTAAATTTATTAATATGTTGTCAATGCATGACTGACTCTTATTTCTTTTATATGTTATGTCTTCAAAAATGTGTTTGTGTGTGTGTGTGTGTGTTTTTGTTTTTGTTTACTATTTTCTAATATATTTATATTAAAATCACCACAAATAATACATCTTTTGTTGAAAAAATAATCTAATAATTTTTCTAAGTATAACATAAACTTATCAAGATTCTTCATATTTGGATTTCGGTAGCAGCACAAAATACATAGATTTGTTTCCAAATCTTTTACACCACATAACTCAAAAAATTCCGACCTACTTAAATCCTTGCACACAGAAAGATCCTCAAATTCTACCGCTTTCGCTCAGTATTAGCGTTCCGCCTTCATTTTATTAGTTCTAGTATAGTAGGAAGCCAGTTGAAAATTCTGTAGATGAAAGAGAGGAGCAGTGACACTATTTAAGAAGTGTTCGCTTATACAAATATAATGCATGCTTTTACATAAATAGTCCAAATAAATTTCTAGGTCGTCTTTTTTATTATTTACACCACACATGTTTTGATGAAATATATTTATATTAATCATATCGCTACTGTTCATTTTTAATTTATATTTACATTTATTTATATATATATATATATAGCAATTATTAACGAAATAAACAATGTGTGATAATGGTATGGTAACCCTGCCTGCGCTATCGGTATACACTGGCGGGGCAGTGATAGAGGACTGATGAGGACTAAAGGTCAGGAATGCAGATCAGTTAGTCCATCGTGACGAATTCAACTAGAATTGGCCACGATGGTTTCCAGTGGGGACCACGTGGAGGTCGGCCTGACAGGGTATATTGCTAGGCTATTTGATCCTACTACTAACAATCCCTTTCCCCCCTATGCGTATGTGTTTGTGATGCATTCCGAGCGATGCTCGACTTGCCATGGCGGCGTAGTGTAGCGTCTGGCATGTTTGCAGAGAACAGGGTTAATGATTTTCTATTTTACGTAAATGTAAAGCAAAATTTCATGTCATATTGTAAAGACTGTATTCCTCACTGCGTGCCTGACGACAAAAGATTTTATAATGAATTGATTTAAATTGGTAGTTTGTAATAAATATATATGTATAAGGATTTTTATCTAGTTTATTTAGCAAGTTGTTAATATAATTTATTTGTCTGTCTAGCATATTTATTTCTTAATTTTATTATATATATTAACATTTTATCTCTTTGTTTTATGTATATATAAATATATATGTAAATAGGTATGTATTTATATGTTGTTATATATTTGTATACGCGTTTATATACACGTATGTATGTGTATATGTATATAATAATGAGCAGGGATATATATTTATATAATTGCATATGTTACATCTCTATATGCATTTAAAAACGACAGAATTATCGTGCCTCCCACCAAATTGTTTATAATTACTCCTCTCCATCCAAAGGTTGCCTGCAAGAGATCGCTCTTAGCGATAAGGTCGCCCATTGTTTTCTCACTGTGATCATTTCTTGTAATTGTTTGTATCTATAATAAGTTTACTATTGTAATCTTATGGAGGAAACAATAAAGAGTGTCTATCTATCTCTTAAAACACAGGGCATTTTATAAACGAATGTAGGAGACAGAAGTCGTGTGATTGCACAGCTTGCTTCTACATTTTATTTGTTTGTAGAACTCAAAGAGACGATGGCGCGAGTGGGCGCCGACTTGAAGCAGAAGCTGTTGGAGTCACTGAAGACCACGTGGTCCAGTGTGTGGAGGACGCAGCCGCCGCCCAGCGACTGCCAGCTCGAGAAGGTGCGTGTATTCCTACCGTAGCCTATAAACGCCTGCAATACCAGAGAAGAACCCCATGCTGTAGTCTCTTGGGAAAACCTCGGCAGGGAGTTTATTCTACAACATTATTTTATATATTATTGGACGAAAATTGAAGTGGTAAAATCCCATTGTACATGACCATTTCAGCTGCGCGTATCGGTATACGCTGGCAGGGCATCAGTGAGTGATGATAGATGAGGACGCTCATTCAAAGGCAGGTAACCCCGCCTGCGCTATCGGTATACGCTGGCGGGGCATCGTGATGAATATACGTCCACGTATATTCAGCACGATGGTTTCCAGGGGGACCGCGTGGAGGTCGACCTGACATGGTATATTTCTAGCAATGGTACTGGTAGTTCCTCCCGTTACTAACAATCCCTTCCCACCGAAACCACGCGTTGGATATCTGGGGGCAATAATCCAGAAAATCTAGACTCGAGACAATTCTGAAAAGTTAGTTTTCTAAAATTTATCCGATTGGGAATCGAACCCGGGACCTCGTTACGCAAAGTGACGTGCCCACCACAGCGCCACGGTGGTAGTTGAAGCTTTGGTGAAATTATCCATTCTTATTGTGAGCTCGTTTCAAATGCGATGTTTAATATTCAGGTGGTGGAAGAAGAGATAGAGAAGGAGCAGCTGTGCGAAGAGAACAAAGATGATGTCTCGCAGGACATTGATCTGGTAAGTGGCTGGAATAGTCGCTGGAATAGTCGCTGTATATCAACACTAGTGATGCGGCCCGGCTTCGTACGCGTAGATGTTTTATTTATCAACATATCAGCCTTTTAATTATTAGCCAGCCAAGGAGGTTTTGTCAGTAGTTGCCACACTTGGCAACCGCAGTTAGGCTTCGAGTCAGCTAATTTGACAATTAGCTGACAAAAAGTCGAGCCGTTTTTGAGGCTCGATGCCCTATCTATATAATCTTGTGTGGTGGACACAATGGTAGTCATGTCGTTTCAATTTGAGAATTATGGTGTTATCTCCGTACCCTGTAATTTCACTGCCATATCTCACTCTACAAACCGAAACATAGCTATGTAGGTACAGATGTTTCAAAGTAGAAACACGAGTGGTACAGGGGTACCCAAGCAGACGGCCTTTATACAAAATTCGAATTTACTGATGATATAAACAAAACGTCCCGTGGGTGTCGTTTTTTTTTATACCACTGAGATGGCAAACAAGCATACGGCCCACCCGATGGTAAGCGGTTACCGTAGCCTATGAACGCCTGCAATACCAGAGGTATTACGCGCGCGTTGCTAACCCTGAAGAAACCTTTTTACCCCCTTTTGAAGAACCCCATGCTGTAGTCTCTTGGGAAAACCTCGGCAGGGAGCTCATTCCATAACCTGAGGCGATTAAGGGAGGACGAGGGATGGGCAGCAGCGTCCCTCTTAAAACATCTCTAAAACTAACTGCGGTTGCCAATCCACTTGCCAAGCGTGGCAACTACTGGCAAAACACCTCACGCTTATGTTCAGTAGTGGACAGTTAAAGGCTGATACGATAATGATGATGATGATGATATGATAATGATGATGATGATGATATGATGATGATGAATTCAAAATTACTTGAATAAAGGTTATATAACTTTTTCTTTCATTCTGCTATCCATGATCCAGGAGGCGCCTGATGTTCTGGGCAAGCTGAACAGCGGCCGGCGGATAGACTACGTGCTTCAGGAGGCGCCCTTCGAGATGATCAACGAGTACCTGTTCGCCATGAGCAGCCACGTCTGCTACTGGTCAGTGCCATCTTGTTGTTAGTGAAGGATTTATTTAAAATGGGCTCACCTCACTATAGCCTGTGAATGCTTGCAGTATAGACCACCAGAGGGAGACTTTGTACAAAAGTTGTTTGCCAACACCTCTGTCCCATTCGTGTTTCTACCGTGAAGCAGTTGTGTTTGCATGGCTGTGTTTCGGTTTGAAGGGTGGGATATGGCGTGAATTTACTGGGTACAGAGGAATAACACCTGAGTCCTCAGGAATGGCAACGCATGGGGGGTATCATGGGCGAAACAGTATACTCTGTTATGTTCATGGTACTGCTCATGTCTATAGGCGACGGTTACCACTTTCCATCAGGTGGGCCGTCAGCTTGTTTGCCATTCTAAGTTGCATAAAAATATCAGTAACGTGACTTAACATTTAATTTTGTATAACTATTAAAAAAAATTACGTTTGCCGGTTGAGCTACTATTGTAAATAGAAAACGTCCAGGCCAATACAAACAGCCAGGGGGAAAGGGATTGTTAGTAATGGGGTTTAATTGTCCCATCGCTAGCAATATACTCTGAAAGGTTGACATCCACGTGGTTCCCACTGGAAACCATCGTGGTTAATTCTAGTGGAATTGTCACGATGGGCTAACTGACCTGCCTTTCATCCTCACCAATCATCACGAGCGTTGGTGGGGTTACCATTCCATTATCATCCATAAAAAAAGACCTGTATAACACGGTAACAAAAACTATGTTATGAACGAAATATGTGTTTTTTTTTAAATCAAACTCTTGTGACTGATGGCAGGGAGTCCGAGGACACGATGCTGATGATACTGCGCGAGATATACTCGAGCATGGGCGTCCAGACGGACGGCAGTCTGCCCCAGCAGAGCCTCACAGTGCAGCGGACGCGGCTGCAGCGAGAGGTCACTGTGTTGTCTACACTAATATTGTAAAGAGGAAAGATTTGTGTTTTTGTGTGTATGTATGTTTGTATTGAATAAACACAAAAACTGCTTTGCCGATTTCAAAAATTCTTTCACCATTAGAAAGCTACATTCACCCTGAGTAACATAGGCTATATTTATTGCTAGAAAAGATTAGGGATCCTTACTAAAACTTTAGTAACGTAACTCAAGGTGTAAAAAAATGCTATAAAATATCTTTGGTCGCGTGCGCTGCGGAAACTATTGGTGATAGAACAAAAGTATGTTCTACAATATTGAAGAAAATATCAATAACTAGAAAAAACTTAGCGATATTAAATGTCCCACTATTATCGTTATGTCACAATAAACACTTTTTAAAATGTTGCAAAAATGTCCACCCGTGCGAAGCCGGGACGGGCCGCTAGTTATTTATAAAAAGAGTTAATCGAGTGCTTACGAACAAGAAGGATTTTTTTTATAACCACAGACAAGCATGCTCTCGTACATAGACAATATAGACTATACACATTGATTAATATTCACCAATAGATGTCGCCAATCTTACATTTTGATATTCAACAGTTTTTCTATATAATTGCCCTGACTTCGAATAGATTTTTTGAAAATTTAATACAGCCTATGTTCACCGTCATCATGTCAGCCGTTGCCCACTGCTAAACTTAGGCCTCCTCTTGGGGATTTGACAGTAGTTGCCATGTTTGGCAGGCGGGTTGACAACCGCAGTTAGGCTTTTACAGATGTTTTAAGAGGGACTCTTCTGATCAATCTTCGCCCTCCCTTAGTCGCTTCTTCTTACTCTCATGGGAAAGGAAGGGATGGTCTATTCTATGCGGGGACCACACGGTCGGAAGTGATTACATATGATCCCATAAATGATAATATGACACCAAGAAATTAAATGTAATATTTTTATTACAGGAAGAAGCTCTCAGTTTGAGTACTACAGGTAAATAACTTTTTTTTTATTTTTATTTCGACTAACCGGCTACTTTGCTCGCGTCGATTACAGAAGTGCGGATTTCATAACTGTACTATAATAAAATTCATACACATTCGAAACCGTGGAGGGTAGGGGGTCGCAAGATATTTTTACATACTAAGGGGGTCGCAAGATATTTTTACGTACTAAGGGGGTCGTAAGATATTTTTTCATACTAAGGGGGTCGCAAGATATTTTTACATACTAAGGGGGTCGCAAAATATTTTTACATACTGAGGGGGTCGCAAGATATTTTTACATAATAAAGGTGTCGCGTTATGTAAAAAGATTGAAAAACACTGATCAATCAGAACAATATGGAACCTATTATTATTAAGCTAGTGTCGCAATTCGAGTGTACGAAACGTCTCTTTCAATATCGATTTATTGGGATTTATTTCAAGAGTAATTCCACCGTTTTTAAATCAGACATTTAGTAATACGCCAGTAAAATTGCATTCAATTTTGCGTGTTCTGGAACCTTGAAAAGCCCATGTTTAACATTTATTAACAAGATTTTATTTATTGGTGAAATAAATCAAGGTGATATAATTCATGTTCAAAATTAAAGGAAAAATTGTTAAAAAATAAATTTGACAGCTATGTTTTTTTTTCTGCGATGGACATTAAAAAGGTATCCAGACACGATCAACTTAATGTGAACTTGTTCTTTTATATAATTTTTGGGCGTTCAATGTTATGAGGGAAATTTCCACCATTAGAAGGAGGGTTAAACGCCATTTCTTGTTAGATAGATAGACAATTTATTTACATTACTTACAGCACACAAATTACAATAAAAAAAAACATACACGTAATACACAGCAAAAGAGACAAAAGAATAAAAATAAAAAAAGCACAAACAAAAAAAAAATACAAAAACAAAATACATAATCTAACAATCTCCTTTGTTACCATTCCTTCATGCGTGTGCCATAGTAACACAAAATGGTCACAGCTCAGTTTATTGCTTTGCCCTTAAAAGAGCAAAACACTGATATTCTGCTATTGTTATTTGCAGATCACCCGTCGACGAGCCGCGGAGACACGTATAGGAAATGTAGTAGTTAACGTTAGTTATAAACTTATAGTTTTTATGGCGGCGAATGTAAAGATAAGGGGGCGGGGGATTGTTAGTGATCCAGACTAGCAAGTCCTATTGCTAGCACTGTACCCTGTTAGATCGATCACCACGTAGTCCTACCGGAAACAATCGTGCTGTATTCCAGGTGTATTCATCACGATGGGCTAACTGACCTGCCTTTTCATTCTCACTTATTACTTCTCACTGGTGTCCCGCCAGTGTATACCGTTAGCGCAGGCGGGCTTACCATTAGATTATCCTACATTAAAAAAATATATATATAAAAATTTAACCCTACATTATGAACTACATAATTCACTTTATTATATATATATATATATATATATATATATATATATATATATATATATATATATATATATATAATAAACCTTTTTAATTACTTAAAATAAGCAAAATACATATAGAGTGAAATTAAAGCGCGGCCACATAAGAAAACGCATGGAAGCCAAAAGAAGGAATGACAGCGAATGAAACTAGATGGCGCTGTGTCGTTCACTTTCAACATATCTTTATGAATCTATTTCAAAAAAGAGTTTGTTAGCTCATAACTTTGTCTTTTATATAGGTTTATAAAAGACAAAGTTTTGAGCTTTGGAAAATTCTTGTCATTGGAAACCTAATCAGCCAATCGTGATGAATTCCACAAGCATTAACCGCTAAGGTTTCAAGGGGAAAGGGGGCCATTAGACCCCTTCCCTCCGTAGGGCGATGCTTATTTTAGTTTACCACCGATAATGCATCTTTTATAATCGTCGCCATTTCTACTAATTTAAGGTTGTAACCTAACTTACTGGTTTATAGAGATATTATTTGTAAACTTAACGAACACTCGAACGTTTCAATTTGTAATTACAATTTAAATAAAAAAAAAAAAAACATGATTCGTAATCGAGTTCAACAAGTATGTTACTAAATAAAAAAATAAAATAAAAAATAAAAAAAGAAAAACCTAAAAATCCCGCAATTGCAAGGTTATATAATCCATTACAGTTAAATATTAGTTAAATTTTTAACCGCCCCAGTTGAATGATCAACCATAGTTGTACCATAGTTTCCTTGTTGACAATTTATGTCTGTTTAATTTACATATTTAACACTTATCGTTCACGAGGGGTAAATATTTACACCAAGCAATTTACCCTTGCATTGTTTACCAATAATCACGTAAGTTTCGACCAGTGTGAGATAGTACCCCAAGTTTTTTAGACAAGTGGCAAGCGATTCCATCGATGGAATCGACATCATTAGCGAGATAGCAATGTCGGAGGATTCATTCCAACTGATGGAGTCGCTAGCAAATTCGATTCTATCGATGAATTCGCTTGCCACTTGTCTAGAGGGCCAGTGGTGTGTAGGCTACGTTAGGGGGCCCGAAGCGTGACCGCTAAGGATTAAGAACTTTTATAACTTTATCTTGGCAAAGTGTAGACACAATTACAGACATACGGACGTATGTCAATTTTCTTTTTACATTTTAATTCATGATTCGATTGTTATTCAAAAAGTATTCTATAAATAAGACGGATAATATATACTATATCTCTATATTTTGTATATATATATATATATATATATATATATATATATATATATATATATATATATATATATATATATATATATATATATATATTGATCAATATATTATTATATATATTGATCAATAGATAACAGACTTTTAACATATTCGAAAATAGATATCCGACCGATATGGGCGATATCGAAATGGGTGATGACCTTTTCCAGTGTCAATGTCCAGAGAAACCCAATATATAGATATCGGATCGGTATCCATACTACCGAAGCCTACTATAAACGAATTGAAACGTTAATAGTAAAATATTTTCCCAAGAGATTACAGCATGGGGTTCTTTAAAAGGGGGTAAAGAGGTTTCTTCAGGGTCGGCAACGCGCGCGTAATACCTCTGGTATTGCAGGTGTTCATATGCTATGCTTGTTTGCGACTACAGTGGTATAAAAAAAATTGTTAAGCTATCACTGAAAATTTGGGTTTTAACGGCAAAAATGTATTTGAAAAATTGTAAAGAAAAATAAGTAGAAGTAAGTGCAAAGTTTTTAGTGGTAGAGTTGTATTATTTATTTATTTATTTTATTACGTCCACTGGGTGAGCCTTACAGTCTTCCAATACGCCCACCCAGGAGAGCATGAGGACAACAACATATAAAAAATACATGTAAAGTATTCTATGATTAACGTCTTAGTTTGGTAGCAGAGCACTGTTTAAATAATCAATCGAATACGTTGAAAATTTATAAATTGTTTTTGAAAATTGATGGTTGGTTGTCACGCTTTGTCAATATAAAATTATGAGCGCTTTTAACTACCTACTACATTCGACAATATAGCAACACGAGACAGATTATAAAACTAAAGTTTATAATTACTTTGTCAAGTGAGGAATATTAAAAAAAAAAATTTGATTCCAGTGTTAAGGGTTTTACAACCGCTGCAGAGCAAAATTGATGAAACTTTAATTATATTGTTATTTTGTTGATAGAAAACAAGATTGTTTTGTAAACGGATTGGGTGATAGCAATCAAAATATATAGTCTATGTCAATAGTATGCACTATGCTTAGTCTATGGTTTCAATAGAACTTAACGAATATGGAAACATACGATTAATCGACACGACCATAGACAATCTGCTAGTGTTTAAAAGTAGTACGAATAAAAAACTGTTTAATCGATTCGTTATTTTTTTTTTTTTTTTCATTTGAAAAGTGTCTGATAATTTCAACAATACTAGGTTACATCTTCATTATATTGTATAGAATCAGAATATATAAAACCTTAAAATCTAGCTACAGTGACCGTTTATCATCAGACAGGCTGTATGCTTGTTTGTTAACTTGGTATAAACAAAAAAAAATATTAATTTTTTGCTAATTGACCTTTATTTATTTATTTATTCATTAGTACAAATATGTGAACACGGCGGACTTAATGCTAAAAGCATTCTCTCCCAGTCAACCATAGGGAAGTGTCAGAATACACGAACGCGGTACTAGTAATTATTGATATACATACATACTAAAATTACATATATAAACGACTAAATATATATAAATAACAAATATACTTACACATATATGACATATACTATATTATACACGAAATTGAGAATAATATAAAGCACTTACTGCTCGGATAAAGTAAAAAAGTGAGCGTGAACGTTTTACAATATTATTTTAATAGAACCTCAAAATTTGGAAGTCAAATATGTACACCCATGAGTATAATAAATATTTTATTTGTTACCAAATTATTGGACATGTACTTTCTTAGTATATAATATAATAATAATAATAATGATTATTTAAAACTCTATATTGATATTTTTTTTTTGTTGTTCAAATTTTAACACATTTACAAGTTCCTTTAAGTATATTTATAAATGATTATTTAAAACTCTCATTGTTTTTTTTTGTTGTTGTTCAAATTTTACATATACAATAAGATTTAAAAATAAATTCATGTGGTAAAATATAATACAGAATATATTTTTTTTTCTTATAATAATTTGCTTTATTTATTTTTTTAAGAATTATTATTAAAATAAATTTTTATGATGTTTTAATTATGATAATTAATTCTCCTTTCTACTAAAGGTTTGCTGGAAATCTTACAGAGTTAAGCTCGCCTGTTGTACATCTTTATTTTATATATATATATATTATATGAATGTAAATTTTGTGTACAATAAAGTATAAATAAATTATAAAATATAAATGAAGAATTTGTAAGTGACAAAATGGTGGTATTTTTTTTTTTAATAAAAATCTATTTATTTTGTTTAAAATAACAAAAGTGCTTATTGATTATAGTTAGGAATTGTAAGAAATTTTTCAATGTTTACCTTCACGCTACGTCCCTAGCGGGATAGACAGAGACATATGCTTGCAGTCTTTGTCCTTACATATATCTCTTCCACATTTATATATACATAAATACAACTTAAATGTAATTAAATTAACAGTTTTGTATTTATATCGTGGGTTGTGGGTTCGAATCCAGCTAAATTGTGTATATATTAAATTGAATTTTCTCTATACACTAAGCTTTAGTATAAATATGTTTATTTAATATTTACTTTCATATAAACATTTTGAATTCAAAATATGCTTTAAAATATTTATGTATTTGTAAAATGTGATTGTTTAACCATTGAAAAAAAATATATTTCGTATGAATTTGAATAATACATTTTAATTGGTATACTTTAATTATTAAAAAAAAAGAGAAATATGGTAAACGATCCAGTTTTATTAATTGAATAATTTATTATTTTTATTGTGGTATGAGAATGATTAATTTATAGATTACAATGTTAGAACAATTTATTTCCAATTTGCGGGATTAAAAATACGTTCCAAATTGTTTATTTATGAATATATTTATTGTTAAGTTTATCACAACTCAGTGTATATGTAACACTAACAGTACATATTAGTTGAAGGTGAATAAAATTTATATTTTACTAAAATCTGTTTTATTTCATTACATTATCATCATCATGTCAGACAATAACTGTCCGCAGCTGGACATAGGCTGACCCTATTAGGAAGGTTTTGCCAGTAGTTGCCAAGCTTGGCAAGCTGCTCGTTCTTCAACAGTTAAATTCCCTTAGTCACCACTTAGCATGAGAAAAGGTGGCCCCATTCTATGCCGGGACCACACGGTGATTTTATTTATATATTACTAAGTTTTTTGTCAATGAGTTTATAATATGTTTAATTAATAATTAAAATACAGGAATTAATTTACATATAAACGAATACATTTTTGAATCGTCCAAATCAACAAAACTCTCTCGTCGCTGGCCCGTGCACGGGATGCGCGCGCAGCCAACAATTACAAAGCCTCTGTTGTTTGTTTGTTTGTCTGCTTGTTATTAAAATTCTATTTTATTATAAAAGTTGATATATATAATAAACATTGGTATTATCTCACCACAAGTTTAACATTTACCCGTGATTGGGGGGAGATATTTCTTGACCGGAATAAAAGTGCCCTATATCCTTCTCCACCCCATGTCGTATGAGTGTATTAAATTTCATAGTGTTTGATTAAAATGTAAAAGCACTATAAGGTAACACAAACACTCACACATTTATAATACACGTTTGCAAAGATAGCCCGTTTTAAAAAAGGTATATATGAATTTGGATACTTCCAAAGGCAGAGGAAGACCTAAAAAGACGGGTGAACTCTGTGAAAGATGATATGGCCGGAATGGGAGTGAATGCGGAAATGACTGGGAATAGAGGAGAATGGAAGAGAATAAAACCAGAGGGAGTCTTCTTGTGTTTCTACCGTGAAACAGTTGTGTTCGTATAGCTGTTTCGGTTTGAAGGGTGGGATATGGCAGTGAATTTACTGGGTACAGAGGAATAACACCTAAGTCCTCAGGAATGGCAACGCATGGGGTGTATCATGGGCGAAACAGTATACTCTGTTATGTGGATGGTATTGCTCATGTCTATAGGCGACGGTTACCATTTTCCATCAGGTGGGCCGTCAGCTTGTTTACCATTCTAAGTTGCATAAAAAAATTACATATTTATGAGGTAACAAAAAAATACAATCAAATTGAAAAAAAAATGTTTTCGCGCTATCTGTGGTATCCGAAAATCATGTCGGCCTTTATTCAAAAATACTTCGCCTTCTTCCCTTGCAATGTATGTACATATGCGATAAGCAGTATTTATAAAAAAAAAAAACTCCTTCAGATTTAAAAAGTCGGTCGAAAATGGTGGATACCCAGGAAAAAATAAAACACGCATTATTAGCAAAGTACATATATAATTGAGAAAGGTATCAATACGAGATAAATGCAGTCTGACACGGAATATTTTGCGCGCGCATTTTATAATATATTTATAGATTCACTAACACGTTACACTGTAGCCTTCAGTAAATACTCATTTATAATTGGTACTTTTTCAGTCTAAAATCCAAAACTAAAGAAATCGAAATTCAAATGTTCCAAATAATATAAAAAAAAAAAAATAAGTAGGTAATACATTTTTTTATATCAAAATTTTTAGCATCAAGCAGCGAGTTATAATGCTGTTTTATAGATAAAGTAATTACATTTTCAAGTGTCTATGAAATTAGAAAAAAAAAGGTATAGTGAGGCACATATCCTGTCAGGTAGACTGACAGATAGGTAGGCCTAATGAATTAGAACGCCTGATTTTATTCTCATTTATATCCCACTGGTGCCTCACTAGTGTATACCGACAGCGCAGGCAGGGTTACCATTCATTAATAAAACCAATCTTAAAAAAAAAAAAGAATTTAATTTATATTCTAAATTTAAAATAAACATAATAGACATGTGACCTATTTTTTCAGGCAGCTTTTATTAACTAAGTATTTTATTATTGAAAAAAAAAAGACATATTCTTTGTGGTTCAATAAGAGAACTAAAACTAATGAAAAATACCTTAAAATTATTACAATATAAAAAAAAAAAAAATTGTTACACATCACCAATTGAAATCTTTTAGGGATAATCCCGTGGGACTCGGAATCCCACACTTTACACAACACTAGTACCTATTAAATATTTTCTTTTTATTAAATATACGCAAATTTTGAGATGTAAACAGTCTATTTACAAATAATCCCGGGAATACAAAATAAGACAGGAAATTAAATGTAAAAGTAGGTATAGAACGAAACTGTTTAAACTTTTATTTTTTAAAACAATCTTTTATAATCCGCCATCTTGTAGCTGCCAATTATTTCAATGACGTCATTTATTGCATCGTTATCTACTCTTCAAATGCTTTCATTTAAAAGCCACAGTAAAGGAGTTGATAAAAAATACACCGTCCGCCATTTTGTGGTGACGGCCATTTTGTAAGTATTATGAGTATGCAAAATTTTAGTTCAATCATGATATAAAGGAATGGTTTTAAAGCTTGCAAGGTTCAAATTAAACAAACTTACGTTGCAAGTTAAATAAAAGCCCGTAAAATATACATTTTTTAACCGGGAATATTGGACATACGCCATAGAAGAGCAGAGGAAATTATTAGAAAAAAATTATACGCGAAAAAAAAAAAATAGTACAAACTGTTTTTATACACTTGGCATATATTACACCGGAGAAAAACTTTGTACAAAAGTCGATTGCTTGGGTACCTCTGTCGCATTCGTGTTTCAACTGTAAAGCAGTTGTGTTTGCATGGCTGTGTTTCAGTTTGAAGGGTGGGATATGACAGTGAATTTACTGGGTACAGAGGAATAACACCTAAGTCCTCAGGAATGGCAACGCTGGGGGGGTATCATGGGCGAAACAGTATACTCTGTTATGTCCACGGTACTGCTCATGTCTATAGGCGACGGTTACCACTTTCCATCAGGTGGACCATCAGCTTGTTTGCCATTCTAAGTTGTATAAAAAAACAAGTGTGGATAGTGAAGATTGTTTACGCTTGGTGGAGTTTAGAATTCATCTTTATATTTATTTATTATTATTTATTTATATTTAACAGACTTTTACGATACATATATGCCAAGTTTAAAAGACAGTAAAATAATGTAACATTATTAGTTTTTTTTATTTTTTTTTATTAAGGGTTTATGGGTTTACACATTAAATAAAAGAAAAAACTTTCTTGTTTCTAAAAAGGCTCCCAATTAAATCTAATTACAGAGCAATCAATACAGATTTGTATTTTTTTTTTTAATAAAACTATAAAGTTCCAGATCTTACGATTCGATATAGATTTTAGTTTAATAACTTATATTTATTTATGTGGTAACACAGTACACATACGATGCGTAAGCGCATTATTTCGTTCCCATGGTAAAGAGGCGGAAAGGTGGCGAATACCACCAACAAGTGCTTTCCCAAAAGAGGGTTGAGGTCAGGCAGGCGGCCGGTCGTAAAACTAAGTCAATTTCATTTTGTAATATTTTTTTTTACAACACGGGGCAAACGAGCATGCGGCTCACCTGATGGTAAGTGACTACCGCCGCCCATGATCACTCACAACACCAGCGGCATTGCAGGTGTGCTGCCGGCCTTTTAATATGGAAAAAACATTACGCCGACCCCATATAATAATTGGGATACGGGTAGGAAGAAGGCAAAGAACGAGGCGACTGTAGGTGCATTATAATGAGGCCGATTCTGTGGTACTGTGCTTCTAAATTTATTTCTTAACTTATTAATTGAATGTTGGGCTTTTTCAGGCAGAAAATCCTGGAGCCCTTTACACGATCTTTCGTGCTTGCCCTCGCCGTGTTCCCACAGAACTTAAGTTTTAATAAAAAGTGCCGTGGAACTTGTCCTCTATTTAAGCATTATTAAAAATTAACAAATATGTAATTTTTTTCATAATAATTTAATGAGAATGTAAACTAAATTAATCGATTCCCCCTCGCCCTCCCGAGACAGCCTAGTGATGTCCGATCGAACAATCGAGAATCGATAAATTGAATGTTGATTATCGATTGAATATAGATCACCAGAGGGAGACTTTGTATAAAAGTCGATTGCTTGGGTATCTCTGTCCCATTCGTATTTGAACCGTGAAGCATGGCTGTGTTTCGGTTTGAAGGGTGGGATATGGCGTCAATTTACACGGTACAGAGGAATAACACCTGAGTCCTCAGGAATGGCAACGCATGGGGGGTATCATGGGCGTAACGGTATACTCTGTTATGTTCATGGTACTGCTCATGTCTATAGGCGACGGTTACCACTTTCCATCAGGTGGGCCGTCAGCTTGTTTGCCATTCTAAGTTGTATAAAAAAAAAAGATTTATTCCTAATTTTGTTTAGAACGTACTTTTATGATAGCTTCAACAAAATTTAATTACATTTTCATTAAATTGTATTGAAAAAAAAAAAATTAAACATTTGTTATTTTTTTATATGTTTTAATAGAAAATAAATCCCACGGCGCCTTCTTTATTTGAAATTTAATTAAATGTACAATTTATTTGTTTTCGACAACATAACAGTACCCATGTGGAACATTTGTTTGACATCTTTTTGTTTTTAATTAATGATTATCAATGTTTGACACAATAATTAATGAATGGGTCAAACATTAAAAAAAAAGGACACTTTATTACACTGTCCTTTTAATTAATTTTTTTAATCAATCAACTAACCATTTCAAAATTTTTTATGAATTGTGACAACACTTTCCAATCCCGGGATCGATTTACCAACAACAACATTCTAAGAGATCGTCACTAACTTCACAAAAAAAATCGCGGAATCCCGCGGGATTTTCGCCGGTGAGTTTCAACGGGATGATGCGGCGGGTGCGGCCTACTCGAACACGAGGGAGGCACTGGCGTACGACACGGACGAGTCCTGCGGGTTCACGCACTGCGACGACTGGGCGTATTTTAGGAATTTCATGGACATTCTTGGTGCGTTCTGTTGCGATTGAAGCTTCGATATTGCCTGGAAATACAATTTTTATTATTATTTCAGCTGAACGAGTCTTCTCCACAAGGAGAGTGTTGCCAGTAGTTGCCACGCTTAGCAGGCAGGTTGACAACCACAGTTAGGCTTTAGAGTTATTTTAAGAGGGACTCTGCTGTCCATCCCTCGACCTCCCGTAAGGAAGTGGTGGCCCATTCTATGCCGGGACCTATACGGCGGAAATACAATAGTATTTATGGACCATTTTCAGCGAGTGCGATACTAGTCCTATTTCGATGTGTGCTTTTAACTTTTTTTTAATATTGTTAAAATAAGGTGATTACTGTTAAAAGACCAGAGGGAGACTTTGTACAAAAGTCGTTTGCTTGTGTACCTCTGTCCCATTCGTGTTTCTACCGTGAAGCAGTTGTGTTTGCATGGCTGTGTTTCGGTTTTAAGGGTGGGATATGGCGTGAATTTACTGGGTACAGAGGAATAACATCCGAGTCCTCAGGAATGGCAACGCATGGGGGGTATCATGGGCGAAACAGTATACTCTGTTATGTCCACGGTACTGCTCATGTGTATAGGCGACGGTTATCACTTTCCATCAGGTGTGCCGTCAGCTTGTTTGCCATTCTAAGTTGTATAAAAAAAAAAAACAATATTACAAAATTTGTGAACATAAAATATAAACATAAGCATACATCTAGTGAACAGTCACAGATGGTGAAGGTGATGATGATGAAACGTACCTGCAGTAGCACGCCTATGGGATGCCTGCCGCATATCGTGTTGCTATACTTTTTTATATACTCTGTGAACGCGCGCGGATCCATCTTCTCAATTATGTCCATAGCCTAAAATGAATGGATGAAATTTTATAATTCACTAGATTAGAGAAAAATAAGAAAGGAAGTATTATTATTTGAGTAAACTTAGAATTTAACCATTTTTTCTCAAACATGCTTGGAAATGTGAGCATTGTTTTGACAATCTACCAAGGAGGTAACTAATAAAAGGTTTTATTTAAATTTCGAACTGGCTTGCAAATAGAAAGCTGTTTATTGAAAAAAAAAAACAAATGAACATTATGGCGCGTGAAAAATTATTATTGTTCGTTATTCGTCATTGAACTTAAAAAAACTTTGATGGACTCACGTATGTGTGCTTCGGCTATGCCTCGGCCCACATTTGCACCTTCGTCCATCAATGCCTCAGTAGTTGGCCGCTGCAGTAATGTACTATTAATAGTGTTTTTTTTTTCATTACCACCCATTCGGAATGCTATTTCAGCCAAGAACGAGCAAGAAACTCAGCTGTTGCTTTTTCAAAAAGTTTAACTATATAAATAATGAATTTGTATGAATACAAACTACTAAGCAGTATCAGGTCATGCAATTTAAAATATATTTATATATATAAAAATTAATGCCACTTTTCGTTGTAATTTTCTAACTCAAGAACGGGCTCACCTATCCAAACCAAATGTTTAAGCTTTGTTCAGACTATTTAGTAGATGGTTTATGTGAAGTTTGCACAAAATCGCTCGAGCGGTTCTTCATTTATCACATTTTTTGTAACAAATGAATTCAATAAATGGCGGATCATTTTGTTAATGGGGATTTTTGTGTCAAATTCAAACTTTTTTTTAAGATGGGGATTGTGCTGTCAAATTTAAACTTTTTTCAGTGTTGACAGTACAAGCATGTGGGGGGAAGGGATTGTTAGTAATGGAGACTGAGAATCCCATTGCTAGCAATATACCCAACCAGGTCGACCTCCTCGCAGTTCCCCCTGGAAACTATCATGATTAATTCCTGATGAATTCATCATGATGGGCTAACTGGCCTGTTTTCATCCTCATCTATCACCCTTCACTGGTGCTCCGCCAGCGTATCCCGTTAGCACAGGCGGTGTTACCATACCATTTTCACCCATTAAAAAAAAGTACAACCATGTCGTTATGTCATTCATGCGGTCATTTTATTTTGGACGTGCAATTTAAAAATTTAAAAATTAAAGCAAATTGTCAGCGATAATTATTGCTTTGTGTTTATATTTTTAAACATCACTTTATACGTAGCGAAGCACGTACCGGGCCGCTAGTAGTATATAATTAAAACAAATCTATATTTTGTTAAGAATTTACAGGGTACAGAGGAATACCACCTGAGTCCTCAGGAATGACAACGTATGGGGGTATCATGGGCGAAACAGTATACTCTGTTATGTCCATGGTACTGCTCATGTCTATAGGCGACAGTTACTACTTTCCATCAGGTGGGCCGTCGGCTTGTTTGCCATTCTAAGTTGTATAAAAAAATATACCTTTAATTACAAAATAATGAACAAAAACCACAAGTATCGATTCCAGCGCCATCTATAACAGATGGCGTGATTTTTTAATTTCGTTCAGTAACGTGCCACGTTAAACACTGTACCTGTTTGTCGAGCCACTCGATGCTCTGGTGGATGGGTCCCCTGGACGAGTCGCGCCAAGTGTACCGGAACCTCGAGCCCCAGTGGCAGAAGTCGGAGGAGATCACTAGTAAATTCTGCGGGTCAGCCAGGTAGGGGGCCAGGATTGCACCATATCTGGAACGTTAGATAGATACTCTTTATTGTTTCCTCCAAAAGATTACAATAGTAAACTTATTATAAATATAAATAATTACAAGAAACAATCACAGTGAGAAAACAATGGGCGACCTTATCGCTAAGAGTGATCTCTTTCAGGCTGCTTTGATTGGCTGACTGTACATTTGTTACACACAAAAAAAAAAGACTTTAACGGTGGCAAATGTAGTTTATTTTGATTTAAAAACCAAACTACTACAGTGTCTTTGACAAATTTTCTACGAGAACAATCTAAAAATATATTTATTTATTTATTCTTTATTGCACAATAAAATTTTGTACAAATGGCAAGCTTAATGCCATATGGCATTCTCTACCAGCTGACCATTAGGTGAAAACAGAAAGCGTATGAAGGGCAGATGTGGTGAAAAATATATGACAATTATAGTAACAATAGTATATATACTTGGTTTAAAATTTAAATAATTTTTTTTTATACAACATAGAATGGCATACAAGCTGACGGCCCACCTGATGGAATGTGGTAACCTTCGCCTATAGACATGAGCAGTACCATGGACATAACAGAGTATACTGTTTCGCCTATGATACCCCCATGCGTTGCCATTCCTGAGGACTCAGATGTTATTCCTCTGTACCCAGTAAATTCACTGTCATATCCCACCCTTCAAACCGAAACACAGCCATGCAAACACAACTGCTTCACGGTAGAAACACGAATGGGACAGAGGTACCCAAGCAATCGACTTTTGTACAAAGTCTGCAAAATTACTTATTGATATACATTGACTATATTATTATATTAGCCGTTAACTGCCCACTACTGGACATAGGCGTACCCCATAAGAGAAAAAAAACTTACTTGGCCTCCTTTTCCGGCGTTAGAGAGCCGACCAAAATTGGTATGATTGTGAAACCGGTTTTATACCTGAAAATAAATATTATAAACATATCAGATAAGTGTTTCCCAACGTGGGGCCCACGGCCCACAAGGGGACAATTTGATAACTATCAAATTGAGATAACTACAAATAAAGATAAAACATGTACATACTCCTCCATAACTTTGGCGATGTACGGTAGGTGCATCTCTATAGAACGCTCGTCTTCGTCCGTCTCCACGTCCATCCATTCGAACTGACGCGTCGCCTCCAACTCCGCGTATACTGAAAACAAATATGGCATTCTAAATTTGAAATAAAGAAATGGTATTCTAAATTTAATTTGTTTAAATGAATTTAAAACAAAATAAAAAAAAATGTGTTTAAATTTCGAATAAGTTTTGGATTCGTTGTTTTTATGTACAGTGTACATTGACTGCTTTGAACAAAGAATTACATAGAAGGAACGTTAAAATAAAAACTGTTTAATCATACGTTTTATCAATACGTTGTATTTATGACATTGCCAATGCGTTAGAAAGGGATAGATATATAAGATATATAAAAGCGCATCTGCCCTTTGACTAGTCCGTAGAAATCAAATTCCTCAAGATATGTCACTTGGTTTTATTGGTCGTATAATCCTACCAAATTCAGATACAACCCGCTCGCATACTTTCTACATAAACTGTGTCGAATATATAATCTAGTAATGTAAAATTTGTCATTGACAAATAATTGACATATCAAACATTTTCTACACACTAGCCTGCTATGAATTGAGAAAAATAGCAACGGATGGTGTATCTTTCGTTCTCTTTTTACTAATTATATTTGTATAAGAAGAAAGGAGGCAACCGTATGATTTACAGTTTTTATTTTATCGTTCCTTCTATGTAATTGCTTGTTCTTAGATTATATCAAACTCTGTGTATCTATTACCAATAATAAATTATCTCTTACTCTGTTTGTCTATGGTGAGATCGTAGAGCGGAGTTTGATATTTGTCGAGCGAGGACAGAGCACATTCGCCCATCCGGGCGTAATGCGACGCGCCTAGGATAAACACGCGCTTCCTGAAAATAACCTCAAACTGTATTATTATATTTAACATTTTAAGACAGCGCCCATCTAGTTTTTTTTTAATAGGTGAAACTGGGATGGTAACCCCGTCTGCGCTATCGGTATACACTGGTGGGGTACCAGTCAGAGATGAGAGGTGAGGATGAAAAGGCAGATCAGTTAGCCAATCGTGACGAATTCAACGATAAATGAGTCTAATAAGGCATATTGCTAGCAATAGGGCTGTCACACTTCATTGCTAACAATCCCTTTCACCCCAATACACAGATATCGGATCGGTATCCACATTACACAAGCCTAGTTTGCAGCGTATTTTTTCTTCAAAATAGATACACTAGTGGTAATTTATTACGTGAATTTAATGTGAAACAATGTACTCACACAACAACAGGGCTGACTTGTCTGTAGGCGAAGGCTGCGCACGCTCCGCACGCTCCGCAATATGAATAACCCGCGTGGCTGAAAGCAAGCACAATTATTTATTTATTTATTTATTACATCCACTGGGTGAGCCTTACAGTCTCCCAATACGCCCACCCAGGAAAGCATGAATACAACAACATAGAAAAAAAAGGAATATTACACATATATACAACAAGAATAATATAAAAAGACTTAAACAAAAACGTCTGAACACAAATACTCTGTGGTCACCCGGCGAAACTCCAGCAAGTTGGAGGCAAATACATCCAATTGCGGATACTGGCTCAAAATATCATTGAGTAGTTTCAATGCAAGAGATAGGGGAGCCTGCTTAGCGAACTCTGTTCTTCGTAATGGAACATCGAATAAGTGCCGTCTACGTGCTCGCACGTAGTTACTGGGCGCTCCTATTGATATTGATTCCAGTACAGTTTGGTTACACTTTTACCCCCGCACTAATTTTACCACATATTCAATTAAATTTAGTTTTCGTCTCACTTCAAGTGTATTATAGCCCACCATACCCAACAAAAACATACTCGGGTATATATGGGGATAAGACACCTTGAAACCATACTGTTTTATTATTTAGAAGTAACACATTATAAAGAAGTAACACTTGCTGACTGCTTCATACCAATACAAGTCTAAGTGACATACCGGCACAATTGTAGCCGCTCGCCATTACTACCCTACGGATTTTTTATTTTTTTCATTTCTTTTTATGAGTGATAATGGTATGGTAACGGTAAGTCCGCCTGCACTAATGGGACACGCTGGCGGAGCACCAGTGAACGGTGATAGATGAGAATGAAAACCGGCCAGTTAGCCCATCATGATGAATTCATCAGGAATTAACCATGATAGTTTCCAGGGGGAACAGCGAGGAGGTAGACCTGGTTGGGTATATTGCTAGCAATGGGATTCTCATTCTCCATTACTAACAATCCCTTTCCCCTTGATCTTTCTATTTGCGCGGTTGAAAAGACACAGTTGCGTGATTCCTGGAGAGAAACACTGTTACCATGTTCTATTATGTTTTTTATACTAAGATTTGTAAGATTTTCAAAATATCGAAGATAAATCTAT